ATATTAACATGAATCCAAATGCAGTTTTGACACTTTTAGAACTATGCTACCCTTTCTCCAACATCACCTCAGTCCCCTACAAAGTGTGCCCCACTGGCTGAGAAGGCAGCACAACCCATCTACTGGATACGATCAGGAGCAAGCTGTGCATTCTCATGTTTACAAAAACAATGCTGTTAGTAACAAAGCACTACATTTAAAAGAAAGCAAAGCAACATAACAGAGATAGGCCCACTTCTTTAAGAAATTATAAATCAGACTTACAAAAATATGGATTTAAAATTAATTTATAGCTAAGAAGTTACTTTTGATAAGGTTTTTGCATAATCAGAAATATGATTGAGATACATTTTGCAGGTTTTTGGGGACAGAGGATTAGCTGTAGCCTATGTAATAATTTGTCTGGGAGCTGTACTTTGGCAAAATAACAAGGACAAAGAAATACCTGGCAGAAACTGGGAGGGGAAAATTCTATTCTAAAAAAGTACTTTTTGGAAATGTAAATACTCTGAGGTAATAGGAAGTCTTTTCTAATTAAAAATTGCAAATTGCTTCCCTAGAAATATATGTGCTTCTTGATAGTTAGATGTGATATAAAGTATAATTATTAGTTGCTAGCATCAATATCATCAGCGATTTTACATGGGATTATTTACAGAATAAAACATTGGGCCACTGCCAAAGAACTGGCTTGGCATTGGAGAGCAGAGAGTGACTTTTTATATTCTTTTATAGTTATTATTATTTTTCTTTCCTCTTCTGTTCTGTGAAAGTGTACTTATCTCAACCTGTGAGCTCTACTTTTTTGCTGATTGTCTGCCCCATTCCACTGGGGGCAGTGAGCAAGTGGTTATGTGGCGTTTCAGCTTCCAGACCAAGTTAAACCAATGGCAGAGTTCTTTGTCTCTTCTTTAATCACAGAATACTACATAGACGTCTTTGGGGATGTTAAGGCAAATTGCACCCTGAGGTGCAAAAGACCCATAAAACCGTCCTGTCAAAACTTCTAATTTAGTAAAATAATTATTTGACACAGAAATTGTTGAATCTTTATTCCCAAATAAGTATTATTTCATTAGCACTCAGTAACGTCTGAAAAGGACCACTGAAAATAATTTTATTCACAGGTGATGAAAATATCCCAGGAACATCACAGACCTACTCCTTTTAGATAGTTTTATAAGCATCTTTTCTTGGTGCCTCTTGACAAGTAGACTTTCTGGCAGGATCTGTTACAACTGCAACAGAACTTCATCACTGAGATTCCCCCATTTTTACAATTATTAGGTTTTTTTTAACTTGGCTAGGCAGAAAGTTGTTTTGTAGCTAGGCTGTCTAATTGCCATCTTGCTTAACAAGAGAGCAAATAAGCTCAACCCTTCCTAATCTCTCCTGGCCTTTTTTCAAACCTCGTGCTTTGGGCTGAGTGCCACAGGCTTGTGGCAAACTTTCTCTTTGCTCATCTCAGAAAATGTTTCACTACTCTGTCACTTCCCGAGCCTTGCAGCTCACATATCTTTTGGACCCATTTGATGTCACAGGGAGCAAGTTTGCTCTTGATGAGACATCTGTCCTGGGTAAGCTCCAGAACTGAGATACTACATTATCCATTCAGACAGAGTTGATAATAATCCTGTAGTGACATTTGAAGCCTTGCAGGTTTATTTTCTACTTATTTTGTACTTTAATCTCATATTGCAGTGGGTGGGGGCCTGGGAATCTTACCAGAATGTTGCAGTCACTTTCCTTGTTTCCCATGCTGTATTACAACATGCAGGTTGCATTCAGCGCACAGTTGGAGTCATTCTTCAGCTACTCACTGATGGTCTTACTTCTACAGAAGAGGATGAAGTCCTTTTTTCCCAGGCTATGTATCCTGATTTGAGACAACAGCCTCCTCTTCTGATGCTCCCACCACAGGCAGGATTTTTAAGAATTCTGCAGCATCAAGTATGAGAGTATTTAGTCAGTTGATCAGGAGAAACTACAAATTTTGTTAGAACTACCCTTGTGCTTAGCAAAACACTGTTTAATGCATTTCCCAACGTCAATAGTTGAGGTAATGACTTCCTGAATACTTGGGGAAAATATTTTCAAATTAATAATTTGATTTTGAAAAAAGATTATTCTTGAACAAATGTGCAATTTTGTTACCTAAGTTAGTATAGTGAGTGTTAGCAAAAGAAAGGATATTTAAATTGGCTAATTGGTTAGCATGGTTTAAAATGTAAAGATTTGGAATAAAGCTAACAGATAATAACTGCCCTAATCTTTTTACAAAAATGAACTCTACAGGAAAGATAGAACCCTTTAAAATGTGAGGAAATGTTTACTGTGGCTTGATGTGTTTTAGTCTCTACCTTTTTGTTCCAACCTTAGTGAAAAAAACTAATGCAAAGGTACATCTAAAGAAAATAAATTTTATTCTGAGACATGGAATTGAAATAAATCCCAACCACAAAACTAAGATATTTGAAAAATCAGGTTAATATGTAGAATTCAAAGGGAACATAAAATTTTACTTCTGGGAGAAATATATAATTCACTGAAAATCAGGACATCTATGTAGAACATAATTTCCAGGGAGGCCCCATTAGTACTTTTTCCAAACTCCCTCTTTATATCACAAACATAAGGTCCAATATAATTCTTTAATTTTAAATGTGAAAGCATGTTGGGGGAAGACATGTCCCAATCTTAGATATGGACACAGGTGTGTTTGTTTTCCTTCTCAAGTATATATACATAAAGATAAGAATACAAACTAATAATAGTACCAGTATAGCTGAGGTTCTGTGTTATATTCTAGATAGCCAGATTTGTTTATGTATTTGTATATTTGTTTAAAGCCAAATATATCCTTAATACATTGATTTTGAAGTCAATGTCATCTGATGTTCCCACAAAGTAACTGGTGAAACCCCAAAAGTTTTTGCTTGGTTATAGCCAGTTTCCTTGAAATGTGAGGTCCTGAAGACGGAGTTTTGTATCTGGGAGAAGGCTGTCCTGACTATGAGCAAACTATTATGTGAAAGAAAAAAAAATTTTTTTTCAATTTCTGCTGTAGTTTTCTGCAGCTCATTGAAAAGCAGAACACAAGTTTAATAAAACAGTATGAATATTCAAATATTATGAGTTGCTGCAGTGGCCAGGTGGTGGTAAGGATGCTGCAACCTTCCTGTCTGTTTGGGGAGGGAACAGAGAATGCAAACAGCAGGGTGTCCCGAGGATGGAGGGGGATGTTAAAAAAACAGTCTTTAATTTCTGTGATAGCTAACTTCCAGTCCTGAGGCAGCATGGAGGGCAACAGCATGCCTGGCTGGAGCAGACCCATATCTTCTATCACATCATTTATTTTTCTGAGATCATGGAGGAACCTCCACCTATCTTTGCCCGGTTTTCATAAAACAAAGATAGGGGAGTTCCAAGGGCTGCTGGTCTCGGTAATGTGGCCCTTGGCAAGCTGCTCCTCCATGAGAGCCTCTAGTGGGTGTAGTTTGGTATCAGAAAGGGGCCACTGATCAACCCATGCTGGATGGTGTTGTTTCCAGGTGAGTTGGGGGATGGTAGGTTTCACGCACTTTTCAGTGGCCCCCACTAAAAATTTGTCATGGTTTGACACTGGCACGATGCCAGTGCCCCCCATGAAAATGCAGTCTCTCAACTGAATGCTGTGAAATGCGATCGAGAACAGAGCAAAGCAGGCCCAAGCCTAATAACAAGAAAAAAAATTTATTAAACTACTACCACTATGCTACTATAAAAGAGGGAAAAAAAAGAAAGAAAACACACAAAATTCAAAATGAAAACCTTCCAAAGCATTCCTCCTCCCACTACGCAACTCCAACAAACCACAGTGAGACACAATCTGGACCCCAATCAGGTTTCCACCCTCCAGACAATCAACACCCAGTCCACCAAGGGAGAGAGGAGTCTCTCCTGTGCCACAGACCCCCCAAGAAACACAGCTGCCACATCCTGTGCTTCCATGTCACCACATGGCACCGCCCGGAGAAAAAAAAGTTTGCCAATGGTGACCCTCTCCTTTCCATGCACAGGGCTCTCACCACCAATGCATGGATGGACAGACTGCTTTTAGGATTTTTCCTTTCAAGGATGCCCTGCCAAGAGGGGAAAAAACAACAGTTCAGTTTTTCATTTCTGGGACCAACAGTCTCCCCCCATTTTCCCCTGGGGCCGAGGTTCCAAGAACAGAGATCTTCTTCTCTTCTTCCTCTGCAAAGACAGGGGGAACCACCACAAACCTCCTTAACTTTTCTCTGTTCACTCCACTTCTGTCTTTTCCCAGCTGAAGCAGGTCTCTTTGGCTCACCGGCGTCCTCCTAAAATACAGTCTCTCTTGGAGGAGAAGATCGGTTCAGTCTGTGGCTACCAAGAAAAAGTCCAGCCAAAAGCCACTCCATCATCTCCTCCCACCTAGAATTTCTCCTTCCAACATCCCAGGTCCCAGGCTGTCTCTCTTCCCCTCTTTCAACCCGAGGAGGAGAAAAATTTCACAAAGCTTTCATTTTCTCAGGAAGGGTTAAAAGTCCCGACTCCCAGAGATGGCTCGCTGCCCAGGCTCCAGCTCCCACAGCCCAGCTGGGCACCTTGCGGCCCCCCCCCCGCTCTTCTCCTTCTCCACGGTGAACTGCTGGCAAAACCACCAATGTCTCTTTTTCTCTCTTGGGAGAGAGAGACTCTGGGGGGAACGGAGACATCCCAGATTTTGTCCACCCTTCCATCTGCAAGGGGCCAGCCCGGTTCCAGCCCCTCCACCCTTGGGCCTACCTCCGAAGGCCACATGGCTTCTCCCCTCCCCCACCCAGCTCGTGGCCGGGCAGGGGAGAGTCCTGCACTGACCGCTGATCCAAACCCAAGAGAGCAAGTTTTCCTGGGAATTCTGCTTTTAACCCCTCTGTGTTCTCAGAGGCATGTCTACCTTCAATTGGTCAATGTCCAAATTGACCTCTTCCTTCCAGAAAAATTCTTTTTCCATGTCAAACCACGACAAAATTCCTACTGGGGATTTGCAGAGAGGCTAACCACTGTGGTAACACATCCCTCCCCCAGAGAGTTATCGGTGCCCTTACTGCAAATGGCCTGATAGTTGCTATTTTGCCTTCCACCATGATATTCTTTTTACTTTTCATGGAGACTGCAGCTCCTCCAATCCCAAAGATCATTCCCATGATGGGCTGCAATTGCCAGTTGGCAGCCCACTCGGAATGTGCAATTATGGTGATGTCCACTCCTGTGTCCAGCATGCCTGGATGGTGGATCTTCTCCCCTTTGCAGAACAGGCCACACTCCACAATGGGTTTGCTGGAGCCCACACCCTGAGCCCACATCGTGGTAGGGTTGAAGGCAACATGTTCTGGGCAGTTAAGTGGCAAAAGGAAAGCTTGGGTAATTGGTGTTCCTTTGGGAAGATAAAATGGTGAGTCTCTGCAGCAAAGTTGTACTAATATTTCTTCCCCTGGGTTAACAGTTTGCACTTCAGGGACTACATAAATTTGTGCAGGACCATAAAAGTTGTCCCTGAGAATTAAGGCATTTGAGGGACCACCCGGTGGTCAAGCAAGTTCTTAGTATTCCTTTACACTCAGCATTGGCATTTGCCATGGCCATTTTTACTAATTCCCTTTGAGCCTCTACTTGTCTTTCAATTGCTATTTTTAGTCTATCTATATACTTAATAAAAGACTCACTTATCCTTTGTTTAATGTTTGTGAAGCACTGTGTTGGCACGTTGTCATCTGGGATGATAAGCAGGGATGTTTTTGTGGCAGTAGCAATGTCTTTGAGAGTTGCTTTGTCTAAGTCTTTGGCCTGGTCTTGAGGCTTTTGGAAGTCACCTTCTCCTGCCATTTGTGGGAAAGTTAGATTTGTGGGAGAGTTAGCATCTTTAGTGCATGCATCTGCCAATCGTTTAAGATGTTTTTTCCATTGCCTTTCCCACAGCATATATTCAGCTAGGAAAAGAAGGCAGTTCATGATATTTTTAATATCATGTGGCACCATAACATGAGTGGTGAAGGTGGCTTCAAATAGGTTTTTGAAAAAATGTGAGCCTTGACCGTGAGCCTCGACCATGATCCTCAGCTGCTTTGCACAGCTGCACAGCTCCTTTAATTCCCCGTAGAGTAGGGGCTCCCACAAATTAATGGCTGCTGCCCTCCAGCTATGTTACTTACAACTGGGAAGGCAAAGATCTTTTTTGCAGCGCTGAGTCTCCTGGTTTATCTTGATCAGAGTCACAGGGTCCCAGGGAATGGGGAACAGAACGCCCATGAGCACAATGTAACAAACCTTGAGGTGAACTGGGACTGTCAGCTGCCAACAGCTACTTCAGACACAGCAACTCCACAGCTTTGTTAAGATCTTGGTATTGTGGATTTATGGAACAGATTCACAATGAAGAAATTTCTACTTTTCAAGTTTAACTCTGTGCGGAAGGCTGAAACTGTGTAATTAATAGTGATAGATTTATTGGCATTCACCCTTATTGTTTGGTGGACTTTGAGAGACAAAAAGCAGTGTAAGACATGGGTGTCTCAGATAGCAGACTGACTACTATGAGCAGAGGCTTAGAAAGCTAGGACTCTTAAGACTGTGGAAGAGAACGGTTGGAGGGATCCTTAATCTATAAATGGGAGGGGGTGAAGAAGACTTAACTAGAAAATGGGAGGGAACTCAGTTCTTCCCTGGGAAAGGATATGAGTCAATGGGCACAAACTGAAGACAAGAAAATTCATGTGAATGTAAGAAAACACTTTTTCATTGTCAGAGTGGTCAAACACCTGAGCAGGTTGCTCAGGGAGGCCATGAATTCTCCATCCTTAGAGATACTCAAAACTCACCTGGCCTTGGTTTTCGGCAGCTGGCTCAGGATGGCCCTGCCTGGGCAGGGGGTTGGACTGGATGACCTCCTGAGCTCCTGCCAACCACAGTCACTGAGATGGGTGTGACTAGGGAAGGAATGCTTTCTCCCCAGACTGCCACTCCTGCAAAATATTTTTAAGACACAATTCAAAGCAACTAACTTGCTCATATATCTTGTTCCCGAACAGGCGGCTGTTAGTCAAAAGGTATGTCGAAAAATTTTTAATTGTATGATTTCTGTCAATTTCTTTATGCGCGTCTCACGAGAAACCCGATGGGGGAACAGCAGGATGCTGCGGGCCGGGAGCCTCCCGCGCCAGCCCCGCAGTCCGGTGTCAGTGTCGGGCCCCCCCAGCCCGGTGTCAGTCCGGACCCCCCCAGCCCGGTGTCAGTCCGGGCCCCCCCAGCCCGGTGTCAGTCCCGGGCCCCCAGCCCGGTGTCAGTCCGGGCCCCCCCAGCCCGGTGTCAGTCCCGGGCCCCCCCAGCCCGGCGTCAGTCCGGACCCCCAGCCCGGTGTCAGTCCGGACCCCCAGCCCGGTGTCAGTCCGGGGCCCCCCAGCCCGGTGTCAGTCCGGGCCCCCAGCCCGGTGTCAGTCCGGGGCCCCAGCCCGGTGTCAGTCCGAGCCCCCAGCCCGGTGTCAGTGCCGGGCCCCCAGCCCGGTGTCAGTCCCGGGCCCCCAGCCCGGTGTCAGTGCCGGGCCCCCCCAGCCCGGTGTCAGTCCGAGCCCCCAGCCCGGTGTCAGTCCGGGGCCCCCCAGCCCGGTGTCAGTGCCGGGCCCCCAGCCCGGTGTCAGTCCGGCCCCCCCCAGCCCGGTGTCAGTCCCCTCCGGAACGGCACACGCCTCACGGGGCCGCGGAGCTGCCTCGCGCTGCTGCGCAGCCTCCCACCCGCCCCAAGCCCGTGCGGGGCCGGGGCTGCCCGTGCCGGGCCGTGCCGGGCCGTGCCGTGCCGTGCCGGGCCGGGGCTCCCCGCCCTCCCCGGGGGAGGCGGCGCAGCCCGCATCCTCCTGAGGAAGGGCGGTCGCGGGGCCGCGGCAGCGCCGGCAGGAGGAAGCGGCACTCTCCTCCCCGCTCCTCTCCACGTCTCTCCTTTCCTCCTTTCTGCTCAACCCGCTCGTCCCTCCTCCTCCCTGCCGGTGCTGGCGGCGGCTCCTCCTCCCGTGTGACCCGGTGCCGCATGTGAGCGGGGAGGAGGGACCGCGCGGCGCGGTCCCACTGTGGCGGCGGCAGGAGGAGGAGCGGGAGCCGGCGTGCGGTGTCTCCCGCAGCCGCATCACTGGGCCCCGCCGGCGCTCCCCATGCCCGTGTGGTGCTGCCGCTGCTCCCTGGCCGGTCACTTCAGGTGAGGCGGCGGCGGGGGTGGTGGGGCGGCGCGGGAGCCGGGCCGCGGGCGGCGGGGGCGGCGCGGGCAGGACGGGGATCCCGGCGGGGCTGCGGCCTCCGCGGGGCTGCGGCGGCGAGCGCGGCGCTGCCCGGCCCCGCCGGGGAAGGGATGGCGGCGGCGGGGCCCGTGCGGGCGCGCCGTGACCTTGGGCAGCGCCGAGGCGCAGCCGGGCCGGGGCAGCCCGCGCCCGCTGATGCTCGGTGCCGCTCCGGGGCTCGCAGCGCCGCGCCGCCCGGGATGCCGGCCCCGCGGGCACCGCTCCGCCCGCTGCCCCGAACGAAATCCGACAGTCTGGCAGTGGTAAATTCTCTTCTCGAAGTGTCAGGTTGAGACCAAATTCAGATTCCTTTTATATAACGAGTTTTCTGTTAACCGCCTACCACAGTCCGTTTCTTTCTTTTTTTTTTCTTTTCTTTTTTCTTTTTTTTTTTCCCCTGACGGTGCGCAGTGTATTCTAGCATCTTTCAAAACGGCTGCTTGAAAAACGTATTTATTTTAATAACCTGTAACAAATTATGAGTTGTTATCAAATTATTATTATTATTAGCTTTTTCAAATGGAAGAACTGTTATGTGTATGTTGAGTTTTTTCTATTAATGGGTTAAAAAAAAAAAAAAACCACGAAGGCACATGATTGCATATGTTTAGAATCTGTGCGGCGATTGACAGAATGTAATTCCCCAATTTATTTGAGTGACCAGTATAAGATAAATTAGGCACTAGTGTTGGAACTGACTCATCTTGTGCCCACTTGCATGTCTGCAGGATTAGAGCCGTAGGTGATTGTGCCAAGTCCCCACCACTGCAAAGCTGTCTACTGTAAGTTTTATCAAGGTGAAAACTGCTGGTTCTTGGTGGCTTTCAGTGATGGTCAGAGGTTAGAAAGGTGGTGGCCCCTAACTTCAGATCTTGCTGGGTCTGGTATGATGTTCTTACAAAGGAAGAACATGCTGCTAACAACACTCCTTCGTGTGCACTGCATTTTGTTGTGCAGGTATTCTTGTGCAAAGAATGAGAAACTGCACATTGTGTGCAGATGTGCAAAATCAGTAGTGTGGTAATTCTTGATACACTGAGCTGCATAAAAGTAACATTTTTATTGTTAAAAGATTCTTCTGTAGCCTACAGCATTGTGCATATATCTCTTACAAGAAGTTTTGAAATGTTTCCTTTGGTTTTATGTTCCGTCAAGCACAGCAAGTATAGTAAAGCCACACTAAAGCATGCGTGCTCCCCTTAAGCCTGTCTTTTGGAAAACATAAGGTAGTATTGACTTAGTCAACTTTGAGCAAAGGCTGGAAAATATAATAGTCTACCTGCTCCTTTCTAAAAGCAGAGGTGAAAAAATCAGTATGATAATTAGATATCCCCTCTCTGACTCCTTGTCTTTATCTAGTTCATGCTGTTTGGAGGTTTGGTGTCTGCAAGAGCTAATGTAAAGCTGTAGTCAAACAGTAAGCAAGAATTTTGCTTTTTTTTTTTTTTTTTTTTTTTTTTTTTTTTTTTTTTGTACTGCGGGGAATAGTGATATCAAGTACTTTCCAAAATAAATGCAACCTCAGAATAGCTCCCCACCCTTTTTAACAAGCCATCGGAGAGATGCGTTACAGATTGTGCTACTGCTGTTGTTACTGCACAGCTCTGCCTCCAGTGTACTTCAGACTTCCCCACAGAGGAAAGGCTTTTGAAACAGAATCTTGGGTGCTGTGGGAGTTGAGGCAGTACGTGGTTTACATAGCTTCTTGAAGGCCCTGGGAATTGGATCAGTGTCTTACAGTTTTGATCCTGTGTAGAAAATAATTGCTGAAATGCTAGAATAGCTTTAAGATATGCAGAGTCTTAGGAAATAGACAAGAGTACTTTTATTTATTTTTGATAATTAACCATGTTTATAAAGATAATTTTTAAAAAATTTTTCTATAAAAATATCCCCATGTTGGTACAGGTATTTTTGATTAATAATTGGTTGTCCTTACTTTACAAAAGACTTGACAAAATAACTGCAGTAACAGACCTTTTAATTTGACTCTGTCTTTCTAGCTAGACTGATAGTTTCTGTGCTTCTTCAATCACCTGGAAAGGTTTCAGAAAGGACTCCTAAATAATTAAGTAGAAAACATTACAAGACAAGTCTTTGTATTCCAGAAGCACATCTACACAGTGAAGGGTTAGAAGAGAAACTTAAGGGTATTTTTCAGAGAAAGAACTGAAAAATCTAGGAAAATGGCTAGTGGTGAAAGCAGTCTGCGGTGAAGGAGCTGACCTGACTACATGACAATTCCTTCTGTAAAAACTTTTAATAGTGGTAGGATGGGTTATGTCTAGGGCATAAAGGGATCATTTCACAAGTATCCATCCTCACACCACTGCCAGCTTTAACCACCTCACTTCTCTTTGAATGGAAATTTGTTGAGGTAAGTCCTGTGTGCTGCTCAGCCAGCAGGAAGGGATATGAGTGCTGCTGCTCTACCTTAGCTGCTCCTTCAGGCTTTGTCTGGCCTTAATGTTGCTAATTGGCTAGGCAGTGTGTATCTCCTGATTTGATAAGGATAATGAGGAATGAGTTCTACTGTGTGTGGGATCAAAATAATGCTTGTGGCTATACTTTGGCTTTGTATAAACTGAGATTAGGAATCTGCACTTCTGCAGAGCCATCTGTGCCTCTTTGTTATCCTTCTGTAGACTTGCTGGGAGAAAGTAGACTTTTAAAAAATCTTCTGCTAGAAAAGCTGTGCTGAAAAGTAAAATTGTGTAGATACATATCTGTTTTGGTCTTGATTTTGCCAGTTTCATACCTTTTAAAGTAAAACATCAAAAGTGACTATTTTTCAAGAGGCTGTTCTGACAACAGTTCACTGTTTCATTTTAGTTTTCTCCCATCTGTCCTTCTTAATTAGAACTTACAGCGGCCCTGAAACCGAAGGACAGCTTTTGAATTCCTTTGTTCAGTACTTTGGTGACAGCCTTGGGAGGAAGATTAAAAGAATGCCTTTAATTGAAGAAACTGTTCTGCCTGGGGACTCCCTTCTTACTCTGCCTGTAGTAATAATAGGTGAGTTTTTTCCCTTTTTAAAGATTCACTGCCATTGCCTTTGTAGACCTGCTGCATGAAATAATTTATCAATAAACAACTAATGCTTAGAATCCTTACAGTGAAGATCTTTATTAGAGTAATACAGTTGTTATAATTAACAACAGTAGCATTACGTTATGTTAAGGGACTTGTTGGAGTATATTTGAATTTAAATTGTGCTTTGAAAAAATCAGCTGTGTTATTTAGCAGCAGATATGGGAGTATTAATGGATGAACTGTATTGATTCTGGTGTTGATAACATAGGGTTTGATTAATGTGATACGTCTATTTCTGTATGCATGGAGGTTGTCAGTGGTACACCTGTAGAAATCTGTGGGGTCATGTGGGTGAGTGAAAAGCATAATGTATGCTCTGTGTTGGTGAGGTGCTAACCTCTCATTAATTGCCTTTTTTTCTGTTGCATCCATCACTAGTATCTAAATATTCTCCCATCTTTTCCAAAACTAATCCAGCTCAATTCAGCTAGTTTAAAATAATAAATTGTAGTCTTGATTGAACACTTTACATACTTGTAAAATGACAGGATAACAGAGGGAGGAGGCTCATAGGTACACAACTTAATTGAGAGTGCCAACATAATGGGCCAAGGTTTTTCAACAACAGCTGGTCACCAGCTTGTTATTGCCCTGACTTCATGAGTGGATAAAGAAAAGATTGAAGTAAAGGGTTTTCAATAATCTAGTCCAAAGCTGTTGGGACTAGAGCAAGTACCTACCTGCAAACAAGCAAAGATTTTGGAGACTGATGTTGCAAAATAAATGTGTTCACAGTATCTCCACAACTTTGAAAAGCCGGTGTTTGTACAGTGCCTTTTCTCAAAGCTCCCTTTATGATAGTTTAAAATAGTGTTCATGGAGCAGACTTAGGTGTATGTGACAGACATGAATCACTTGATGAGTTCTGCATCATGGTTGAAGTGAATGGTGTCCTGGCATTTTGTCAGCCTTAGTATAGGTTTGTCATATGGTTTATGATTCAGTTTCCACTGTTTAGTTTTGCAAATATGTGTTATGCAAATACCTGTGCTCAATACTTAGTTTGTCTAGAGCACTTTTCTAGGTGCTGACACCAAACACAGCTGCATTGACCACTTCTCCATCATCCAAATGCTTCTTCACAGATATATTTGAGACACTTTGCAAGCTGATGTTCTCGACTGGCAGCCTATTATCACTGAAGAGCCTTGAAAGGGATCTAAAATTATTTGATAATGTAGTAGAGGAGTATGGAAATAATTGTCATTCCTTCTGCCCCTCCATGTATGAACACACTCTCTACTGGTTTAATAACTTTTTTGCAATACCTGTGTTGGGAAGAAACAGATATATTCCATCAGGGTTGAACAATTTCATGCTGAAACTCTTAAGTTTAGAACATGTTCTGTGCTAAACATTTTTATCTTCTGCACTAGTTTTGATCATTACTATGTGGAATGTTGTCACTTCCTTTCCAAATAACAAGGCTGTCGTGATACTTGAAGTTGAGTATTTGCTTTAAATTTAGACATATAATGTAAAGATGATGGTACTATAGTTTGCTATTGATCAAGAGAAGATTTTGGTGATATTCAAACAAACTTCTAACTGCTTCTTAAATGAACAGAGCCATGGAGTTTCAGATTATATTAATTGTACAACTAAAGTTTGTGTAATAGTAGTAGCTTCTAATTGCAGTCAGAGGTCTTATTGAAGGCACCGTGTGTAAATAAAAAACAAATTTTGTCATTTCAAAGTATTTTTTTCTCTTTTTCCCAATAATTTTCTAAGAAAACCATAGCAAGTCTAATGGCAGACCTTGCAGCTGAACCTTCACTCTGTGTGTTCTTAACAGCATATCATCAAGGGATTTCCTTTCCCTTGGATTCAGTCTGCTTAAAGAATAGGAGTTGGGTTTGGATTAGCACTCTCGATGGTCCCAGAAAAGTTCAAGGAACTCAGTGACAGTAACTCACCTTAATATCACAGAATGACAAGGTTGGAAGAGACCTTCAAGATCATCGAGTCCAACCCATGCCCTAGCACCTCAACTAAATCATGGCACTGCGTGCCAGTCTTTTTTTAAACACATCCAGGGATGGTGACTCCACCACTTTCCTGGGCAGACCATTCCAGTACTTTATCACTCTTTCCATGATACCACTTTTTCCTGATATCCAACCTATATTTCCCTTGGTGCAGCTTGAGACTGTGACCTCTGGTTCTGTCAGTTGCTGCCTGGAGAAAGAGACAAACTCCCACCTGACTACAACCACCTTTCAGGAAGTTGTAGAGAATGATAAGGTCACCCCTGAGTCTCCTTTTCTCCAGGCTGAACACCCCCAGCTCTCTCAGTCATTCCTCACAGGGCTTGTGTTCCAAACCCCTCACCAGCTTCGTTGCTCTCCTCTGGATGCGCTCAAGCATCTCAATGTCCTTCTCAAACTGAGGGACCAGAACTGGACACAGCACTCAAGGTGTGCTCTCATCAGTGCTAAGTATAGGGGAAGAATGACCTCCCTGCTCCTGCTGGCCACACCATTCCTGATACAGGCCAGGATGCCTTCTTGGCCACAAGGACTGCTGGACTTCACCTCAACAAATTTCCTTTCAGAGAGAAGTGAAGCTGGTTAAAGTTGGCAGTGGTGTGAAGATGGAACCTTGTGAAGTGATCCATTTAAGCCCTAGACATAACCCATCTATCCCATCCTCAGTAATCTCCTTGGCCCTTGCCAGTCGTTGTTTGGGTGACATTTGTTAACCATTTAGTTCTTTTAGCCTTATCCAGTAGGAATGATCTTTAACATGACATCCTTGGCTATGGCACATATTTTCCTCCTTCCACTGTGGATGAGCTTTCTTTATATCCCAGTGGGAAAATAAAGCTAGCTGTGCACTTGTATAAACATAAAAAAATCTTTACTGCAAATGGGTGACAGGAAGGGCTTGCATCTTCTTTAAGCTTTAAATTCCTGGACTGAAGCATATCTAGCTGTCTTATGTTGTGGGAGGGCAGAACAGTGTGAGAGTAAGGAAGAGCTTTTTCACTGTCTTTAGATTCTTTAGATGATTTCCTATAGCCTATGGCTGTGACCAGTTTATGTGCACAGCATTGTAATAAAGTATGGGATATTCTGCCACTGGAGTCCAGGTGAGTATAGCCTGGTGAAAGAGGAAAAAGAGATCCAATGTATGAAGAAACTGGGAATGAACAGGGCCTCAGTGAAGTAATGGGGGATTTAGAACTGAGGAATCAGAAAAGGGAGACAGGCATTGGAGAAATGGGATTGTTAACAGGTGATGAAAATAGTGTGTGCAAAGGTGATGGGGAAAAGTAAATGACCTGTGAGTTCTTGACATCAAGAGATGAAATGGTTAGAAGTAAGAACAAATGTCTAGCAATGCCTGCTATATTAAAGTATAAATGAATTAGTAACTTAAACCCAGACTTTGCATAGTGAGTGCTAAATACCACGTGTCCAAACAAAGACAAAGTACTGACAAGTGGCTCATTAGGAAAACTGTGTTTTTCATTCAGTTAATGGGTAAGAGGAGCTATAGAAATAACAACACATAGCCACACATTTAAATTTTGCATCATAGCACATACAATTCTGATTTAGCTTTCTGTAACTTTCGATGTCTGACTTTGCAACATGAATGTTACTTCTGTATCTGCATGTGATAAATATGGTCCCTACTTTTTTTAATACTAGTCAAATAAATAGAAATATTTACATTATGGTAATATTTTGGTCCCATCTATCTTATACTTTTAATAACATTTTAAAAATAATTGTCTATTAAAACTGCAGCAATACACATATATAAATTGAAAATGCTACAAAGCTGGTAAAAGTGTTTGACGTCATACTTTCCCTGAGCAATGAATGTGGTCTTACATGAGTTTCTTGTTCTCATCCACTTACCCACAGGAGGTCTGTGGTCACTTCGCTTTTATGTTGCTGTTTTGCAGCCTCTGTAACTTCTCATCTGACTTTCAGCCTTAAGCTTTCTGCTTGTCTCTTCCCTTTATTTTATGGACAGACCTGAAGAGCATATAATCCAGATTGTCTTTCTGCTCTGAGATGTACAGTGCCTGTGGGAGTGCAAAGTTGTAAGATGGCAATAATAGTCAGTGCTCACTGTGACTGACAGGCAGACCATTATCTGTCAGGCCAGTTTCACACAATAGTGAATTTGACATAGTAAATTAGGGAACTTCTTTATATCCATTTGGCTTCCTGGTGTAAAAGTCACGCATTTGTTTCTCTTTAACTGAAAAAAATTTTGCTCTGTTTATTATATTGTCCTATAAAAAGCTGTATTTTACTGCAAAGTTTATAAGCTGCTTTGAAATCAAGACAATCTGGCATTATACTACTTCAGTATTATTTTGTTGCTGTATATTTAGTGATTAACAAACTGTAGGTTATAAACATTTTTACTAAAGCAGTAATTTTTTTCTTTAATAGGAAATGGACCTTCAGGAATTTGCCTTTCTTACCTGCTCTCTGGATACAGGCCTTATTTATCTCCTGAAGCTATACATCCAAACCCCATCCTACATACAAAATTAGAAGAAGCTCGACATCTTTCCATTGTTGACCAAGTAAGCTTTTGTTGCCTTCTTGTCTAGCTCTTTCCCTACTGCAAGCATTAGTGCATTAATAAGTTATTTTGTTATTCTGTTAATTTAAATAGAATCAACTCATGACCATTAGATCCAAACTTAGGCTGTGTAGTGTTGTTTGTGGATCTTGAAGGCCTTTAGTTTGTTGTGGTTTTTTTGGTTTTACAGTCTGCTCTTTGTTATGTTCTTACTACTTGCCAGGAGTGACTAAAGCAGGACTTGGTCAGTGGCTGATGCAGGAATTCCAGTTGTCATGTCCTGGGATGTTTGGGCACTATCACCAGGGAACATATGCTACTAACATACATAAAGTACACATAGTTCAGGTTAAAATATTCTTAAATACTAAAATTCCTACTAAGATTTCATTTTTAGCTATACTGGGGACATATATCCTCTATTAACACAGTCCATTTTTCTTTTTGGAGCAGTATGCATTCTTCAGTGTTTGTGTTGTAATGACAGTGGTTAGCCATGTATACGCCCAATTTTTCTGTCTGATTTGATTAGTTAAATCTTCTCCAACATTTTTCTTTCCAGTTGTCCATTGGTTTGCCATGTTAACACTGTTTTTCACTCACCTCACTGTACTCCTGAGGGATTACTGACAATGTTATCACTGTGTTGCCTTTGTGACTAATTTATTTGAAATACAAACATGGATTTATGTTTGTAGGGGGTAAATAAGAGTTTGTTTGGCTTTGGAATTTGGAGGGTGTTTTTGTTTCAGTGCTGTGCTATTTGCATGTGATGTTTACCCTAGGTCTCAAGGGCTTTTTCTTTTGCAGGAGGGTAAGTTGCCTAACTATTGGCTGCAGGTGCTTCATCCTCCCCCAGTCCCCTGATATTTTGCCTAATTAGGAAGCTAAGCTGTACTGACTTTTTCAGCAAAAATTGGTCTTATGTCCAGTTCTTTCTTCAAATCTCTATTTTCTCTTCAAATATCTGCTATTATATAATTTTTACAATCATTGCAATTTTTAGAACAAGACTGGTTAATAGATGCTGAAATGTGAACTTTACAAAGTTCTAGAATATTTTCTCAACATTAACTATTGTGTAAAACAATCTTAGTTTTACTTTTTAAAAATAATGCTTATTTTATCTTTATTATTTTAAGATATAATACAGTTAGTCTTGGAACTAGCTAAGAGCTGTCCAAAGAGCCTTTTCTACTTGATGTTTAAAGCTTAATGTTTTTAGATTCTAATTTTGCTTTATCAAAATGGGACTCTTCGAAATATTAGCTATCCTTTGTTAAAAGCAGTTTGCTGTCTATAAATGGAGGTGTTACTAAGTTGCTTTGATCCCTATTTGTCCACATGCTTTTTTGTTCTACAAATACTGACTTGTCCCAGAATTATTCTTATTAACGTGTAATTTTTAAATGGGTGAGATGTACTATTCAGAGTTACAAAGAACTGAATCATAGCAGTTATTTCTGAAAAGTGTTTTGATTGAATCTCTACATTAAATACCTTTACCTAAAAGGCAATTTGAATTATGTTTTCTGTTGCAATTCAACTTCTACACATCAGAATAGCATGACGAACATTAAAAGCTTAATATTTGTCATCCTTCAGGATCTGGAGTACCTGTCAGAAGGCCTGGAAGGACGCTCCTCAAACCCAGTTGCAGTGCTTTTTGATACGTTGCTTCACCCTGATGCTGACTTTGGCTATGACTACCCACCTGTTCTGCACTGGAAGTTAGAACAACATAATTATATTCCCCACATAGTGCTTGGGAAAGGACCGCCTGGTGGGGCTTGGCATGTGAGTAAAAATTTCATCATCTCACTCCTAGAGTAACTTGATAATTCTGTGCTTTGGGATTTTTCTTACTGCCTTACTCTAGGGCTGTTTTAGATGGTAGTGCCAATTGCAGTTTCAGCTGTTCATTAGCAAAACCCAAGTAAGTGGGGTATATGAGAAAGGAAGGAGGAAGCTGCCCTTTACTTGGGTGTTTGTGACCGTGAGTGCTGTCTTATATTACCAATTTTTTTGCTAGTTCACATTTAATGAATTATAATGAAGAGTATTTTCTATAACTTCTTTTTTTCTTGTCTGCATTGTTTCCAGGTACTTTTATACACAATCTTAAAATTTGGTGTCTTTATATGATGCTGCTTTCACATGTTTTGTGTTTCCTTCCTCTTTTGTATTTCAAATAACTTGCTTTTAGTGTCCCTTTCACATGCTCTCTCTTCACCTGCTTTATTAGCTCATGTGGTTGCTTGTTATCTAAGTGTAACACAGAAATAGTTCTTCAGTTCTTCATTTAATGTCCTGGTTTTATGTTGTATTCTGGTATTTTGTTGCTCTAAATGCGTACAATGAGAACAGCTTCACTGGTTTTTACATTTGAATTTTTTTTTAATTTACATTTTACATTTGAATTGAAATTTGAATTTGAAATGTGTCTGATCATGCATCTTCATGTTTTCTCCATAGTCCATGGAGGGCTCTATGCTAACCATCAGCTTTGGAGACTGGATGGAATTGCCTGGCCTCAGCTTTAAGGAGTGGGCAGCTAGCAAACGCAGGTAAAGATACTGCAGAATCTACTTGGGAATCCTAGTGGCTATAAAAATACAGATAAATGGAAAATATTCAAACTTCACTGTTCACAGGAGGGCTTCTTGTTTAGTTTATTACATTCCCTGTTGGCACTGGAAATTTTTCTGCTGTGTGTACTCTCATGGAAAAAAAACTTGACAATGGTCAGGCAGAATAACTGCTGGTGAGTGCACTGAAAGCAAACATACAGGCAGCAGTGTGTTCCAGCAGCCCTTCAGAAAGAGGCTGAAACTTGCTGAAAGGAGTTCTGATCAGAGGTAAGGGAAGATGGAGGAATCCACTGAGGGAGGTGTTGCAAGTTCCTCTTTCAACACCCATGCAGCTGAAGTTGCTGCGCACACCAGCTTTCTTGCAATTCAGGAAGTTATATATTTCAGCATTTGCTTTTACAGGCACAGCTGCAGCATCCGAAATTATGAATTTTAAAGAGAATAATTCAGTATTTCTGTGTTAATTTGTAGCAATAAGTTTCTTGAAAAAACTTGAGAAGAAAAGTTACTCTTGTGCAAGCTCACTGGTTTTACTTCAGTTCATAAAGGTCTGTGTCAGCAGATGAACCTAGGAACACTCTACATGAACTTTTTCTAAAATTTTAATTTTTTTTACTTTGTTTTAGGAAAATTAAAGGAAATTGGTTTTGTACCATGTATGAGAAAAGAAGAAGTACAGTTACTTGAGCATATGTCTTTAAGGGCAGACTGTTATTCATTTCAGGACAACCCTTGAAGTGACAAAACTGTAGCTTTGTTCTTTAATCCTTTTCTTAGATAACTACAGCAATCTTTCCTCCTTATTAACTGAAATCCTGCTTATTATCTGAAGCTATGCATTACAGTTTTCAACTATGCTAAAAACAGAAATGCTGACCTGTTCTTCTACAACTAAACAAGCTAATATAAAAGGATTGGTGATAATGTAAAATTCTAGTTATGTAGAATGGTTTCCTAAGTTTCCTTGCAAGAGGTGTCACACTGTCACATTATTCTCTTCAATAAATATCTCATGAGGATTTTCAGAGTAGTAACCTGAGCATTTAAAAGAACATGTGCTAATATCTTGTTAGTCTAAGAAAATGAGTAGCCTGATTACTTGTAAATATGGTTTAAGTGTAATTTAGTGGCAATCCTGATGTTCACTACAGTTTGTTTTGCCTTCTTCCTGGAGCTTACTTCTAAAGAAGCAGCAAAATTCATGCAGCTGTTCCAAATAATTACACTGTCAGCTATTTTTCTTATAAATGAGACTGCAATAATCACGAGAAAAGCATAGATGTAATAGCAGGGTTGCAGGGCAAAAATGTTTTTTATTGAACGCTTGAACCTCACAATTCTGTTTACATAGTTGCATTAACACTCTGTGTCATGTTTGCTTTGCTCATTCATGTGACATGGAACTACTTCATTTGATACTTAGTGAACTTAACTGTACCCAAGGGAGAGGTCTTTTGTAAAGTATAATGAATACTTGGTTCCAGTAACATATTGAACCTAGAGTTTCAAAGTTAGCACTTAACTATGACATTTAATTAATTAGATTGTAAGTAAGTGTATTCTCACTGGGTACAAGTTTAGCCAATACTGTATTGTTGATAGCTGGGATGTTAAACTTTGTAAAACACTTCCATATGGAGCTGCTGTGATACTCCAGAGCTTTGTTACACCTAATTTGTTAATCACCATAGCAATTTACATTGTATAAAGATTTAAAACTATATTTAAAAAGTTAGCTGGTCTTGTGTATCAGGAAACAAGAGAAGAAATAAATCAAAGGCCATTAAAGGTGCTGAACTCAGTGTCATTTACACTGAGCAGATGAAGTCCTCATAAATTTGGCCTGTCATGTGGTATGTCAGATCTGATTTTTAAATTACCAATATGGTCTATTTATTAACTGGAACCATTCAATTTTCTTTCAGAAATATAAAGAGTGATCGAGTAATGCCAGAGGAAATAGCTTGTTATTATAAACACTATGTTAAAGTCATGGGCCTCCAAAAGAATTTCAGAGACAATGTTTACATAACATCAGTATCCAGGCTTTACCGAGAAAAGGATGATGAAGGTAGAAGTCACCAAAATGAAGATCTTAAAACACAGCGTTCGGAAATGGAAGATGGACAGAAATCACTTATTAAGAGAAACTGGGAAGTCAGAGGTTATCAGCGAGCAACAGATGGTTCTCATGTGCCCTTCTGCCTCTTTGCTGAGAATGTGGCTCTTGCAACTGGAACATTTGATTCTCCTGGCCGACTGCAAGTTGAGGGAGAAGACTTTCCTTTTGTCCTCCATTCCATGTCTGACTTCGGAGCCGTGATCAGCAAAGGAAAGTTACGTGGGAAGGCAGACCCTGTGTTGATTGTGGGTGCCGGACTAACAGCAGCTGATGCAGTACTATGTGCCTATAACAACAACATCCCAGTAGTCCATGTGTTTCGTAGAAGAGTTACTGATACAAGCCTAATTTTCAAACAGTTACCTAAAAAGCTTTACCCTGAATACCATAAGGTCTATCATATGATGTGTACTCAGTCTCATACCATGGACTCTAATCAACATTCTGCTTACACTAGTTTCCCTGAACACAATGTACTTTCTTTCAAGCCTGAGATGAAATGTGTTCTTCAGAGTGCCTCTGGACTGAAGAAAATTCTGAAGTTTTCTGTAGCTTTAGTTCTGATAGGTTCTCACCCAAATCTTTTCTTTTTAAAGGACCAAGGACATAGCATAGGTCATCACTCTAATCAGCCCATCACATGCAAAGGGAATCCTATAGAGATTGATCCATACACTTACGAATGCACTAAAGAAGCCAACCTCTTTGCTTTAGGGCCTCTGGTGGGAGACAACTTTGTACGGTTTTTAAAAGGAGGTGCACTGGGCATTGCACGGTGCTTGGCAATAAGACAAAAGAAGAAACATGAATTGATTGAAAGTGGGGATGGAGGAGGTGATGGGGTACCATAAACAAGAGATCAGAAACTCTCACATCCAGGATTACAAATGTAGTCTTAACAGAAAACTCACTGGCAGCAAAAGTTGATAGCAGTCATATTTCTGTTGTGTACAAGTAACCTGCGCTTGTATTGCTTGGTAAAGGATGCTGATATTACGATACTTCACTCTTTAAAACACAAAAAAAATGATCTGCTATTTCAACTGATCTCAACTGGAATTGCTTCCAGACAAACAGAAAATGAGACTAACTTATCTTGGCCTGCCTGTCTGTCATCTCTTGCTCAATTACAAGAGCAGACTTCGTCTGTGAAAGGCAATACCTACCAGAGTGGTTTTACATTTTAGTGTCAAATGCGACAAGAACACTCTTACCATGACATTGAAATAACTTCTAAAAGCAGAAAGCTTGTTTAGTACAAAGTGATTCTTTGTCCCAAAGCAAATTTGGAGCCTTCTGCTTGAAACAAGGATTTTATTTATTTGCTGCAGTAATACTTGGAATGAGCACTTAGTAAAATGGTTTCTTCTATAAGAAGGACTTCTGTAAGCAAGAAGTATCCTTCAAGTTTTAAATTATCCTGGTAATTGGAATAGAAGAATAAGCATTCCCATTTAATCTTTACTGATTTGACACAATCCATTAATGTTTCTTCACACTATGCCTAGACTTGGGTGAGTGCGCAAAGACTAACATGAGATGTTCCCTTACAGTGATATGTAAATTTCTGAGAAAACGCATTAACATAAACAATAAAGTACTGATGTAAGTGCTCTTATTACAGTGTCAATATCATGAATATCTCGTGTACTGCTGAAAAATCAGGTACATGAGAAAATTAAGGGGTTTTTGCTTCCAAGCTCAGGAAGACTGAATGGGATCACTTGGCTGATGAAAGTGGGGTGGGTGATAGATTTTCTCATCTCCCATTTGACCAAAAATTTGTTCTCTTTTTTCTCCTAGAGCAGCACATGATAGTAAAATATTTTAGCCTGCAGTTTTTGAAACTTAAGAAAGGCTTATATCTTAGACACCTAAAAAACAAACCAATCTCAAAACTAATATGCAATAGTTCCTTTAAATCTTAAAACTTCTAATGAAAGACAAAGACTTAACTTGTACCTACCTCTGAATCCAAGTTTCATCTTTCTGCTCCATAATGTAAGACCTAGGTATCATTTGCTGGGTTTTGCAGTAATTAGTTCAACTGAACACACTCGTAGGATATTTACCATCATGAGGTTAAGTTAGGAAAGTGAATTCCCAGAACTCTCAATAGACAAGTGATTGGCTTTAACTGTTTCTTTACCAAATGTTTTAATTTGGGCCCAATATGATGGAAAAAGTGTAATTTTTCAGTTTGGGGTTTTTTTTGTGTTAAAGAATGCTGTGTCAGTTTCAAATATTCTGTTTGTGTGATTAAAAATCTCCATATTGAACTTCAGCAGATTTTAAAAAGGAAGTCAGGCTTTCTGCAACTGATAGTGGTTGCTGGTTTCCCAGCTGTCTTAACTTTCATAAATGGTAGATAGCTGTATTCAATAAATGCCTGTTTTCTCTGCCTACTGAATTACAGGGTTCTGTGGCTACTGCAAGTCTTTATGCATCTGAGTAAATTACTCAGAATTTGGACATAGAAGTTGAAAAGGTAAAGAATGTAAGAATTAAAATTACTATTTTCAGTGGAAGTCCAAAATAATTTATGAAATTATGCCACTGCTAAGAATAAATTTTAGTCTAGAGACGCTTAAGAGCATAAACACAAACAAAGGAGCATTTCTATCAATTTCTGCATTGCCCATGTTTGGCTTTAGCCATACATTGTCAGTACTAGTTAAGGTACTTTTTTTATACTGATATTGAGCTGATTTTAACTCCAGTAAAATCTAAGCTTATTTTCATATTTTAATTGAGATTCTACAATTTGTCTTCTCTGGAAGAAACTCTGTATATAGCAACCAATTCTAAACCTCTGATACCTAATAATTGTAACTGTTATAAATGCTAAATACTTGATTATAGAATTTTATTTCAGTTTTGTTATTGAGAATACATCTGCACTGGGATTAAATTGCAGCTTTGTATCAATATAACTGATACAACATATGGCATATTACTGCTTTTTCATTTGTCACAGGAGATATTTAAAATGCCAGCAAAAAAAAAAAAAAAAAAAAAAAAAAAAAAACCAAAAAAAAAAAACCCAAACAACCACAAAAACTCGGAAGTTATTTTGCAAAAAGGGGAAAAAACCCTTCAGCCCCTCTTCTAGCCTCAGCTGCTGCAGCTACTCACAAGCTCTGTGTGTAGTAGTGACAATTTTGTAGCAGAGATCTTTGACCTATTCTTACTCAAGTAGCTTTTGCTACAATCTTACAGCACCTTAAGGTTTAACTGTTTGGGGTTTTTTTCCATCAATCTTGCCAGTATTTTTGAGATAAAAAGTTGCATATGAGACCCCCTAGTTGGGCAGAGAAGTCTCAGTGGTCATGTTTATCAAGCCAGTATAAAAATACATTTTTCAACCAATGCTTTGCTAAAAGATCATCTTGTGTCTTCTAGGAATTGCTAGATTTCAAGTTGGATCTAGACTTTTTCATTTTCACCATTTTGATTTTGAGAGAAATTTCTATTTCTTTCCTGTTTAGTATTTTGAGGAACTAGGTGATAAAAAAGTTTGGGCTTTGCCTTAAGATAGTTTTACCTACTGCATTTATTGTTAAGTAGATGTTGGCACTGAATACTTGTCTTTTGGGGAAACACCTTGTTTCTCAGATTAAACAAAAACCCAAGCATTTGTATTCCCTGTGTAATATAATAATTTACAGAAGGGAGACTTTCTTTCAGCTCTTCTTTCATTGCAAAGAATAAACTTCTAAACATTGTGGATTTTAAAAGGTTACTTAGTGTTTAAGATTTATCATGAAAATGCAGACAGGAAAAACACAATTTTTAGCTGAAGTAAGTTAATTTGGATTTACAGAATTTGTAAAGCTGTGTTAACCCATACTTTGTATTTTCTGATAGGCTAGTGGAAAAACACCGTTTACACTTGGATTTGGTTCTTAATGCTGTGAATGTGTCTCCTAGTTATATTATTCCTAAGAGCATTCCAAGTAGCATCCAGATGCTGAACTGGGAGTAAGGTTTCTCCTACTAGATTTTCCTAACAATCTGCCTCTTTCCAGTATCTCTTCTGACTGAATTGTGCTTAAAACTTTTTCCACAAAGGAATAAGCCTAAGTTTCACCCAAGTGAGTAAATACAGGAATCCTTTCTGCAAGTAATCCAGAGAGAGTGGTGACAACAACACCGGATTCTTCTCTCTCTCAGGAAAGTGCTTTGTCTTGGACTAGAAGCCTGAGCTTGCCGGTGACTGCATGAAGAGTGTGGCTCGCAGGAACAGTGGTTATGCACTGAGAAAGAGACACCAAAGTGTATCTCACAGCTCCAGGTCCTTTGTCTTCAGCACTTAGGAAATTATTGTATTTTACTTCTGGCCTGGTGGATGTAGGCAACTTCTTTTTAATGATTGCATAGAGTGATGTTTGCATAATGAAAAATACTAATTTTATACAAGGAGGCAGCTACAGCTTCTTTCTCTCACAGCTCAAGAACTGAAAAGAAGGCTAGAGCCAGAAATACAGAGTATTTACTCAAAGCTGGAGGAAATCAAACTGAAACCTCAGCTTTGAGACAGGCCTGACATGCATACTCAGGTGAAAGGAAGGGCCATTTTTAGGCCAAATGCTCCTAAAAGAGAATGAAAGGCAGTAAAATTTGCAAACTTGCAGTGAGTCTTTGCTGCTGACAAGTGATGACCAGTGAGGGATGATGGGAGGGAAGCAGTGAAGAACGTGTGCAGGATGAAGTGCAGACATACAGGTGCTGATGTGTCAATAGGCTGGGGGTGTCCCATCCTCCTGGGGGAGATCTGGGTCTGTGACAAGAGCTCTGCATGGGAGCTGCTCATCCAGCACCCGGCTGGGGATTTGTAACTGGCCATTAACTCAAGTACACAGAATGCAACCTGTATGAGAAATTGTCTTTGCTGACAAAGCTGTAGGACCAGATCAACAACATAGTGTGCCAAGAGATAAGGCTTTGTTACTCTGCTACCATATTTTCTACTTCTGAAAAGCAAGTAGGTATCTTCTTGTAATAGCAGGATCTTGACAGTGCTCCCAGACATTTTTAAATAGGAAGAGGTAGCACACATATGTTTTAAAGGCAGCTGATTTTATTATAATCTATACACTAATGATCTGGTTTTGAGTAAGTTAGGGAACAAAAAATGCCAAAAGGTTTATATTGTTATATCTTAATTTAGATAATGCATTAGAACCTTACAATAACAATGTTCTGTCATAATTTTTGGGTGGGTTCTTATTTTAGAGAGAGAGAGCAAGACGGGAGCATTCAATAGATGTGAGAGATTTTTGTATAAATATTTTCCCCATTTCCCCTTGCCCAACCTGAAAGAAAAGTTTTGTTTGAAATAACTATAACAGTTGATTTTACTTAGCAGAAAGAATGGAAATTGAAGGATCTTTGACAGAAAAAGAAAGGCTTTGGTGACATTATGGATACAAACCTGAAGGAATTATAAACAGCTTTTTCTGAAACAGTGTATTTTTGGGAATATGGTATACTGGGAGTTTCAGTTTGATTTATTTTTGAAGCCTAAATTACACGGAGAATTGTGTCATCAAGGATGAATTTGGTATAAGGAACAATCATTATAGGCAGGGGGAAAAGCATTTCTAGTGTTATACAGTAGCTATAGTGAACCTAAGTGCTGTTTTAAAGATGGTTTTGTCTATAGAAACTAGAACATTTCAGCTCAAGCATACCTTGAATTTGAGTTCATATTATACTTGTCTGCATGCTAGGTAATTTTCTAACTGATCATTTTATACTTTCAGGGCATCATAAACCAATTGGTTTAAAACTCTTAAAACCTAGGTGTAATCAGTAGTCATCACAACCAGGAAATAACTTGTTCTGAAGACTTAAGTAACTAATTTGCACCTTCCTCCTCCATCTCTTTATTCTGAGATCACTGTCAATGTGTAAGTACCAGCCTACAGCAGATGCTTCAATAAACTGTCCTTGACACCCTCTGGAACTTACATAAAGAAAATTAATTACTAGATTTGCTATGTATTCACAAAATACTATAGAATCCTGGCATTTTTTAGGTTGTCCTTTAACTAGATATATGAATATTTTTCATTGGTTTGGATGCTAGGACCAACTGCTGTGTGAACATTGAGCCATTGTTCGAGAACTGATCCTGCTACCTTACATCTCCCTGGCACAATTTACTGAGTCAATACTCTGACCTTGCCAATTTCTGTAACACCTGCTATGCTGGTTGTATGCTGGAATTCCAGTTTGAAATTGCACAAAGGACTATATTCATCTACCTATGTTTGCTCACACACAATGCACCTGGACTTGGAGATATGTGTAAATATAATTTCTTTGTGTGCGGCAGTGGCAGTTTTCATCTTTTGCTGGAGTATGCTCATCTTAAAAAAAAAAAAAAAGTATAATGCAAGCAATGTAAACACGTACAGAACATTTTCTGTAAGTAACTTGTGAGCAAAACCTCTCTTTTGATTAGATGATAAATATTCCTGTGGTTTACATGCTGGGGCTTGTTTTATCTTAATGTGTGAAAACTGATTATAGACTGAAGGAAAAAATATTAAATAGTGTCACCTACAAGTCAGTTATTTTTATTTTGAGAAATGGGGAACTCAAATCAAATGAAAGATCAAACTACAGAGGAAAAGGCATTCAGAGAGCTGCAGTGTTCAGAATGAGGGAGAGGTGTTTTGCACGGATTTGGTACTGAAACCAATGACTGAAAGATTCCAGTAGTAAAAGCTGCTGCAGAGCAGTATGGGCAGATTCTAAAGCAAGTGATAGGGAGAGTTGCTAGTCAGGGATATCTGATATTGTGCAGCATTTTTGTAACCATCTCACTGAAATGTGGTGATGGTGATCAGAGACTGCAAGAGGGAGAAATAATGGTAAGGAACAGGGTTCATTTTTATGGCACATTTGGCTTGAATTCTAAGGAAATACCTGAACACAATTGGAATTTGTAAATCAAAGTCAGTTTGGGAATTTGTGACTCAAACCAGATGCAGCCAAATGTGACTGACCATTGATTCAAGAAATGGAAAAGAGCAAAAGAAGGTGTAAGACTCCCTCCAGTTTTATGGGAGAGAGAGAGACAGGACTGAGAAATCATTTGTACAACACGGAATGGAGCAAGATGGGTGAATGGGTTAGAGGTAGGTCTACAGTAGATGCTTCAGCTACTGTCTCAGGAATTAAAGTGGAATAAAGCCTATCACACATCAGGAATTAAGGCAAGGAAGGGACTTAGCATTTCAGAGGAAGTGGATGGGAAGGTGGCTGGATGGAGGAATTCAAGCTGCAAACACAGTTTCCACATACAGGAACTGGTGCAATGACAAAGGAGAGGCCAGCCCTGACACACAACCTCCACCATTCTGGGAGAAGATTGGGGAGTTAAGGATAGGAGAAAAAAGGACAGACTCAGATGTGCATGGACAGAAATAGAAATCACACTTTGACAGTGAAATAAAAACCCAAAACCTGCGGCTTCCCCAGCTGATGTTGAAAGTGGGAAGGCACCTGAAATTGGTGTGAGTTAAACTGAAAATTAAACATGTTTTCATGCAGGGATACAGCACCTATCCATGGTTTTAGTAGTACCTAGAGTAATTCAATCTACTTTAAACTTTAAACTGTTTTCATCAGCTAAGCTGCTGAATGCAAGACTGTATGTTAAGAGCCTTGCTAATAAAAAGTATATTTAGTTTATATATTGTGTGCATCTCCTTCCTGTAAGCAATGTGAACAAAGGTAATTAATGTTAGAAAAAAAGCATCCCAAACAAACCCTCCAACTCCGTTACACACAAAATAATGTAAGAAACAAGATCTGAATTTTCTGCTCAGAAGCATTTTTAAACTGAAGAGCATAACTTTATTAAAAAGGTGGGTATGGCAGACCATAAGTGTGGCAGATGAAAGAAACCTTAGGTATCTTCTCTGATTTACTGAACTTTTTTTAACCTTCTAAAGAAAAGCAGCATGAAACAAGCTCTCCCAGAAATTGAATGGTTGAAACTAGGGAGCACAAGCTACACAGTGAAAATAGAGCACACAGCAAAATTTCTAAACTGCAGAATCTGTAAGTTGATTGCCTGTGCTCACAACCTTTCCCTTACTTGTAAAAATGCCTCAACCCATCCTTCTCTTTTCTGATTCCATGATTCTCCCATCCTGCTGGGGAGTGTTGGAGTGGCTGCATGGGGCTTAGCTGCCCAATGGGGTTAGCCTACAACAGTATGTTCTATACCATAAAGGAAATACCAGGTGAAGTTATTGCACTAATTCCTGGGATAAAGCAGATATTAATGTAATTTACTGGAAATTTAAATTTATTGGATCATATAATTATGTCCTTTACCATCTATCTCAGACACTTCAGTAACAGAAGGCCTAACCAGTAAGCCAACAAATATATTTCCTCTAATGTACTGAGGTGAAAATCATAACAAAAAATAAGTTTAAATGGAAGGAAGACTTCAGAATAATGAATAGGACTTGTTACATGAATTTGGTGTTACAATTAAAACCATGGTTAAGGGGTTTGTACATCTAAGCTTTTTAATGCAAGCCTAACTTCATATTGAAATAGCAGAAGCTCAGGTGCACTAATATGCAGGCTTTTCATCAACTAGACAGCAGCTGAAACTGGATTACAAACCAAACTATATCACCTGTATCACCTACTAGGTTACCCTCAAGTTGGAATTCTAGAATATTCTGAGCTGAAAGGGACACACACCTCTTAAATACTAAATTAAAAAAAAAAAAAAAAGGTATCAAAGCTGGTTAATTCAGCTGTCTGGGGAACTGGATTTGAAGAGCTCTAAATCATAAAACATGAACGAAAAAGTGCTCTCAACTATGCCACCAGGGATGTTTGAGCCCCTAGCAGATTGCAATCTGAGCAGCAAAGGATTTAGCCTTTACTTTGTTGTAGACATTGCATGTCTTGTCCTTTCACCTCAGAAATTCTCCAGCTGTATTTTACAACTGTAAATACAATCTTTCTGGAGAATCTTGGAGAATCTTGTTCATTAATACTCTGCTATCCAAGCTATTAGCTTGAATTTAGTAACAGTCCAAAACCTCAGCAGTCTACAAGAGCCGTTGGACCAGTAGGTCTTCAGCCAGAAAACCTGGAAATTCTCACAGTGATAGCAGAAAAACTCACCTGAGGTCCTTCAGAAAGAATTTCAACTGCTTAAGACTTTTTAAAGGTGGTTGGTGGATAAGATTTGATGTGCCCTGATGCAAATACTCTCACAGCTTTTGTGGAGCTCATAATTATTGGGCTGCACTTTGTGTATCACTCTGGACATTGCTGACCAGCAAGAAGATACCAAGACAGACCCAAGAGAAAACATTGGCTTTGGAAGGCCAAATATTTTCTGCATGTTGTAACCATGATGAGTTCAGCACATCTGCTATCTTGACATGCACAGATCTCGCAATGCTGTTCCTCACATCTGATACACATTGGAGCGGTTTCAAACGCTGCAGCTCACCTTGATTGTATGCTCAGAGCTCTTGGCAGAGGGAGTGATTCTGTTTGTGTCAATTCAATTACATCAACCAGATCACTTCCCCACGTGAGAAAGGAGATCCTCCCTCTTGAAATAGGATGCAATAGAGCTACTGTCCATCTTAATCTGTATGTGATATCTGTCCATCTTTATCTGTATGTGATATCTGTCCATCTTTATCTGTATGTGAGACAGACTTCATACACCTGAGCAGGAAGTCTGCAAAGTTTTTCTCACTGTACTTCCAGGGTAATCTCACTAATTGCAATTCTCAGATCATTAAGATGAGCTCTCCTAATCCACAAACATGTAGTTGTTTCATAGCTTTTGCTGTCAATCAAACAATTTTGAAGGCCGTATTTTTACACAGTGATTGCAAAAAGTAAAGGCATGAGAGAAAGAAATGGATCATATAATTTAAAATTCCAAACTGGAGTGTAACAGCTCTTTAAGAATTTGTCTGGCTTCAAAGTAGGTTTTAACAAATGAACAAATGAACCACACTGATTTAAAGGTGTAAATAAAAAATATGTTTAAGGAAGAGAAAAAGATGCTATTTTTTTCAGTTCCAAGATATTCTGTACCAGTAACAATAGTATATGCTCTATAAAATGAACCACAGAGAGTGGTTCATTATTAATCATATAATGATTATATCTTATCAACCATATAATGATCAAATACCAGTTGCATCTCAGCATCAGAAGATTTTCAGTTCTTAAGATAATACTCTTGAATGTACCTAATTAACAAAGCCTTTCTGAAAAAAAAAAATAGCCTGATGCTAACTACCTTTTTTTTCCAAAACAGTACTGATAACCACATTAGAAATAGCCTAAAATGAAATCCTAAATATCTACAGTATTTTACTGAGAATTACTGTGAAGTAAATAATGGAAAGGCCTTGACAATGGTGCCATCTGTAAGTACCAAGCCATGAAAGGAACTTTTCCTTTTTTTTTAATAAAAGCAAGACTTAGAAAACATGTCTTTCAATAAGAGATACTCAAATAGTCATATATAGGAACATCATATACACTGCAACCAGGAAACCTAAGGAACAGAAATCAGGTTTTGCCAGAGAAACGCTGTAAATCCAGGTCACAATTTATCTTCTTTTCACGCTAGGATCATATCTGCAACAAAAAAATTAAATCTGTCACAAGTAAGTAAATCAATGATATTCAAAGTCTATATAGATATACAATGTGATGCAAACGGCTTTATTATATATTCGTAACAAGGGAATAGCCAGTGTTCAGTCCTTTCCCCGACTACACTCCTATAATTAACTACAGTTATTAATATTTGAATGAAGGATGCATAAGGCAGAACCTCTGTATGAACTGAAGATAACCTTTATTGAAATTTTTATATTTCCTAATTAATTACAACCTTTAAATCTGATGCATGAACAAGCTTCTCCAAGCCTTTAATGTCCCAACACTAAGGTCTTCACTGGAAAAGGACATCACAAAAAACAAGAGGAAGGAGGGAAAAGGGGTCCTGTACGTTTACATTGATGTACCTTTGGCCACAACTCATTCAGACAAAACCTTTCTGCTGCTTCCTACTCCTACATAAAGCAGATCCTTGCCCTACTTTGCCCTTTATACAGCTTCTGATTGACTTAGAAATTTAGAGCTACTTTCTGGATATACTAAATAGTTACATGATTTACTGAAATATGCTTACAGTTTGACTCTACTTAACACTGCTATACCTTGGCCTTCTCCATTTGTGCTTTATCTCCCAAACTCCTGTCATTTCTTTAAAATTCTGATGTGTTTTGTATTCATGCATTAAAAACTTACAGACAGAACTGAATGATCAGGCAGTTTTACTTCCACTAATTCTGCTTTCACTCATCAAGACTTTATGCTTAGACAGAAAAATGTGACAACTTGTGAGCAAAATTACATCATCACATATCTACAAAGGCATTAGAAGTCACTGTTCTTGCTGTACAACTAAAGACTTTAAAAATTAAATGTATACCCTTTAAAATAAATGCTCCATTATTAACTGTTAATGAACAGAGCAAGTTGTTAATGTAGTAAGATTTTCTGGATGGCTCTAACATGTATTGATATGTTAGTATCATGTTTGTTTGACAGTGATTCAGAAAAAAAATCCTTCTTCACCATATACATTTTTCTACCTAAATGCACAACTTTTGGTGTTAGTCTAATTCATGAGTAGTGAGAAGTCAAACACTGGTCACTTGTTTTTTCACATAAAAAACATAGAAAATAATGGAATTTTTGCTAAACAAAATGAGGTCCCCATATTAACTCTCAAAACAGTTATTTTATTTTATTTTTATAGCATTGTAACATGTTTGTTCTAATGACTAATGTCTTCTGGACACCAAATTCAATGGGTGAGTCTACGGATTAGAATCTATGGATTCTATGGGCAGGGGAGGAGTGGGGAGATAAAGCAGGTAGGAGTAGGAGATGATACACGATGGAAATCTCACATCAGAACAGCAGCTTCAACCCTGCCTGTGAGTGGCTACAGAGATGCTGACAGTCATGAACATCTTGTCATGTTACCTCCTCCACCTCACCTCCTCTCATTTCCAACGTTAAATGAAGCCTGAACAGGTTGGTTTTTTTTCCCAAAGAAATTGCTGAATCACTTTGACTACATTCTATATATGAAAATAATGACATTTTGTAAAGAATAGTCAAAGTAATCTTTTCCAAAATCAAAATTTGTCCAAAAAAAGAAGTGACGCAAAAACCCACATTTTTCTAAGTACAAACATAAAACTCTTACCTAAAGAGATCATCAGCAAGTGATTCTTCTCTTGCATGTCGGTTCTGTTCCTGAGAAAGTTGATTTAATATTTGATTGTTAAGGATAATTCTAATGAACCATCTAGAAAAATAATACTCCTGCACTAACACAGTTTTTCCCAAAAAGTAAATTCTCTCTAAGTACTTCTTTTAGTGCATATTCACATTAGACAAGTTATTTCACTACCCAAATTTGGCTACTGCTACCAACAAATGAAATTGAATAGTTTGTGGAAGGTGTCAATTTTGATCAGAAATATGATTTTTAGGTTTTAAGCACCATTATAGAAATATAATTTTTTAATCTGATTATATAAGGGGAATTATAATTAGCATTATCTATATTCAGGAATTTAAAAAATGAGATAAGAAGTGTTGATGCAATTGCATCTCAATCAGGATCTGGAAACAATATGACTCATCAACAAGTATTTTTAAGGAAACTATCAGAAAATGAAAGTGCTAGAGAACTGCCACGACAAGTATTTTTTTAGGATTTTTATATCTAAAGTTGTGCACAAAAGAAAAAATATGAAATTTATTCTTACTACATCTCTTCAGTATATTCCAACAGAGTTTTACTCATGCATTTTCTGTTCTATTTAAAAGCAGAATATCAACTGTACTGTAGAACTATTTGAACACAGTTAGCCATCTAAAAATTCTTTCTAGCTTCCTGTCATATTTTTACAAGTCACATGTTTCCACAGCACTTATTTTACTCATCAAAAGATTGTTCTCATTTAGGATACTGATTTTGCTTTCTATAAATATTTCTGATTATATGAGTGCTGCATGGAAAATGAATTTAAATAACCAGAAAAAGATAAGTGTTACCACTGACCTCTGACATTCAGTAACTTTAATACTGTACATGCTCCCATGAGCATGTGTGGAAGACTAACCAGCTGAGGTTTTATTTAAAAAATAAAATCCTGAAGAACTCCAGTAACAATCACAGGTTGGTATGATCACTTACATTACTCAAGTTTTTATTTTATCATTTTAGAAACTAATTTCTTACCTCTATTTCTTGCCTTAACCAGTCTTCTAACTCTGAATTCTTTTTAGCATGGTGAGCAATCAGATCTGATCCTCCAATAATGTGTGGAAGTTGTCCTGCCCCAGGATAAGCTACCTGTTGGATAATAAATTCTTACAAAACAAGGCAAGCATAGTGCAAATAAAATATCTATTTTAACAATTCAGAAAGCATATTCAGATATCACAGAAGAAAATCAGGCAGTCTTCTTTTGATTAACATTCAAAGATCATATTTAAAAGTGATAGAAGTTATAAAAGCATTTACAGAAAGCTATTAACTCCCTCCTTTTACCGAAAGAAACAAACAAAAATACATCTGGTAAGTTAAATATAATAAATAAATTTCATAGTGCATTAAGTGGAGTTTGAAATATCAATAAAAATCAGTTAATATTTTATTGTCAGACTGCATAAGCGTATGTTACAAAACAGTGGAAAAGAAACTATTATCAGAAAATTAAAACATTATCTAAAAATGAGAGCATACTCCCAGGAACAGTATCATGCAATCACATTCTATACATAGTATTTTACTGAAGTGCCTTTCTACTAATCTCATACCATATGATTTTACTTTTTATTTTATTTTTAACTTAAGCTGAAGTGGTACTTTTACACTGAACACTAAGAATCATTTTGCAATTGTCTTCAGGACCCAAGGAAGCAATCATCTTACTTTTGTATGATACAGGTTTAGTTCTATTTAGAAAGCCAAGGTTTATTAGTTAAAAAGAAAGATTCTGAATCAGTCTACACTTTATATATAGATCTTTGGAGAAGTGGAATTGCTAGCTTTTGGAAGTACAACCTGAAGTCATGGTAACTATTACTTACAACTTATTCCAAGTAACAGCTGGGATATAGAGTATAAGTATCTAAATAATCTAGCACAAGGCAGGCCTTTGTCAACTTGGTACTTCTTCAATTAACAAAATACTGTTTACAGCATTATATGGTATTTAAATTATTTCTTTCTTTAGTTATTGTCAATTTATAAGAGATCTTCAGTAACATATTTCTACAATCTGAAGGCAACACTTAGTATTTTTAAATAGTGCCATCTTGTGACCATTTAAAAAACACACTAACCTTTTTGAACATTTTGAAATTTTTCTTTCCTCCATAGCTGGTATTTCCAGGAAGATAACTCTTCTGTCTTGGATGGCTGACAACTAGTGATCTAAACTCTGTCAACAGAAGCCTGCTAGGAAGATTGCTGGAGTCATCTTGCAGTTTGCTGTGGTTCTTATGTGGGAAAAAAAAGGAAGAAGTATTCAAGTGTGTGAACAGACATAGAGCATATCTAACAGTACAAACTGTAGAGAAATTATCAAGAGCAGAGCTAAGCAAAAGTTAGGATTACAAAACAGTGAGGGAAAGCAGCAGCAGTGCTAGAAGCTAAGATGTCTGAACTTCTCAGCATCCTTATATACCATGAATAGAGTAAATTTGCTTCACTTGTGTTTAAATATTTATTTAAATACTCCATGGCAGACATAGTTTAACATCTTCAGCTCAATTCTAGCCTACAGATATCCACCCAACTATAGGGCTGTAAACTGAATTAGATTAATGAATCAAATTTTTCTTGTCCATAAGAATGCTCATATGCCAGCAAGTTTCCATGCACACTTCGCTGCCTGGGGCTACATCTATGTGGATTCCAAAGGATGTTTGGGCACAGGACAAGTTCACAAATAACATTAAACTATGGTCAGATGCAGCACAGTTGTCTTATAGTAAAATATATCTAGAAGTTCTTTAATCTGAGCTGACCCTGCAGTTTGGTCTACCTGCTCAGCATTGCCTCTTGTTGGGTTTTTGTATGTAGGTGAAATGGTATTATTCTGCCCCTTATTGACTGGCTACACTCTATCTCTTCAGAATTTTTTTTTATTTCAGTTTCATTCAGCCTAGTCTCCTTTTCCTCTGCCTCACTGCCACTCCAAGCAATTCTCCTCTCCTTCCTTCATCTCACCTACAAAAATTAGCATGTTATCTAGTGTTGATCACTATATATGACATCTATTTTCCCAATGCTCCATCTCTTCCATTTTAGCTGTGATCTTACAGCAGACAAGATAACATCCCTGGCAGGTCTTTAAGTAGTAATCTAAGAAAACCATCAGTACAAGTATTAACCACATCAAAGAATTAATACAATTACATGTAGTTTCAGTCACCTTTAAGTATCCACCCAAATGCCATTACAGAAACACAGAGATGAACTACTTTTTTTTCCCCCACAGTCTACAAGTGGACTGCACTATTCAAATTTACATATGATTAAGTTAAGGAGTACAATCTTCCAAACTTCCTTTACCCTGAAATAGGATCCAAAAATACTATGTTATTAAGAGCAAAATTTTGATGTGTTTTTGTAATGCTTCTTAAAGTTTGCTGTTCAAACTTACAATAAGCTGACTCCTTACCAAGACTGGAGACTCTTGCTTGATATTACTTTTCATTTCTGAAGTTAGAACCGATCCAAGCCCCTCTTCTTTCTATTTGATTAAAAATTATTTTAAATATAAAACTGAAATGAAATGGAAATATAATTACATAGAATTGTTTTCTGCTCTTTATTGTAGAATAAACATATTCAAATTTTTAGACAGCAAAGAATCTGCCCATAAATTTTTTATGATTTTACTGTAACAATTGTTGGAAATTTTCTCTATTAAAAAATCACTACTATTTGTTCACTTGGGTTTTTTTTCTTTCTTCCTTATACACTAGGAAGTTTTGTCCATCTGTACAATCTTCAAAGTTCTGGCAGGTTCTGGAAAACTGTAAAAGCTTTTGAATATAAAAAGTAACATTTTCAATTAGATATTTGAAGTGTAAATGTGTGTAAAAAGGACATTTCATTATCAGGACAAGAAAGTTTTCTGCAGGTTGATTTAAACTATTAAACTATAGCTTAAAACTAGATTTGCATTACATAATTTATTTTCAATGATTGATAAAATACCAAATCGGCTTTATGCACCATGTACATTTTGAGTCAATTACTTCCATTCTTTGTCTTGCCAGTTACACAAGGTGCATCCATACTTAGAGAAAATAGTTATCAAATTTGCCTGGGGAGATTTATCATGAAATCTCCTTCTTAGTCCATTGGAAATGTATTTTACATTAATAAAGTAGGAAATTATTAAACTATGAAAATACTTCTTTTCAGCAGAAATCTTTAAGTGCATATCTGCTAAAGTACCAGTTTAATTGCATGTAAGATTTTTTTCTCCTTCAGAATCCTGACAAGACGTTAAACTAGAAAAACTTTCCAAGCACCAAGCAACAAAATTCAATAGACTATTCTAAGCACCAATTTTAGTCCATCAGTATGCTCAGACCTAATAAAAAGTACCTACTGTCTGATAGTATAAAAAGCAAGAAACAAAATTCTCTAAATTATAGGACTTGTCCTTTAAAGTTTGCCTGTTAGTAACACACACAAAAAAAGAGTATTATAATGAAGTCAAAGTTCACACTTTGCCAGAAGCAAGCTCCAGTAAAGCATTAACAAGGTGTCAAGCTGGTCTGACCTCAGGATGCATAGAAAATTACTAATTCTTATGTGGTCCAAGGAATCTTACAATTTTCCCTTAATCATGCATTCAAACTTTTAAACACTTAAACATTGCCTACACTGTAAATGGACTGGATAGGTAAGCATTAAAATATATGTTCCAAATAAACAAAAAATAAACGTTTGCTCTTATTCCTATTGTACTGTCAATATTCTAGACATCTCAACACTTTCCTTCACGAAACTGCTTTTCCTTTTTTTTCAACAAAGTGACCACTGTTAACTCATGGTGTATTGTTTTCTTCATACCTCTTAGAAAATTTCCTTAGTGTCAAAATCAAAACCAGAAAAATAATCACAAAACACAAGCTGTGTTTTGGTTTTGCTGTTGTTTTGTTGGCTTTGGTTTAAAATTTCTTATACAGGAATTCTAATAATCTTTTCATACAATATCAAAATACTCAAAAGATGTTGGACACTACTGTAGTATTCAACAGAAGAGGTCAACTAGAAGTTTCTTTTGAAAATTAATTACAAAAAGGTAATTGAGTACTAGCTTAGTATAAATAACAATATTATAATTAATAATAACAGCAACAAGCAGTATGAGAAATTTTTCTTGGACCAGGGATATAGTCTCCTAGTCTATTTACAGTATATAAAGTAAAAAAAAAGAGGAAAAGTTCAGAATACAAGCAGTTTTCAATAAACAAATTTAAAAATGCCCAGAAGAATGAAAAATCATTTAGGCAGGTGTAAAACTGCAATGTTCACATGTAAAAGATTAATCATTCTGAACTAAAAATTGATGTATGAGATTTAAGCAAACAAATTTTACAAAGCCACTTTCTATATGCAGGCAACCTCCTCTTCAAAGGAGTTAATTACATCCTTCTAACAAAGATTCAAATTTCAAGATTAGGCACCTGAGCAGAATATAAAACTTACCAATACTTTATTCTCCTCACGCTGATTTACATTTACTTCTGGAATCCTGCTTTGTTTGGCTTCCAAACATTGTTTTTTTCGTTTACTGCTTTGAGCTTCCTGGTCATGATCTGTCATTTGATCTTCCCAGTCTATGTCTCCACTTCCAAACACAATTTCTAGTGCTTCTGTATCTTTAGATAAATCATCTAATTCCTTTCTCCTTTTTGGTGCATGATTTTCACTAGACGTGGTTTCAGTGTTTGTTCTATCACTTGTTACTTTGACACTTTCCCTCATAGGCTTTATACTCATGTCTTCTGCAAAACTTGCGTTTGGGTCAAGAATATTATTTTTCTTTTGATGCTGTTTTGCTTCAGTGTTGCGGATCAATGAAGTTGTAGATTCAGTGCACTTGGGAAGAGTCGATGACCTTTCCTCCAGTTTTGCTAGTTTGGGTACAGATGTTTCTTCTTCTTCAGCTCTTTCCCTTAGCCAGAAATAAATCACAAAAGAAAGAAACAAAAGCCTTTTTGAGTATGATTAGCTGTACCCAAAACTTAACAGCTTCTGGGGTTTTAGGGACTGCATTGTGAAATTTAAAGTATCCTTGAGGAAAAACTTTCCATTCTAGGAATTTGATCTAAAAATTACCTTTCTAAGTATGCGTCAAATACATGTGTCAAATGTACAAAGTACATTGCTTGAGTTAAAATTCTCCAGAAACATCACAAACATATCAGTAAGAGAAGTAATGTCAAGAACATTTCAACATACCTTTTTCTAGAAACCTGGAAGTAATTTGTAATTGAGTTGGACTGGTGATGTGAAGCACTCCCAGGAGATTTGCCAGCTTCTGAAATTTTAGATGGTGAGACAGGCTGACTTCTTTGACTGAACCCAGGTGTTCTGTTCCCTCTGGGTATTGATGTTCCTGCATTTACACTGCCACTTGTGCCGCTGTTTTTCTTTATGGCAGTTGTATTGTGGAAAGCCATTTTCCTTTGTCTATGCACCTGGGAAGTATTCTCTATCTCCATACTAGATTAGAGAGGAAAGAAATACTAAATGGCACACAGGAGGTTACCACAGATATACCAAATCAGATATACACTTTTTAAAAAAGCTATACCCGTATTTTGAATGAACTTATAAACAATGTGCTAAAAAAAAGTAGAATCTGCTATGATCAATACATTTTTATAATAGTGAAATGGCTCAAAAATTTTTAACAGTTCAGGCAGTCAAGACAGTCACGTAGATATGCAGTATCTACCATGTGCATTTGAAAGTCATCTGAATCCTATGGGATGCTTTCTGTAATCTAGTACTCAAAAGTAAAAATTATCTCACTGCAGACAAGTGACAGCAATTTAGTGAATGGCATTTCGAACCCTGTATATCTTTCCCCATGGCAATGATACAGTTCCTTTGCCACAAAAGACTGCTTAATTTGCAAGTATTAGCTTAGAAATTGCCATGAATACTTTACCATGTCTGCTCTTCTGTATCAGCTATGTATAAGGTGCTGCTATCTGCAGCAGTTGGCATTATGGTTTCATTCACAGCCAGACTCTGGGAAATGGCTCGGCCTACGACAGCTGATGCAGAACTTTCAGGTACAGCTGCAAGACCAACGAGAGAGAAGAATGAGAAGGTTAACATCTAATCCGCATTTCTTTGCATGTGCTATTGCACATTACTACCTGATTATGTGAGATCTTTGTAAAATGCTCTTAAAGCAGTTTTCATAAAAAAATAAGCAGATTGATTAATCAAAAAAAACCTGACAGAAATAGTTCTAAAGGACCATATTCTGGAATAAAGGACCATATTCTAGAATATTTAGTTAAATATTCTACAAAATAAATAATGAAATTCTACTTAAATAAAAATGAAGTATAGTAAGAAATCATATACCAGTATGTACATAATGTACTTTAAAAAACATGTGGTATATATTTTATGCAAAAAATAAAATATATATCATGCAATATCTAGATCAAAACTGTCAGAGCGCAAAATTCCTTATATTTATTCCTTTATGATGATCTCTAATGTGATTATTGTCTCTGGAATACAAGTTTTTCAATTTTAAACACTGCTTCCTTTAAACTGATACACAGTCTTTTTACACAATTTCAGACAACTTAACTTTTAGACAGTTGAACCGTTCAGACTGGAAACAAGAATCAGCATCTCTGCCAGTATTGCATATGTCTTTATTTAAAATACATTTTCAATTAAGTAATGTTCCTGCATGTAAAGACAAACTTAGGGGGTTTGTTCTTTGATTTTTTTAAAAATAATGGTAGTATTTTCTACCTGAAACAACATTTTGTAGAACAAACCAGAATCTATAAAACATAATTCTGAAAATTTCATAGCAACAAAATATAGAATAATATGAAGAGGCATGAAAACAGAGAAACAAAACCTCTTTCTGTCTCTCAAAGACTTCTGTTATCACCGCACTAGCAAGTACAAGCTTCAAGTCAAGACTTGGAATTTCCACTCCCAAGCTACTACTTCAGCAAATGTGGTGATCATGTCTCATTGTCTTAACTTATGGAAAGATTATTTTTAGTTTTGAACTGTGCAGGAGGTATCTGTATTTTCCTAAAGCAAATTCTGTTTAGAGCAAAGAACAAAAAGGAAAAAAATGCCAGACTTAACAAATTATTTCCATTCTTATTCTCTTGATTCTGACATTCATATTTTACATTCTGATTACCCCGGTCTTTTAGGAAAAGACAGAATAGCATGGAATTCAAACTACCATATATGAATTCAGTGGTCACTAAAATTATCAACTTCTATGTTTTTAAAGTACCTTTCCTTTCAAGGTCACTATTCTATGTGTCTGCCTTTTAGGCTAGTTTTAGGTCCACTTTTGTATTTACATCTAAGAGTCATATAATTTTCATTGCAATTTACTGCAAGACCATTAAAAACCAATTACCCCTTTGGAGCTGTATACATTTTTCATAGAATGTCACTCTTTTTTAGTGGTCCTGAAAACAAGAACAAATTGAACATCATAATTGATGCTCCTACACAGAAAGAAATACTGCCTCTTTGAGGCTGTTAATTTATTACTACCCGTCTTCCAATTACCTTTGGAAGCATGCTGCTTTTGAGGGTTGCAGTATTTTTCTGTAGACATGAAGATAACTGCCAATCCAATTTCTGCCTCTGGAATAGCCCTAAGATTCTTGCTGTTAATATACAAATTTAAAAAAAAAGAAAAAACGGTTTTCAGTTTTTAAGCACAGATTCAAAGATGAATAGGCAAGTGACCACAGGTATGGCAAAGTACAATATGTTCCATTCCTCCTCCTCCAAAAAAACATCAGCCTCCAAAAACACTACCGTTTTTTCTCAATATAGTAAGTCAGCACAATTATCCTTCACTACAGCCATGTCCTATATGTATGAACTCCCATGTTTCCTGCTGATGTAGCCACTGTGTAACTTCAGTAATCTGGCCCATATATCTCTCCTTTACTGATTTTTGGGCACTTAACCAATTATGCTCTAGCTCTGATTCAAAAATGTGTGAAAAGAGCCTTGAAAGAACTGACCGCTTCTTAAAAGTCAGGCACCCTTTCCCCTCCCCAGTCTTCTGTACTACAGTCATGAGGAGAGATCGAGCACTGTCTTCTCTACCTAGCAGCAAACTAGGTTTAGGGGAACTAGGTTTATGTGTGAGGATTGAGATTTTGTTTCATTATTTTAATAAAATTGCATAATGATAATCCTAACATTTATAATATATGCAGTCTGCCCTCTCAAACAAAGCCATCAACAAAACAAAAAGCAATTTTCATTAAACAGAAGCTGTTCTTCAAAAACACTGTATACAAATAATTATACAATAGTGAATGACATGACCTGAAGGTGTCATCTCATCTCCTTTTGATGAAATACATATAATCAATGAAATATCATGAATTATCTATTTTGAATTCTTAGAATATATTAATTTTAATGCCTTTTAAATAGTAGAAGACAAACTACTTGCTGGCTGTAATTTTAAAGCAGCTTCATTACAATGAATTTTTGTAGAATTGAGTTTGACAAAAAAATAATAAGAAAACGGGAATTCCATCAAATCCTCACAGAACTGCCAAGTTCTTTCTTCACTGCTTCAAGAAGTTTTAGCTACTCTGCTAAATACTTTGAACAATGTAAAAATGCCCTCTTTATAAGCAGTCTCCTGCTTAAATATGTGTGTGAACACCATGACCAAGTCTCTGTAGAGGTTCTGAAATTACCCTACTGCTGTACAAGAGAACGATGCTGCACCTTTCCAAGACAGTCAGAATGGAATCAGTCCAGTTTGTCAGAGAATCAGATCCTGAGATCTGAGAATTTGCCAAACCCACATCAACTACACAAACTTCAGGAGAAAGTAGTAAAGCCATTTCTTTTCTTCCTTCTGTCATCAACTTTACTTCCCCTCCTCCAAGAACAACTGCTGGACCCAGTTTCTTGTGCTATAAAGAGAATGAAAAAAAAAATCTTAGAATGCAGCCAATTCAGAGGTATGAGAATACAGAACTATCAGAGTAGTGCTTCTCACTGATTCAGTGCTGTAGATGTAATATGTTCTGCTCCTCCTCTACATTTTATCTTGTTTAGGCCACTATACTGTAGGATAAATACACAGAAATCCTGCTTTCCTGATGAACCCAGAATGAGTGTGATTTCAGAGTGAACAAATCTGTACTCAGCTACTCCTGCAATATTTCTGCAATGTAAAGCCTGATTACCTGCTTGGCAGTTAGAAATACAAAAGTTTTTCCACTGAATATTTTTTTCCTTTCGTGATTCTCAGATAAATCCAAGTTTTCACTGCCAATGGAAGGCTCATCAACTGGAGGATAAAAGCTGCAAGAACAGAAAATGAAAGTTACAAAATTCAGATTCCCTAATCAGTACTGACTCATAGTCCTTTCTGTTTAACAGTAAAGTTCTGTAGTTAAAATCCTGCATTTCTCTGTTAAACTACTTACATAAATCATTTTCAAGAGATTGTTAAGAAGAAAGAGTCCCTAATTTCTCAACATCAGAGATAAGACCAAGACCTTCTACTTCAGTAACTAAGAAAAAACATTTTAAGGAATGCATTCACCCAAAGTGCTGCACACATATCCACGTTCTTACTAACAATACTGACAAATGAGACTGCAACTTCATTCTGCACTTACTCTGGATAATAGTAAAACTCCTCACAAAATTAATCATCTTGCTTCCTCTACCCTCCACATGTGGACAGTCACCCTCATTCTCTTTACCGTGTCAAATTGTGTACCACCACACTCAAGAACAGCCTATAGTACGACAGCAGAAAAGCACACTTCTCTTGCTGGTGGGATAAAGAACGGAAGGGATTCACTCTGCAGATTATTATTTCGTCCAATACAGGGGAAGTGAGCAAGAGTTTAGCTGGGAAACATATTAGGCAAAAATAAAATTCTACCCTGAAGCCCTAAATTTTGTCATAGCCTGTGACCTCAGCTCCAGTTAATGATGGCCTGCCCAGAGCACAAAAAGCCTCTGGAGTTGGGATGTGTGTTTAACTAATAATTTCAGGACACTTATAAGATCTTTGAGCCACATATTCACTGCTACAAGCAGTTCTGGAAGACCAAGGTGAAGGCATATGTCAGAAAGTATGGAAACTATAGGTCAATTTTAACCAAACTATACCACACCTCTACCCAAACAAGTTTGGCTGATCACAGAACTACTTATCTTTATTCTGACAGCTGATTAGATAACCTTTCCATACTACTATACAGGAAAAAAAAAAAAAAAAAAAGAAACACACAAAAAAAAAATTCAGTTCAACAGCAAAGATTGGCAGATTCTAAGGAAGAAATATATGAAATGCTAAAATATTGATGTTTCCGAAAAAAATCAACCATATGTAAACAGAAAAACATCCCTCAAACACAAAAAGTAAACATAAGCTGAACACAAAAGTAAGCACATGAATTTTCTACTTCATCCAAATATGCAATTCAATAATGATAGGCTAAAATGTGTTATGAATAGGCTATATAGTTACAGGTGCTTTTAAGTAATCTTTATTCTTATGCATTCTTCACAATCAATTATTCAAACTTTAGGTACACAATGAAAATTAAGCAACCTAAATCCACCAGATTTTGAAAGGTGGGTATTCGATCTATTTCAGCAGGCTGTTCAAATCTGTTTACAAAAATATTGTTTCATTGAAACTGATTCGGTATGATAAAGCCTACTAATTTCAAGTAGAAGAAGGGCAATTCAGACTTTAGTTATTATGCCAGAAGATTTCTGATAGTGGATTCTACAGAGACAGTTAAACCTAAGAGACACTACAGAGACTACAGAGCCACTTTTTAGAGACTCTATAGAGACACTTTAACCTAAGATAAATACAAGGGACAAAGTCATCTTTAAAGATGGAAGGACAAATAAAAATGGAAAAACAACAGCTTTCACTACTTTGAAACTGGACTGTAGCATCTTTATAAATATATTTTAAAATCTCCATTTATTAACTTCAGCATGCAACTCTAACTGATTATTGTCTCCAAGAAAAACAACCTTATAAACTCTTACCCAATGCTGATCTAAGCTCAACAGGCAACAACAGTCTTTTGCAGTCAGGATTCTGAAGCACTCCTCATATTTGGCCTCATAAGCTTTTAATAGTAACACTGTTACCTAGAAAAGATCTCTACAACCTTGTATCTCTCAATAAATAGATTTTGATTCTGGGTGAGTTTCTGTTAAAAACTCTGTTACTTTTCTTCTTTTACAAAGCCCTGCACTATTGACACTGGCCTGCCGTAATAAAACACATTATTTCATAAAGGATTGTGCTCATGCAGCCACTTGTGAAATCATCAGTTATTATTCTTCCTTGCACAGGTTGTCAGAGAGTACCAGAGGACTGGGGTAACACCATAAAAAATCTCAAGAAGTCTCACATTCATATAGGAACTGCAGGTTTGCCATTACATGAAGTCTTACTGCAATCAAAAAAGATGCTTTAATTTTTTTTTTTCTTTTTAAGATAATGTTTCCGTAGACTCTTTGGGAGGGACCAGCTCTTCAATAATAGTAAAGACTTAATTAACAGTGTCACCCAGTATTACCATCTCAGTACACTTCTATTTCACATCCAAACCACTATTGCCTCAAGCTGTCTGGTGTCCTGTGGCTATACCAGCTCAGGTCACCTCTAGCTACAATGCACAATATAGAGATGCCCAGTCGAAGTTAGAAGTATTTTTGGAAATTTAATGAAAATAGTTGCTAAGTAAGTTTTCAGCATCTTCCCACAAATAACACTTAAAAAACATGACCTATTTAAAATACAGCAATTATTTTAAACATAGATCTGTGTATTAAATCAGCTGTTTCATTTAGCTTGATGCAGAACTCTCTTTGTTAGCTACATAATGTGTATATTGCTAGAGTCACTACTTTTAGCCAGTTCAGGTCCTCTCAGCATCTTAAAGTAAGCAAAAATATTTCAGAAAGGTAAACATATGCATCTGCTTCTTTTTCAGAGAGCACTTAAAAGCCAATTATACTGTCACTTGTGTATTAAATGGACACATATCCTGGTTGCAAGACAAAGACACTGCTTACTTGTTCCTGTAACAGACAGGAACAGCAGCATTACCATCAGGTATTATTTGACCAAAAAATTTCAAGTTGTACAACCAATCACTAGTTTTTGATGGCTTGTATGACCTGTACTACAAAAGAAAAAAAAAAAAAAACCTCACAAGTATTTCAGAGAGTACTAAATAGTTTGTTTAGTTTAGTTTTCTTACATCCTCAGAAAACAATGCAGAAGTTTAAGTAGAAGGGAAAGTAGAAGGAAAATTCATTCAGAATCTCTCTTCTGAAACTGAAGAACAAATTAGTTTTAAGCCACTCACAGATGACTGATTTGACATATTACATAACCCTGCTAATGTAAAACAGTGTCTAGAAACTAAGGAGTATTTCCTACCAATTGCTCCAGATTGGTATCTGTATTTTTGTAACAAGGTAGTGTCATGTTCTGTGAAATATATTTTACCAGATATCAAGCACAGCTTATTGTGAACCCTCTTGTTTTGTTTCTATTTCCATGTGTGCACCAGAAGCTTGTTTAGTATCAGCCTCAGTCTTCAAACTATTCCATCAATGGCCACTACCATACCTACTGACCAAAATAAATTGCCATTTCCTAACATATATGTATTCATCCCCATATGAATGTATATACATAGTGGGAATTTCTTACCTGTATAAACCATGTGTTCATACAATAAAAAACCAAAAACCATAACCCTCAAACAAAACACAAACGTCTCCCTTTTCAAAGTAAAATGAGTAGCAATATGGGCTCAGATGAAATTGTCAGATACAATATTGTGACTATTTTACATTTTCTCATATCAAGAAAATAACCAGAGACCTATTCTGCAGTATTTACTGATTCCAAATTAAGAATTCCCTTTTGAAGTTAATTTAACCATGAAAACAATGAATATTTTATTCTCATTTAGTGAGAGCCAATGCATGTTAGTCTCACTTCAACTCCCAGCAGATAATTAGAAACCTCTTCCATTTCAGAGAATTCAACAGTCAGGTTAACTCTGTTCTGACCAAAGATTACAGTCAACTCAGTAACTAACAGCACATTGGGAAAATACGTCTACATAATGAAATAAACTTGAAAAAAATTCTTTTATAAAACAGTGTAATTCTTTATTTTTATGTATCCATTTCCAGAAGTGTTTGAAGCAACATTTAGATACCAACAAAACAAATTCCTTCTCAGAGACAGTAACAGCTCTAAGCATAAAGCCAACTCCAGAACTCATTTTATAACTCTAGAGATGAAAACAATAAAATTGATGGAATATTAAAATGTTAATATCAAGCATTCCTCTGCAAATAAAATTACTATGAATTGTGTATTATGTCAAAAATTATAGATAAATGTGTAGTTATCTGATAATCTAACTCCCAAAAGTGTCATTCTGCAACACAGTAAACATGATGATTTGGCAACTTACCTTTCATGATTTGGCAACTGTTGCCTGGACTGAATAGCTCTGATTAATTCAGTAAAAAACTCTGGCTTTATAATTGGCCGAGCACAAATCAAAGCACATATAGTCTGAAAAACCAGAAAATGCAAATTTACTGCACAGAAAAATTTCAAATAGAATACGGTTTTTACTGACATTAGCTTTTTAAGATCTAAGATGTGGAAAATATCAAACAAATAAAGCAATCCTGATTTGTGCTTCTAGGATTGTTTTGCTTCTAACAGCTTAGCTTTTAATTGGTGTCTTGATTGAAGTTATGAAAATGTAGAAGGCAACTTATGAAAATCACTAAGTCTTTAAAACTGGCTTTATTTTCTTTCCCTTCAACCTCTTGTTGACATACACATCTAAACTCAGAAAAAGAAGAGTTGACTACAGTTTTTGAGAGAAAAATCTTGAACAGGTCTAGAATTTAATTATTAGTCATAGGAAAACTGCAAAGCAATGCAATCAACAGGCAAAAGCTCAACATACCTTAACAGTTACTTTTACTGATAACATTACAAGGTGGGTACATTCATTTGTCCACTCATTCACTACAAGGCCTCCAAGCTGCTGGATGGCTTGATTTAAAGCCTTTTTCTGAGCTACATCTAAACACGAGGAGCAGACAACCAAAGGTTCATATTCCACTCTGCAAAGAACAAGTAAAAGAGAATTGCTTAGGTTAATTCAGCCAATCATTATGATGAACACAGGTGACTTAACTATCACATTTTGTATCTCATGGAAATCTGAAGGGAAAAAAAATAAAGATATGTACTCTAATCTAGATCAAAGTAAAATCTTCCTGCTTTAAAAATTCCTGAAGAAACAAAACACTACTTTTTATTTAGAAAAATTAATGAAATTTGTCCTGATGTCTGAAATATTTCTATGGACTTGTGGCTTTTTTATAGACATCACATAGAATTAGTACCTCAAGAATAGTGCAATGTCTGGGAATAGCAAAAGAAATTTGAGTGTGTGCCTCCAAAAGCAAAAGCATGCTCTACAGGACAGGTCACCAACAGATCAATACTTAAAAACACAAGAGTCATAAAATGCAATTTCAAGTAACAGTTTTCTAACATTTCCATTATCCTTGACCATAAGCCTTTATATATATTTTAGATCTTCCATATCAAATTCCATATCAAAAATTATTTCATTTTTAGATTTTTTAAAATTTCTTTCTACTTTGTAGACTTTCTAGTACAATAGCCATAATGTATCCAGTCTTATGATGTGATTCCTATATCAAGTTTCTGGTATGTTTACATAAAATATTTTAAAATAATTTATTGTACTAATTGGAGAAGAATGACAAGTTTTTTTCTAACAAGCAATACCAGAAGCATTGATAAAACTGAATAAAATTTTAAGGCACAAAGCCACCTTCTGGTTACTTTAACATTGATTTTAATGGTCATTAGACTTTTTCTATTTATCTGCTATGACATTTCTAGGAGTGCTTCCTATAAATAAACAGATACCACTGGCTACCATGTTAAATTTGGGGGAAAAAAAATCACATCCTCCTGCAACATCAGGTTCACATTCTCCTGCAACATCAGTTCTTTTCTCATTACATTATAAACAGCTAACAAGGGCTCCAACAAGCTCTAAACCTTTCTGCCTTCTCCTCATTTGGTGTAGGATTTTGTTCTTTGCCTAAGAGAGCCTGAAAATACTCACTGTACACGACACATTATCTTTTAAAATGCCAATGTTTTCTTATCTACAATTTTAATCTCCTAGTGTCAAAATAAATTATGTAAAATATGATGGAAAACTATTTCAGAAGCAGGTGTGGACAGGCAAAATACTACTTACCTCCTTTGCTTTCTAAAAATTAATCATTGCTGTATCATTTGCAAAGTTGCATGATGTGCTAAAATCTTTTAAAAAATTAATTTTTACTTGATATTTCATAATCAAAACACTTACCTAAACTTGCTCTCAAAGACTCCAAAGTTGATTCTGTCACCAGACTGCAAAGACACTGAAGTACCATTGAGTTTTGATCCATTAACAAAAGTACCATACTTGGATGTATCTCTTACTGTTAATATAGGTACTGAGAGAGACTGACTCTGAAAATAAACATAAATAAGTCATTATAGTTTATCAGAATGAGACAGCTTTATCAGAAACAAGTTACTACCACTGTGAATCAAAGCAATGGATAAATAAGAAGGAGCCCATAAAATATCATCTTAAATAATGACTCTGGACAATCAGGCTTGCTATATGTAATTATCTTCTGTTTTTTTGCTGTAGCAGAATGAGAGAAAATATACATGTTTTTAGCTTTAGAACTTTAGTGCTTCTTACACTTAAGTCTTTTTGGAGATAGCACTTCATCTTTCTAGAGACTCTGCATGGCAGTCATTCATTGGCACAAAGCCTGAGCTAGTTCAATTTAGCAAGGCTCTGAGATTTATTATGTTTCTACCTACCACTCAGTACCATCTTGGGCATTGGGCTGAATAGTGAGTAAAAGCCTAAGTGCCTGAGGGCACTTTCTTATGCTTCCTTCCATGAGGAATGCTAGAGAGCCAACATTTCTTGAGAAGAGGTTAGATACTATCACATTTCCAAAGTGGCTCACAAGCCAATGAGAACACTGACAGCTTGTTTTTATGAAATTCTGCCATGCAGTTACATGCTACTACAGAGAATGGTAAGGTGTGAAGGGACCACTGGAGGTGATCTAATCCAACCTGCCTGTTGAAGCAGGTTTCCTTATAAAACACAACTCGGGATTGTCTCCAGGCTCCTTTGGAGTATCCAGAGATAGAGACTCCATAACCTCTCTGGGCATGCTGAGTCACTCCCGCAGTAAAGTTCTTACTCATGTTCAGGTGGAACTTTCTGTGTTCCAGTTTCTGTGATTGTCTTTTGTACTACTATTTGGCACTACCAAGAAGAGCCTGTCTCCACCCTCTTGACACCCTACCAGCTACTGATAGACATTGATAAGGTCCCCTGTCAGTTGTCTCTTCTCAAGGCTGAACAGGCCCAGGTCCCACAGCTTTTCCTCACAACTGAGGTGGTCCTGTCCCCTCATTATCTTCATAGCCCTCCACTGGACTCACTCAATACTTGTAGTATTAAAGGGACAAATATATTTTACATGTTTTATTTTAAACACTACATAAGGTAACATAAATGAAATTTCTGCTGACTGCTTCAAAACATCCATAAATGTCACAACACTTAGTGAGAGTAAATTGCTGATTGCTAATTCTCCTTGGTACGTTTTTATTTTCCGTGCCCTAAGCAAATACAGAATTAATGATGTGAAATGAAACAGAAACTAAGTCTGCAGTAAAACAACTGAAGCATTTCCCAGAACCTAAAATTTGTCTGTGTAATTAAATTTAATTGCATCATTTTTCTATTATTATTTTAATACAAATTCCTAGTGAATCTTCACTCTGGGATAAAAGGAAGCTTGGATTACTAAAATTATGCCACTACATTCATCAATGAAAGCAAACATACCTAAGAGGAAAAAATAAATTTCAAGATTAAAAAAAAAAGACAGATGATCAATGGTTCTACTCCAAGCATAAAACTGGTGAGAGCAAAATGTGAGTATGCATGGTCATGAGAGCCTGAATTATCCTCATAGTGCATTAATAATGCAGTAAAATGGTGGCTACTTACAGGGCTTGTTTCAGGCTGACTTACAGTCAGAACTGCATGACTTCGACTGATAGACTGATCATCCTGAATTAAAATTGTGCAGTTTCTGCGTCCAACAACATATTCTACGCCGCTTAAAAGCCGATATGGCTCCCCTGGAAATAAATAAGAGAGAGAAAAAATACCATTTTAGAAAAAAAAAAAACACCAAAATGCCTGAACTACATGGGAGAGCCACTGAGAAGTTTGTAGTACATCTAAATCTCAGCTTTGCCATGCATCATTTATGCTCAGAGCATGGTGCCAATAATGCCAAGGTTGTGGGTTTTAACCCCATATGTGCCATTCACTTAAGAACTGGACTCAATGATCCTTCTGTGACTGAATTCTGTGATTCTAATTAGAATTGTCTATTTTGCTTATAGACAAAACCTATTTCTTTCTTTCCTGCTCCCTTGCTCTGTCCAGTATAAAATGATATATTTTATGATAAACAAAGCAGTTTCAAAAGTGGGAGCACACTTTTTTCAAGGACAATATATTTTTACCAATACTCTCTTGATGATTAAGTGTAACATCTAGAAGAAAAAAAAACCCACAACCTAAAATAGGTTTTCTAAAACAACTTTGTAAGGATACATAATTTTTTGGAGTTATATTATTTATTCATATAACTGATTAAGATGTTCAGAGGAAAATGTCCTCCTAATTAGTGTAATGAGATCTTCCTGTAAATCAAATTGATCCTTTGTAAGTTCAGTCTCTGACCAATGTTTATGCTTTAGCTTATGCTTTTTACCTGCCACCTGGACCCAACAGAGGCTTCCCAGTGAATGGCTTGACTCTCTCCCAAAGGTGTGCTACCATTGGTCAACAGAAACAAAAATGTTTCTTGATGAATATGAGTATATGCAGATAAATTCCAGTTATCAACCCTGGCAAATAACTTTCCAAATATGAACTGTGCAGGTATGATCATTCTGAATAGAATGAAGAGTGTTTTGATTCACTCAAGAGTTCTCCAGGTAGTAAAAGGTAAGTCAGTTCATCTCAACATGATTAGGTGCTGTATCCAGCAGGAAATAAACATCCAAAATCTCCTGCCAGTGAATAAGGAAATAGAGCAAATGCAGTTGTCTTAAGTCTGCTCCTTATAAGCACTTAGCAAGAAATATATGATACCTATTATTAAAGCTTCTATGGACAAGAAAACGAAGAAAAGTATAGAGACGATTTAGTTTCAAAACTCTTCATGCAAGAATCGCCATGAAGTTCAACACTTGGTCCTTGAAACATCAACAGAATAGTTACACATCTTTTCTGAGGTTACTGCCTCAAAGTTCAACTCTCCAGGTATTTCGAAGCAGGACTCTGTAACCTGCAGCACCCCAGGACATCCCACACAGGTTCGAAAAGAAGCCCTGCTAGGTTTAACAGGCACTGTGGTCAGCAGTGCTCCAGTGAAATACGGAGGCTTCGCCGTGGAGAAGGCCCCGAGCGCCCAGGACGGAGATCACCACGGGGCCGAGGCAGCGCGGACACCGGAGCGCGGCTGGAGCCAGCTGTGGAAGCCAACGCGGCCCGCCCAGGCACCGGCGCGGCCGGGCGGGGACAGGGTCCGCGGTGCCTGGGCCCAGCCTGCAAGAGCGGCGGAGCGGCCCGGCGTTCCCTCACCTTTTCCCGAGGCGGACACCAGCTTCCACATCCTGGAGCTCCGCCCGGCAGCCCCCGGCGACCCGGACAAGGCCGGGCCGGGAAGAGAAAATCCCGGGACAGGCCGCCACCGCCGCGACCCCGCGCGCCGGGCCGGGCTAAGGGGAGGGACGCGGTACAGGGCACCGCCTACCGGCCTCGCGCGGCCGCTGCAGCGGCGGGCCGGCGCGCGTGCGCGGGGCGGGGCCCGGCTGGGGCGGGGCCGAGGCGGGGCCGGGGCGGGCCCGGCGCTCTCCCGCGGGTTTCGTCTGCGCCCATGTCTCAGCCGGCCTCCTTCACCCCGTGTCACTGTGAATTGGGGCTGGCATCTCACAGGAGCCACGCCTCCGGTACCAAAACCCAAACCGTAGAAAACTAACACATTCAGTCATATCATCGTGTTCACTTCCACCATAGAAATACAATGATTATTTCACACGTAGCTGTTTAGCACATTTGTATTCTCCAGTGCGTGGGTTGTAGTTTGTTTCCTCTTGCTAGCATTCTGTTGAAGCTTCCTAAAATCTGTAGTATTTGGCAGGGTAAAAGCTTCCCTTGAATTATATACACTCTTTTTCTCCAAGTTTTTGTTGTTTTTTTTTTTTTGGTGGTGGTTTATTTCTTGGGGTTCTTTCTTTGTTGCAGTTTTGTTTTTCTGTGATTACAAATGCCTTGAGACTCAGTGTGGTTGAATTAACTCTAATGGCCTGTTACTATGTGAGTCTTAGAGCAACTCCCTAACTCTTACCAGATATTTTCCATATGCTGCTTTAATGATAAATGTGGCAACTACTGCCCAACAGCGTGGCACTATTGCTTCAATGCTTGCCAGACTGTGTGTAGAACTTACAAAGATGTTACCTACTCTAGAGCTTGCTGAACCAACAGAGCATCAACTATTTTTTTTTCCTAAATGCTGAACATTTTGAGCAAATAGCTGTTTCGCCATTTTTATACAGAGCAATTATGACTAAGCCGTAGGATTTAAATTCTGCTTCCTCTGAACTCCCACAGCCGTGTGTAATCAGTTTTCCTGGAATTCTTAACTCAAAAGTTGATAGCTCAGACCCACTGATAGATTTGTTGTCTTTCATGACAAATTTTGTAACTGCATAGATTCATCAAGTGTGGTGTCCTCCCCTCAAAACCTGAAGCTTTATTAAATCTGTAGGTTCTTACAGCTACTATGCTACTCTCCCAGGCCCTTACCCTTCCTTATGAGTCGACACAACTCTGCAGGTTTCTGTGTCTGGTTACCAAGGCTGTGCAAATGGGTGAGTATCAGTCAGTCATTACTTTTTCCATCTTTCGGTCTCTGTGCTCAACACAGATAAATCAAGCATTCTCCAACTCTCACAGCTAGAACTGAAGGCACCGGGGCAGTGGCTGTGGCTGAGAAGGTGCTCCTGTGTTGTTCCAAAATAGGTTCTTTCACCCGGTGTGCAAGAGCCCAAACCAGATTTGATTTATTAACAGTTCTGTGCAGAAAGGCATGTTGGGTCACAAATCCACAAGGCCAGCACAAGGAAACCAAAACTTTTCACTATTTAAACCTTTTAGCAAACAAGGGCATACATGTTCATTGGCAACAGTTACCTAGTTCTCTTACTAATTAGCATTCTATCTTCAAAGTGATTCTCTCACTTCTCATGTTACTTAGTCCATACACTCAGTCATTCTCTTCTTTTGAGTCAGTGGGCAATCTCCCCCGTCAGAAATACCCAGTCAGAGCTGACCTGAGCAAAGTTGCGGAGTTGCCTTTATTAGTTTTTGTTTATCGTGGGGATTCTGCCAAATGCCCCTGGTAGCCCATAAATGATGCATTCTTTGTGTCGACTGTCAGTAGTACATCTCTCTTTCCAAGTTTTGTTACTCTCTCTCTAAGTCTGAGGTTACTGAATCATGTCAAGCCCTAAGCCTTAGCAAGGCAATTCCACCGACAAATAATTTGTTTTTCACCTGGACATCACTTAGAGCTTGTTTGCTCCTTTCTTGCTGATTAGGCTTGAAAGTATACAAAGATCAAACATCAAAGAACGTCCTTTTTAAATAAATTTTTTACACCTTCTCCTTTGGCAGCACCTGGGGCAGGGGCGGCGCCGCCGGCTCCCCGCTGCCCGCCCCGCGGCCGCCGCTCCTCCCCGCGGAGCAGGCGCAGAGCGCGGTGGGGGAAGATGGCGGCGGCGGCGCGGCTGTGGCGGCGCGGGGGGCGCGGCCCCCGCGTGTTCGGCGCCGGGCGGGTAAGGCACTCCCCGCGCTGCCGGGGTGAGGGCGGACGGGCGGCGCCGCGGAGATGTCCCGCCACCTCCTGCCCCGCCGCCCCGGCTCTGCCCGGGCGCCGTTGTCCCGTCAGGGGGAGGGCACGGCGGGGCTCTGCGGTTCCCGCCGCCGGGGCTGGGGAAGCTGCCGGGAAGGGAGCGGCCCTCGGTTCCCCTCAGCTGCCGGCGCTGTCCGCCGCGGAGCCCCCGGGCTGAGCTCCCGGGCACACGGCCCGCTGCCCCACCGCCGGGCGCTGCCGTGCCGCCCGCCTGGGTGCTGTCGCCCTTTGGCCCCGATAGCACAGCTGTGCAGGGCCATCCATTTAGGTAAATGGCTGGAATGTTGCTGTCCAAGTAGTGGCGTGGCTTGACTTGTGACCGAGTTGGCGTTATGGCAGGCTTCCGGAACCTGAAGGGAGCCTGCAAGAAATCTGGCAGGGGCATGTAGTGACAGGACAAGGGGAAATGGATTCAGATTGAAAGAGGGTGCTTTGGGTTAGATATGGACATGTTACCAAGAAAAGCTGTGGATGCCTCATCTGTGGAGGTGTCCAAGACCAGGTCGGATGGATTTCTGGGCAGCCTGTTACAGTGGAAGGTGTCCCTGCCCATGACAGGCAGGTTGGACCAAGATGATCGTTAAGGTCCTTTCCAATCCAAGCCATTCTGTGATTCTGTGACTATGTGGATATTGCTGGAGGCCGTGTCTAGTCAGTTCTCCACGAGCACGGTACTTCTTTCCAGTGACTACTCTGTTTCTGAGATGGCTTTCTGCAGTAATTTCACAATTCGCTTCCACCCACTTAGGTGAGGGTTGTTTTTTGGTTTGTTAGTGATTTGTGTGTTTGTTGTATGGTTTTTTTTATAAAGCTGTTTACTGACTTCTTTATATCTCTGTTTACACCTGAGATTTAATTTTAAATTATTAAATTGCACGGATGCTGTCATAGAAGCCTCTTGTGCAAGCCAGTAAGGAGATGATAGCAGTCTGACTAAAAGATTACTCAATTATAACAACTTTACTGGCTGGTTATCATTGCCATACTTTATAAGTCTTGGTGCAGCCTTCTGCTTCCCTCTGTTATGGCATGTCCTAATCTTCCTCCCTGGAGCAGAAGGAAAGCTGCTTGCAGTGTTTCTTTCGTGGAGAGCAAGAGGACTGGGCTGTGTCTGTCACTACTAGAGCACCTGATCAGGGAGTCTTAGCGCTCATAGGGGTTATCTCCATGTCCTGAAGGAAGAGGGAGTCCAAATGCTGTCTTGAGTTGCAGTCTCTGCCGTGAGCTGAAATTCTCCAGAGGGAGCTTTTTTCTTGAAGAGGGATGAGTAGGGGCCTACTAAATCCCAAAAGGGAACCTTCACATCTCCCTTTCCTGCTTAAAGCATCATGCTTTAAGATGTATTAAATTGTCTGTGTAATTCCATGGTGGTTCTCTCTGTTTTCTCCTGAGTTACTTATGCATATATAGTACCACTCAGAAAGATCCATGTGCACATTTCTGCAGGCCAGCTTGAAGCTCTGTGAAACCCTCAATGCATTGTAGCTGATGGAAGTCCAGAGTAATCATCTACCACTAAATATATTGTCTCTTAATTTTAGCATTCAAAATGTGAATTAGTAAACAGAACAATAAGGTGCAATATTTTTACTATTTTAAAACTACCTTTCTTCTTCATGTCAGTCTATTGAACAATTGCATAATTTTTTTTAACAGGATCATACAACAGTAACCATTCAGTTTTCTTTCACAAAATTGTATTAGATTTTCTTTTTAATTAAAATAAGCACATTAAAGGCTCAAGTACAAGGTAAAACCAGAGAAAATAAGTATAACTTTGTCTTCTAATTGTTTTGCACATCAAAAATAAAGTAAATCTAGTTTTGTCATACTTGGAAGCATTTGCACCTTCAGGTTATGGTAACTTTTGTATTTTAAATAATAAGGGAATTTCACAATTATTATTGTAGTGCCTCTGTCCCAAGGCATTTAATTCAATACTTAGATTAGGGTCTGAGTTAGTTTAGCATATTAGGATGCTATAAATATCTTCTTAGCTATTTTTGCTGCAACTTTCTTGGTGACATCACACATTTCTCAGTACATTTGTGGTGTATTTTCTTACTAGCATGGTTTTCTAGATGTAATACTGAATTTCCTTCTTTTTTCATGTCTGTTTTTAAACGTGTTCCAATCATGTGTCTTTTTGCAGGGACCAGTCCTTCTGAGGCTAATATACTACTGTACATGGTATTTCTGCTGGGATAGTGGGGATAGGGTGTGATGCTGATAGCGTAACCCTGCCCGGTTTTGTCTGGGCAATGGCATTGGTTTCCTTAGCAGCTCCAGTGGCCATTAGGGCAGGTCTTGTGAAGTTTGATTCTGTCCTGTTCTCCAGCAGAGAAGAAGGTTCGGTTGGATGCAGTAGTAAAGGATCATGAGTCTATTACTGAAGATTTAAAATTTGTAAATACATATATATATAACCTAAAATCACATGGATTTGTTTATGCATAAATTACAGTGCATATATCAAGCTGACGCCCAAGTCCTTCTGTAATTAGTTGTTAATGGTTTCCCACATGCTTTTAGAAAAAGTGATAGATACAAAAAATGCGTGAAGTAGCAAGAAGCATGACTGAAGTATTTTTTCAGTAGTTCTCTAGTTGCAGTATAATAAACTAACTTTTCTGGGTTTTTTCCTTTCAGTTTTTCAGCCGTGGGCCAAATGTGCTGCATCAAGACAGCAGTGCACCACAAGCTGCATTCTTCTCACCTCTTCAAAAAGTGATGTTGCCACCAAATACCTACCAAGGGAAAGTGGCCTTTATAACTGGTGGAGGTACTGGGCTTGGCAAAGGGATGACGACAGCCTTGTCCAGTTTAGGTGCCACGTGTGTTATAGCAAGCCGGTAAATATTAATGAAGATGTTTTAGAACTTTCATTTAGTCCTCACTGCTGAATAGATGTTTTATTCTTTACAAACCAGAAAAAAAAAAAATCAATTTATTCAGTAACAATACATGTTTAAATTACAATGTGGATTCTAGAAACTTGCAGATTTATCTGCAAATGTTTAATGGTATAAAAATCAGTAGGAAGAAATAAACTAAGCACATTTTCATGAAATGTGGCAGCAAAATAAACAACCTCAAATATCAGTCATAAATTCAAGTAAAGCCTTGAAGAGAACAAAAATTTGCAGTGGGCAGCATTGAACAGTAATAAATGTTATTACAGGTTTTCTTGGTACAGATTTAAATTACAGTAAAGAATTAAATCCATTTGTCTCAGAAGACAAGAGCCCTGATTTTCCTTTAATGATGATTTTCTACAGCTCTTAAGAACTGCAGGAGAGTCTAGAAGCACTTCAGTAAAGTCTAGAAAAACAATCTATTTTAAATCAAAATAAACAGTGTTTGTTTTGTTGTGACATTCATCCTAACAGTAATTTGTTTCATTTAAATGTGAATATGTTATTAATACTAGTAGAGTAGTAGCTAAAAATAATTTTGTTGTGATCATGTGCTTTTTTTCTGGCTTATCACATGTTGTTTAGCTTTAGAGTCTCTTACATTGTCACTTCTGAGTTGCGTTAAAGTAGCACTAATCATAAATTACTTAAAGTTTTCTTTCAGAAAGTTAGTGGTTAAGCATAGTTTTACTCTACTATGTTTAAAGCTATGAGTTTTAATTGATGAAAATCAGCAACATGCATGTGCACACACATGTTTTAAGTTGTAGTTCATATTTGCTCAGAAAAAAAAGATTTTAGTAATCTGAATTGTAATTGCATTTAACTGACATAAGGGATGTTAATAATTATTTCTAGGAAGCTGGATGTTTTGAAAGGAACAGCAGACGAAATTTCTTCTAAAACAGGGAATAAGGTAAATTTTTGCAGAATTACGAATGTGTTACATATTATACTCTACATTTTATTGGATTTTTATTTTGCATTTGTATGCTTCTATGGACTTGTTTAATGTATGAATGATATAGTTTTTAAGTCTTAAAACTGCCTTTCCATTATTCTTTAGGTTCATGCCATCCAGTGTGATGTGAGAGATCCTGTTTCAGTTAAGAATGCTGTTGCTGAAACAATCCAAGTAGCAGGACACCCTGATGTAAGTCTTCTAGGGAAAGGAAAGAACTTATTCTTCATTACTGAAAATACTTTGCACAGTAGGTATGAAGAAACTTAATAAGATAGAAAGTTAATGGAATATAAAAAGACAGTAGACAGAACAGTGGCAATACTTCAAGGTAAAGCTAACATTCACAGTTAGATCAGTTACTCTATTCCTGTGGTTCTTAAAATATTTAGTGGCCAAGTAGACGAAACATTTTTACCCTTATTCTGAGGTCTAATGTCTCATTTCAAATAATGGGACAGTTCTGGAGTATTGAAGTAAGGGAATGGAATATTGCCCTTAAATCCTCCTGAAAAGGTGATTTACCTGTGTTTACTGCATTACACCTTAACACAATGCTTCACAAAACAGGAATGGAAAGAACCATAAATGTCTTCTTTGATCCTTGTGTAGCTTATTAATATACACAAAGAAGGTTCCAATTTGCAGATTAAGTTTGCATAAAATGAAGAAAAAAGTCTTAGCCAAGCCAAGCATTTGCTTTTTAATAGTTTGGCACAAAGCAACAGAGCTCCTTATACCAGATTGTGAGGAGGGTGATCTGGTGCAGTCTGAAGATAATAATAATAATAGGATAATAATAATAAAATTCTGATTTGTGAGATAACTTGGATTCTGCTTGTTGATAAAAAGTGTGATGATGTAGCATCATTGTAAAGGACAGTCAGATTTAAAACTTTTTACAGTAAATTTAAAACTCTGTGTTATATACAATTTGCACTAAATTTAAAATTGTGTGTGTTATAGACAATTTGCACTCATGAGGAGCTTCCTATAGATGTGGTAGAGAACCTACTGAATTTTAAATATCGTAGGAAGTAGAAAAACTGTAGTCTATACAACTGTATAGCTGTATGCTATAACAGTGCTAGAAATAAGGCAGCTCACTGTCCTGATTTGTAGACAAGATTCTCTGGATATTATTTTCACTATTAGTTAAGTCAGTTTTTGGCCAAAGTCAGAATCATGATCATCAGGTTTTACGTGTGTGCAGAAAGGGAGGAGATTTCTTCCTGTATAGTACAAATTTAGAGCACCAATAATTTTCTGAATAAATGCTTCCCATGACTTGTTCTTTGCAATCATTTACTTTCTCTTTAATTTCACATATTTTGTCTATTTAAGATAGATGGCAGAGTAAATTGAATATTCAGTTTTGTCCAGTATTTCTCTTAGTTGTAGACATGTTAGTTTATGAATCCTGGGTATCACTTACTGCCATACTGCGTTTGAGGTGAGCTCTCAAAGACAGAAGTTAATTGCAGTAACTTGAAAGTCTTCCATCTTTATTTTGTTCATTCCATTTCCAAGAATGCTACTCACAATTAGAAAGCAATCATTCTTTTGTCGTGTTTTATTTTGGCCATCCTATATACCTAAAAGATCATATGGCGCACTTCTTAGTTCACTAGTTTTATTGTTGTGTCTTTCCTGTATTTATTCAATGATTTGAGTAACTTCGTTAGTATCCCAAGGTGTTTGGATTTTTATTCCTTCAGATTTCAGGAAGGCCTTTAAATTTAATTTGCTGTCCATATGTATAATTAATGGCTGTTGTATATTATTAGTGTTACATTCATGTAATATGTACTGTGCTCTGTTTTGATATTGAAAATTCCAATATCTTCATTAGAATTTAGCCCAGAAATTCTTCAGGACAAATAGTTCGTTTTATGTGCAAACCTACATGGATCAAGGTGCCATTCCATTAACAGTACATCGTTTACATCTTCAACACATAATATTATTAAATATGGTGATCTGGCTACATAATTTTTGGTTTAAATACTGCTAATGTGGTGCTTAGTCCCCTGAAGTGTAAGTATCCTCTACCTGATGATTATTCATAGGAAGCGATGGAGGTGCATCTATTTAACAAAAGTTTTGTAGTAGTTGTTTGCAGTACATTGATTGTATCATAATATTTTCATTCAACTGATTTGAATTCCTGTTACACAGCAGTCACTTAATCCAGACTCTAGTCATCAGGTTGCCACCTTTTGTTTCTATTCCCATGGGTCTGTTATATTAAATAGATGTGATGCTAGAATTTAATAGGGGCAAACTTTTCTGTTAGGATGCACTTGAGACACTATGGAAAATAGTGACTTCAGTCAGCCTCTACATTATACAGGTCCTCAGTATAGTAGTTTGGAAATACAGCTCATTTTCTGTTACTGATACTTTATCTGTGCTGGAAATCACAAGATTTCTTTTGGATTATTCTCCCTATTCTCCTGCCCCTCATACCTCATTCAAAGAGGGTATTTTTACTTTTGTCCCGGGAAGCACTAAAAAGCTCCTTGTAAATTCTTTACTTTTGTCTCAAGAAGAGTTATTTTGAGTTAACTCTTTTCCTTCATGTGTTTCAGGTTGTGATAAACAACGCAGCTGGAAACTTTATTTCCCCTTCTGAACGACTTTCTGCTAATGCCTGGAGAACAATAACTGATATTGTACTTAATGGTACTGCTTTTGTAACTCTGGAAATTGGAAAGGAGCTCATTAAAGCACAAAAAGGTATCGTAAGCATTGTGACATACTATTACCTGCTTTTCTTGCCTTACTGTTATTATAGCCAGTTTTGAGAGTTCATGTGAGAAGACAAATACAATTTTTAACATTCTTCTAGAGAGGAATTTTTTCAGTGAAAGCTGTACTTAAGTATCACAAAGTAGATCTGGCTAACAACTACTTCATTGTGCAGTTGGACCCAGAGGCCAACTAAGGCCGAATATAAAAATCTAATTGCAGAATTCTAGTTGTAAAACATTTTTTAAATTAAAAAAAAAATAAAGGTTTGTGTTTTTTTAAAAAAAAGCTGTTATTTCTTCTGAATTTTCTCTATGTATGTTAATTTCATTAAACTGAACATGGGATTCTTTAAATGAACAAGAAGTCAGGATATCTCTTTCCATGTTCGTCCTACATTAAAATAAAATTTACAGCTATGCTATATGACTAATAGTACTAAAGCATATTACCTTTGAGATAATTTGAAGAATTTTGGAAATTAAATCAGTGATAGATTTTATTTTCCCAAGTTTAGTTCTTAATTCTGGACTACCTAGAAGTTTAATTCAATATCACAGCTTCACCTTAAAAATACTCTTTCCTTTTATATACTATTCTATAAAAAATATAATATATATATATATTATATATTCTTTTATATACTGTTTAGCCAAAGATTTATTTAACCAGCTTATTGCTTTAAAAGGAAAGGTGATGTATGCCCTTCTATGTTATATCACAGATTATTTACAAAGAACTGCTTTCATTTTACGTTCCAGTTATAAATTGAAAAACAAGGAGTTCATTTTATGAGATCAGAATAATATAATGTCAAATTCATTTAAAAGCAGTGAGATATAATTATGGTTTTCCATGTGCCCTCACTACTGAATCCCGTCTTCTAGGTACAGCTACTGTGTTGAAATACTACTTTTGTATTTACCCTGGTATTTCTTTAACCTCTAAATTAGCTGAATTTCTTCAAAATCCTCTCCAAAAAGTATTCCATGAGCTTTTGCTATTTAATTATCACAATATGAAATTAATGTTGTTTCAGCGGGTGTGTAGCAGTTTTTGTTAGTATACAAGTATGTCCCCTCTATATTTTAGCAGCACATGAAAAATTAATTTCTACCATTCTAGTGCTGATATTCCCACATAAGAAACCCATTCCCAGCTATGACTTACTGTATCATTATGACAGACCATTGAAATATGGTCTTCCAGGTTCATGTGGTGTGCCGGTGTAGCAATGTGAAATACGGATTGAAACATGCTTTTGTTTTTGCTGGTCTTGAATGAAAACAATATTACTTTCCTTACTTCCATCCTCAAATTTGGTAAAATCCAGACATGACATCATTCATCTTCATTTTGTCTCTCTTTCTTTGACTTCTAAGCTTCCAAAACATGTGAATTTCTTTTGCTATTACTTGCATGTCTTCTTTCTAGGGGAGTCCAGCTGTAAATAAGACTTTTTGTTTAAGGCTTTCTTTAAGGCATGTTTTTGTAAGTAAGTCATATGTTTGTCTTCTCACCTTCATTTTCTTTGTACTTGCTTGTTGTTTTTTGGTTTTTTTTTAGTTTGAGGAGAGACCTTAGTTTCTAAAGTGATGCTATCTAGTACAAATGTTTCAGAGCAGTATGTGAGGATACTATGAATCCGACAGTTTCTAGAACACTGTGATGTCCTTTTGGTCTGCAGTGTGACCTACATTAAGTCTAACGTAGTAAATAAAAGTTCTCTGCTTTTGTACTGCAAGTTTGTGATGGTATTTGAAAGGAACTTGTAATCTACTAGCATGTTACTTATTTTTAAAAAGTGAGAGGAGCTAATTGATCACTTATTGTCCATTTTATGAGTATAGGCTTTAGAAATAAAAGTTGTGTATGAGCTGAAGTGTTCTTTAAATATCAGAACTGTAAATTTCTCAGTTATTCTTACTTCTGTGTTAGGTTCACCTAGCTTACCTGTATTTAACCTATATTTAAAAAGAAAACCTGTGGTTTAATTCTACAAGGTGTGTAATTAACAATCATCTCTAGATAACTTCAAAGTTGTTCTATGGTTTTTTGCCTTTCAAAGACTCTCAGTGAAGACTCCTTTTTTATAAACAAGGCCCATGATTTCTGGATATCTGCTGGCATTTAATTTAGTGCTTATGATTCTCTTTAGTTTCTTCTGTGTAATATTGCTGTAATTTTTTTATCTGATTCTCTACTTACATGCAGTCTATCAGTTGTGTATATTGTTTTAGAAATATCCCCTGGGCAGCTATTCTAATGAAATTATTTTTAAAATATAGTAAGTAGAACGGTTATTTTAGTTACTGTGACGCAAGCAGTGAACTGTTATCCCTTGTCCTTCATTTCCCAGCTACAGTAAGCTCATGCCAGTCATTGATCAGACATAATCTGCAGGATTCTATAAAAGAAAGATTAAATAAGCAGTTGCAGTTTCCGTTATATTCTAGAATGTTTTTGCTAAATCTGTTATAAAATATCGCATATAAAAGACAGTAGTTCTTTTAGAATGGAGTTTGTTGTGATAATAATAGGAAATGTTATGCAGTTTCACTCTGTAATTGGCTCTGCTGCAGAAAAGGCTTCTGAGAATTTCTTTTTTTTTCTGCATAAATGCTAACTCAAGCTCTCAGATGTTAATTTCAGATTATGCCAAATCTAACTGTTACTGGTGATATTTTTTCCTTGTTTTTTTTTTTTGTTTGTTTGGTTTTTGTTTCGGATTTTGGGTTTGTTTGTTTGGTGGGGAGTTTTGTGGTTTTTTGTGGTTTTTTTGTGATTTTTCTTTGTTGTTGTTGTTTGGTTTTGATTTTTTACCCCACTCAGTAATTGATGAATTTAGGGCAAAATGTCTGGTTAGTGACAACTAGACTAGGGCAGCTTCTGAAAAAATACTGTAAGATCTTAGGCCTTCACTCCAGTTAGACTAATTTATGCATTAAGTTCATTATTAGTGGAAGTCTGAGGGCTTAGACCTTCAGAGCCTAATCAATAGCTATTTGCACTTACCTGGAGCAACTCTTAACACTCATGCAAAAGAGGGAACTGAAATAAAAAGGCTTGAAAAGAAAGTTTCAAACACTGTATTTTTAAAATGCCTTTTCAGTGCCCAGAGTGAGCCCATTTGAGCTGAAAACTTTTGTACCATTTAGCTTGCTTTTACCTGAACTTGAGAGTTTGATCTTCAGGGTTGTTTGGTTTGTGTGGTGGGGGTTGTTTTTAAATGTTTTTGCACCTTCTAGGGGCAGCATTCCTGGCTATTACAACAATTTATGCAGAGAGTGGTTCAGGATTTGTGTTGCCGAGTGCCTCTGCCAAGGCTGGTGTAGAAGCAATGAGCAAGTGAGTAATACAGCAAAATGTGTGCTTTGGTTTCCACATCCTTAGGGTGGGGTAGCTGGTCTATAAAAATGGAGCTCATTAGTGTATTCCCCATATTTCACTTTAACACAAGAGTTCAATCCAGGCTCCAGTGTCCTAGCAAGAAACTAGTATGCTGACAACTTCTTACAGAGGGAAGTATTAACTGCTACTGGGTTTTTTTACAAGACAGAGATAAGGACAAGTAGGACTACTTATCTTGGCAATTGCAAGTTCCAAAGTTTGTTTCACAGTGTTTTGATAATCAGGTTCTCTTGCATTCTCATAGGTGAACCAGCATAGGTGAACAGCTGTTAGGGAGACTGTTTGAGATCTGTAGCACCTTCTACATTCTTTTGTCTGATGAAAATACATGCCTGTTATTTGGGTGCAGTATAGCGTGGCTTCAATTCTGTTTAGTTTCATCAACAATTGTTTCCTGTCACTATTTAAAATTAAAGTCTGCAGTTCTACTTAGTTCAGAACAGTATCATGTTGACATATCCATGCTGCTCAGCAAACAAAAGGATTACTCTCAATTTTAATTTCAGGCTAGTCCCTCATAGCACATAGATCTTTCCTCTGTACTTCAGCAGAAAGAATTGAATAGATTGAAAGCCTTTTAGTAACTAGAATTCTTTATCTGGAAGAAAATGAGGGACTGAGTAATGGTCTTGATTTCTGTTCTACAGAGCTGTAACGGAAATGTGTACTTTTCAGAGACGTTGTGACTCAGCTAATTCATTCACCATAGTACATCCAAAGTACTCATCATGCAGAGAAAATGTCATAAAGCAAAGCTATTCTAGTGATCCTGTTTTAAAATGTATCCTCTGTTTTATTTCAAAACATAATGTGAGAGCTATGTTGCAAATGTTAGAAATGTATACTTGTGGGATAATCTAAATTGCCACAGAAAGATGATGGCCTAATAGTTGTTTGGTAAGGTGCCAACACCATCCCTGCTTTGCAAGGGAGAAAGCATTGCTCCTTCACCCTGTTTTACCTGTGATTACAGTCATCTTCTGTTGGTGAATGAGATTTTTTTTGCTTCTCTGAAATTATTTTGTTAAGCACAAAAAAAACCCTTTAAGTAGAAATTGTCTGTTTCAGGAATGTGCTAATATTTACACATTTGATTAAATTTTAATTTCTTTTTTTCTGAATAGGATTACAATATTGTGTTTAAAATATTGATGCATTCTGTTAATGAATTTTTAGGTCTCTTGCGGCTGAATGGGGTAGATATGGCATGAGATTCAATGTGATTCAACCAGGTCCAATAAAAACAAAGGTACATGGCATGAAGTGAAACACAGCCTTGAATATGCTTTGTAGTACAGACTTAACTTCACAACAGTCTAACTTTTCTGTAGCTGTAAATTCTAATATGATTTCCTTGATAATCAAGACTGTGCTGGAATATTGAACACACTTCCCTCTTAGTCTTTTTATAAAATAGGATTTCTTGAACTTCTGAGACCTGCCACTGTCCTCTCTACTACACTTGATATAAATAGAACCTTTCTTTTTTTTAGTATTTCAAATAATTGATATATCAAAGTAGTTAATGATGATTCATATTTCTGTGTACTTAGTTTGTTAAGTGGAGTGAATTTTTACAGTTGTTGGAGTAAAGTTCCTGTTTCTGCCTAACCCCATATTTTTAAACAAAACATCTGAAACATTCCAAAATCTTAGAATCTCTTTTAGGTATATGAGAACAGAATCTCACTAGTTTTGTTGAAAATCTCAAAACTAGAAAGAGAAAAACTAAGTTGGCAAAGAGATGAGAAGCTTTGAAGTGAGTGAGAAGGAGGACTGGAGGGTTTGAAGGAAGTATTCCAGAGCAGCTGGAACAGGAAGAATAAAGAAAGCAGTCCTGCAAGAAGAGAAAGGAGGATCCATTTCCCATTGGATCAAATTATTATGATTATGAGCACTAACAACTAATAATGGTATTGCTTTTTCCATAAAATATTTCAGAGTTGTTTGTGCTGGTTTTTTGGGAATAGGGGTGCAGAGTTGGTTATTTTTTACTTTTTTGTGTGTTTGTTTTATTTACTATTCTTTCATTTTCCCCTCTTGTCAGTTTTAGATGCTACACTGGAAAACTTAGTTTTTACTCTTTTCACTAGAAAATAAGTTGCAGAATTAGCAGGATTATAAGAATGTTGAAATACCCTTAGAGGATCAGACCAAGAGTTCTCCAGGCCTTGTATCTTGTGTATTTTTAAGTAACAGTAGAAGAAAAACATTTGGCAAGTTAAGGGATTTAAATGTCTATAGTGCTACATCCAGGTAATGTTCCGTTTTTGAACTAATAGTGTATAACCTAATAGTGTATAACTACTGTGTGTTTTTAATAAAATGCTACATTTGGAGTATGGTTTCAACTTGAAATTTTCCTGAAAGTATAAGAAGGCCAACAGCATATCACAAAATCAAGGTTTTCTGCCTTGGGGGCAATATCCATGGCTTTAAATCATACTGTTTTAAGTCATGATGGGAAAAGAGTAAGGCATAGAAGCACAACACTGTTAGGCTTATAAACTGGCAATTAAAAACATGGCAATAGAAGACTTAAATGGCATGTTTGCAGCCATGATTACATGAATTACAATGTGCTTTAAATCATAACTCCAGTAATTTAACATAAATGTTACTGATACATTTCTGATTTTGAGTGAGGAGGTTATTTCCTTGTGGAGCAGTAGGAAAAAAAAACCCTTTTATTTCCTGTGCCATTTTAAGCTATTCAAGAACTAAAGCTTCCGATGACTTACTTTAGCTTTAGCAGTTGCTGCACTTTAACTGAACTTGATGGTTTTTTCTTTTCCATTTTATTTACTCAGTCATCTATAATTTATTTCTGGTCACTTTCCTGTTCCTCTTCTCCCCTTGTTTCTCTCCTCTGTCCATGCAGCAATTTTGAGTCTTGGTTATTTCCTCAAATGTTTATCAAGGGTGTTTGAGGAAAAACAGATGATTAAACCCTTTTGTTTACCACAGATAGATGGTGGGTGACTATCCCAAATGGATTAAATTCCAACTTATCATCAATAGATGCATATCAGTACAACAGGGATAAATTGCTTTTCTTTTCTACTTCCTTCTTTTTCGTGCTACTGACAGGGTGTAGACAGCTTACAAATATTAACTTCCATATTGTACATGTGGAGTCAAATCTCTGTTGGATTTTTTTTTCTGATGTTGTTATAACTTTTTTTTTAATTTTCCTTTTAATTCTCAGGGTGCCTTTAGCCGCCTTGACCCAACAGGTGCATTTGAGAAGAAGATTATTGAGAGGATTCCCTGTGGTCGTCTGGGAACTATAGAAGAAATTTCAAATCTTGCTGCATATTTCTGCAGTGACTATGCAAGCTGGGTTAATGGAGCAGTGAGTTTTGGTTGATCTTGTTTTTACAATTAACCTGATGATAGTGTGAGTATCACTGATATTTTCTTAAAGCCCTGGATTCAGAATAGAAGCAAAACATCTTGATTTAAAATTATTTACAAGTATTATTCATCTTTTAAGTGTAATGCATGGTTGTTAACACCTTTAAAAAGAACTTTTAAAAGTGATTGTATTGCATTATTTTGAGTATGGTCATTTTTCACCCAAATCAGTAAAATTTATTTTCATAGTTCATAACAAGGGAATACTGCAGAAATCACACAATTACTAAATACACTGTTTGGGCTCTTTCTAGGTTATCAGAATGGATGGTGGAGAATATGTTTCTATGGCAGGAGAATTCAATGATTTGAAGAGGGTATTAATTTCCTTGTTTGCTATTTTATATTCAGGTAGTTTGATGTGCAAGTATTATGTGAAATTACAATAAAATCTCTTTTCTTTGCTTAGGTTACCAAAGAGCAGTGGGATATGATGGAAGCAATGATTAGAAAAACAAAAGGCTCATAAAGTGCTTGACTTTATGGTGGAGATTCTTGGAAATGAACCACTACTTTTTCATTAATATTTAGAAATAACCAATTAAGAAGTAGCCTTCAAAATCTTTTTTATGCTAATTTAATAAAATATTTTGAAATTGTGGTATTTTGAATGTAGTTTGTACATTTTTCCAATGTAAAATCTATTCTGTTGCCGATAGTGAACAATAGTTGGTCACTAATATTTCATTGATCTTTAGATTGTCTTACATAGCCATGCTATTATCTACAATCAGCCTTTTTTTTTTTTTTGATCTTCTGAGGATTTTTTTTTGTCATATATATGCAAGTGTCACTTAATATTGTAATACAAATAGCATTTCAGTACTGTCATAACTGAATGTAATCATTAATCTGAAGAGAGAAACAAAATACTAAGTCCCAATCTTCACACTTCAGTAAGAAGTTCTAAACTTGCCAATACTCTTTTGTGACATTTTCAGTCTGTTAATTATCTTTTTCTGAACTTTAAAAATGCAGTGCCTTTCTGAGGAGCTTGCTCTTTGTCATAATGAAGTTAATGTTCTTGAAAATGAGAAGCCAAAAATCATTTGTTATTACATATGTGTGACTATGGCAGCTCTCCATAAAAAGCGGTTTATTTGAGACTGTTAAAGGGATGTTGGTATATTGAGACTGAAAGTATTGAAACCTCATTTGTTGAAATGTAGAAAAAAATCCCTTGGTTTCATTTGCATTCACAATTTGGTACTAAAAAAACATCTAGCTAGCATTACCTCTGAATGTAGTCAATTTATCCATCCCAGATAAGCAGGTGATAAAAAAATTGCTCTCCCTCTTTTATCCAAATTTAGAGTTGGTAGATTTTGTCCCTTATGCCTCAGACAACGGCTGGAATTCTTCAAAGAAATGATCAGCCTCTGGCCTTTACAACCTGAATCAATATTTTTTTTTTTTTTTGGTGTTTAGCTAGAGCTCCTGCCCGTCCCACATACAAGCATGTACTTAGTTTTATGTGCTTTGAGACTAATACATTGATTTAAGAGTCAGGGCAATAGAACCAATTTAAGGATGTCTTCCTTCAGGTGCTGGTGATGGTCATATATTTTTCCACGGAATCCAGGGCATACTTAACATATGCCAACATCTGACTTAAAGTCACTTGATTGCCTTATTACAAATCTGAAGCAAGCTAAGATGTATTCTGCTGAAAGTGTGGACTGTATTAGTGCAGGCTTCCATGTGCCTTTCTCCTGGGAGTGATGGTCCTGTGTGGGATTGAACAGCCACTGATAATAAAACAAATCAACTGTGTTTATTGGAGTAGCCTTCAAAGTGTTCTTGAGAACAGTGTAAAGCTTTTTTATGGTAGCTTGGGTTTGGTAGGTGTGTTGCCAAGATCAAATTCTGACATGACAGCCATGTCTTTTCCCCAAAAAGTGATTTAATTGAGAAATTAGGTCCATATATACTGTTTTTTGCTCATCATCCTTTGCATATAATTATATTATCTTCTTGTCTGGGACACAGTTTCATATAAGACTTTGACATTTGAAAAAAAAGTGCTTCAGAGAAAAATTCAAATGTATGTTTGTGAGATTCACATCTCACGTTATTTTTAACATCAATTATTTCTCTGAAATGTCTAGTAGCTTATCCTCTGGTGACAGGCTGTCAATAAAAATAAGTTCCTCTCAGTCTCTTGCATCTGTGGATTTCCGTGACTTAGTATGGCTAAGCGTGTTGTGTGGTTGAAGTACTGGACTGAGATTGGAGCGAACCATGTTCAGTCTCTGAAATTGCCATAGACTTCATGTGACCTGAAGTTATTTCTGTAGCCTGTGAACAGCAGGACAGGTGTATTTGCAGTATTCCCTCCGAGCTGGTCATCTGAAGCAAGAAGACTGGCAAGTTCCTTTTAGCTCACAAACATACGTCCTGTGTGGGGCACAGGTGGGAAAGATCAAGAAAAGAGGCTAGTCTCAACATGAAGTTGGGATCCAGTTTATGTTTGCCTTTGGGGGCTAGGAAGCACTTCTGCCTGTCATACAGCTCTCTTCCCTGTGTATAAAATAATAGTAACATAGGATACCAGATTTTGCTTCATCTGATATTGTCAGAATATTGAAGGGAGGCCTCTTAAAGCTTGTCTTCCAAAGAGATCCTGGGGATTTATTTACTAACAGAATGTTTGTCATTTGTAGAAATGGGTACTGCTTCTGAAGTCTTTTACCTATTAACTGTTCGTAGCTAAATGAATTATTAATTGTAAAGTGACAAAAAACCTATTTTTAAAGTGATGGAACCAGAAAGCACATTTTAAGTTTTAATGAGCATCTATGATAAGAATAGGGTTTCTTTTATCTTGCTTATGCCAGTGACATCCATTTCAAACTATACAAGTTAGTTGCTTTTAGATGCTGAACATTTTGTCTTGACAAGGTGTATACAATGTGCAGATTTTAGAAATGGCATATAATGTTTTAGGAGTTATATGTTACTTAACTTACAAAATACTTGCTAATATATAGACTTGGTTAAGTGAAAAAACGTAACTGATCTTGTCATCCACTGCTGCAGGAGAATGGAATAGTCTGGCTGGGACAGATTTCCTTCAGTAAGAGTTGTTAGACTTGGTAGGAACAGGAAAGGAACATTACTATGAAGACATGAATCCTAAACATCTCAAGTTTATGTTTTGCCTAAATACAATGTAATTGTTACTCAAGTAGCAACACATGATAGCTGAACTCGGGAAAAGAATAAAAGAAGCTTTATAGTTCTATTTAACCTAGGCAGTGTCTTTTGGAAATTCCGAAAGAAGCTGTTCCTAAATGCTGATGAGGAAGGATTAGACTGTCCTGAAAAAGGCATAAATTACTGCTAAAACTCAAGAGGTGTCCAATCCATAAGCATGCCCCACAGATTTGTATTACTCACAGACTGAAATAAAGCACAGTCATCACAGCTTCTTTATTCCAAACAATATGGAATCCTGTCAAGAGAGGTAATGTCTGTGCTGATTTAGACTGGCACATTTGCCCTGAGATTATTACATTTCTCACCCTGAGATTGCCAGTGAGCCCCAATGTAAAGGGAAGGATAAAAAAAAAAGTATTGCTTTGTGGCAAAATCATTTTATGAAGTTGGAGGGACAGGACCATGGAGGAATGAGTCAGAAAAGGTGATGGTGTACATTGGAGATTGCAACAGGAGTCAGTAGGGTTGCAGAGGCAGTTTAATTTTCATGAGTCACAAGGATGCTTCCCTAAAATCCAGATACCTTCTTAAAAATGACTTTTGCATGGTCCATCAATGAAAGGTGTTACCACTTCCATGAGCTCAGCTTGGAGACACCCACAAAGGGGATTCATTGTTTTCAACCAAAAAGTACATCTTTTCTGCTTAATTAAATATTGAAATTACCCTTTTTATTTCTACTGGTGATTTACTGTCTTTGAACCTGCTGCAATTTATTAGATTAATTCAGTGCTGCAAAAGTGTTACTGTGCTATAGTAGGGGCTTATCTACAAGTTATGAACATCATTTAATATGCAAATGAGAGAAATTTGTTGTATTTCCTCTTCACTCTGATACCAGAACTGCTGTCAGTCTAGTTCTCCTAGTTCTGGGAACTGTCTCCTCTTAAATATTTTAATTACTGTTGAGAATATTGCTTCTATTTCCCAAGTTGAGGATTTGCTTTACAAACAGAGGATGATACTATTTGAGGGAACTGTGAGTTCCTAGCTGTCTGTACTGGCTTCCAAGTTCATGTGAACTGTTCATTTTATTTTCTTTTTTACCCATACTAATAACATGTAACTAAAAACACTGAACTGCAAGAAAGTTTGTACCATTGTCTTCCTCCAGTATAGCATCTTGTGTTGTAACTGCTAAATAAGTAATGCAACTTGAACAAAAGTAATCCCACAACCTTATGTGATAATTTAATATGCCATAAAATAAAACAGTCTTTGGGATTTGAGTGCACTGACCTGCTTTTAGTTGCTGAAGAACAACTTCAATTGATTTCATAGGGAATTGGAGGTGCTCAACACTTCAGAAAATCAGGCCATGTTTATTCAGGTGCCCAAGTAGGCATTCTGTATCTTTTCAAAGCCACAGCAAGTAGGAGTGGATTTCAGTTGCCCTCCATAACCAGTGGCTATAACCATGATTATGATGTGGGCTTAATAAAAATCAGAAAAAGCAAATCTTATGTAGAGAAACACAGCCTTAACTGAGGTCTAAGATGAGTTTAGTAGCAGTATGTATGTATTTTATTCATTGACAAGGTTCATTTTGCATAAAAGTGCTGATGACTGTCAGCACCCTGGTCTGTATTTGACATTTGCTCATGGAATAAGGTGGTCAGAAATTTCATCAGCTTGTGTGGATAATATTTTCAAAGGTGGACAACTAAGTTCTAAACAGGGAGGATTAGAACAGTGCTTTGATACTGCACATGAACTGTTGATGATAGAACAGTGAAGCAGTGAACAAAGGAGAGCCAAAGTATTTGTTTCAAGGGTTGTGTTCAATCATGATTAAGTTGTTGGTGGAAATTCACATGATATTCTCCATAATGGTTAGCTGGGCAGTGTTAATGGCCTCTGAGGTGCCCAGACAGACAGTGCTGTGGGCCCAGGTGGAAGCAGGCACTCACTCTGCCTGACCTGGTACAGTTAAGGTTTACTTCTGTCAGCAAACACTGCATTTATAATGCCAAGGGTTTGAAGGGCCTCACTGTTACTATTGTTATTTTTTAAGTTTGCTGGTTTGTGCTTTAAAATTTCTAGAAGATCACCTTCTTTGATTTGAATACCTAGTGATATGTTAATTTTTAATCTGTACATATTTAAACTAGAATGGACTAAAATATTTGACAGCATTTGTAGGACAGTGGGTTTTGGTATTTGTTAGCTTGAGTGTTTCTTTGCATGTTTATTTTTAGTAAATTATGTATTTATAGGCAACAAAATGGTTAATAGCTTCAGTAAAGAGGATCCCAAGTAGCTCTGTTTCAGTTTCTGTGTTAAGCTGGAATATGGCATACCTGCAGTATATCATGTAATTAATCTTCGTGAATGCTACAATTTTTCTTTGATCACCAGATGTCTACTAGAAAGAAGAAGAAATCTTCCCTATCATCACCTCTCTTATCATTACGCCTTGTTCTGCCCCAACCCTGACATTTAAAAATCAGTCTTCCCAGGAGTGATTTAGAGTTTAAAACCTGGAGGTTTTACAGCAGTTTTGACTGAGCCATCCTTGTCACAATTTGCTTTGCACTGGGGTTCTTTGCACTAGACACCTTTGCTAGAACTGGGGTTCTAAACTGCTGTCTTTTAATCCAAGTTTTATTTAGGTGAAATAACTGCAGGAAAAACCTTGCCTGTGGGTGACTGAGACCTGCATTCTGTGTTGTGCCCTGCAGCAGAGCCAGCTGGTGGGCAGCAGCAGTAGCACAAGGGTGAACAGATCTGAGACAGGTACCTTTACTTATGTTCGGGAAGACAGATTTCAGAGTCTGTGGTGATTCTGTCAAAACACTTTAAAAGCCTTACCTCTCACTGTAATGATGTAGCAACATATTCTTACACAGAAGGTTTAGGCCTTTTTTCTTTACCCTTTTAAAATGTTAAATAAGGCAAAATCCAGGGTTTCAAGTGGACAATATGAACAATATCAATCATTTATTGTACTGATAGGCAGATTCACTGTTCCTTCACTTCATGTACACAATTGTATTTCACATTGCATAGAGAAAAGAGGAGACAAGCAGGTAAGATGCTAAATCACTGTGCATGGAGTGGGAGTAAAACAGTGAGAATGAACTGGCTTAACCTTTAGTTTGTGTGGATTTTTTTCCCAACAAAACCCCATCCAGCACCACCTACCCCTTAACTTTCCAAGGTTCAGGCTGGAGAGAGCCCAAGGCCATTAGGCCATTTCTGAAATGGTATTTGGTTGCCATTGCTGAAATGGTATTTGGAGTTCACCTGAGGAAATCAAGGACCCACTTCAGTGGGAGTTCACGGACTGTAATCTTGAAGGATTGAGCCTCATTGTTTGAAACACATTTCAAATAAAATTAATTTGCTTGCATATGTTAGATAAAACACAGAAACGCATCTGAGAAGCTGTATATAGCTAATCTGCTAATCTGGAATTTCTTCCAAAACAGTTGTACATGGAGGCAGCATAGGTTTATTGGCATTAAGAGACAGCCCAATTTCCTTCCTTCTCCAGTACTTACTGGGAGCAGGGGCCTGGACATTCATGAAGTTGTCTGGCATAAAATTGGTGTAAAGTAAAAATGGAGCCAGGCCAAAAAAACCCCAAGGATGCAAGAAGATAGGGCTGCTTCATAGTATAGTTCCCATGTAAAAAATACATCTCTAATATAATAAAAAGCAGAGCCCACCATGTAAACTAAATTGTTATAAAATCTGTACTATTTTTTTCTTCATTTAATGTCAAATTTTAATGCTAGTGAGATAGACTAGTAATTCAGTGTAAGATCCAAGGAGGCACATTTTTTTTTTAAATAGTCAGTTTGTCCTTTACATGGTACAGGTACAAGAATCCAGGAGATACACAAACTAGACACCGATAATCTTAGGATATTAAATTTAATTATAGATTACACAGAATATGATGTAAAAACAGCAATTTACTAGAATAATTATAACCTGCAAAATGTGAAAATAGTTTAGAAAATGGATTGTCATATTCTCTGACACAGCAATAGTCATGAAAGGTACACTTATAATATCATGTTAATCTGTGTATTAACTATACTACCTGTCATTTAGCCAGGATTTCAAGACAGATTAAAGGCATTTATTTCTGAAGTGCCTATGTTTAAATTCAATAAAACAGCTAGATTGAGAACACTATATTTTTATCAACTACTGTATGGAGATCTATTCCAGATAAATGCTTTGTCTATATGCTATGAATTCGTAATGAGAAGAGTAATTGTAAGACTGCAGAGAGTACAGACCTGTAAGTGGGTGGTTTGACAACTGAAAATATTTCTTAATGCCTTATTAAATTTTTGAAATCAGACATGCCAATGTCTCCTATTTCAGACCTAGATCATATTTAATTTGAATTCATGTTTTATATTTAAAAACCTCACATTTATTTTTTTTGGGCAAGATGTGTGTATATGTGTAAATCTTTTTGTTATGTAGTTTAACAAGAAATGTTGCAAGTGTCAAAGGATATGATGACCACAGCAATGTCAGCAGGTTTAATTTTTCTCCAGCCATGTTTATGAAAGCAAAAACCCAACCAAACCAACCCTCACATATTTAGTTTCTTTTTGAATATACAGACAGGCCCAACACTGACATTCTCTTCATCAATCTTATTGTTACAAAAACTGTACATTACAAACAGTATAGAAACAAACTGAAAGGAATGTGCCACACATCCTGGCTAATTTTCTATATGCAATTTAAAAATACAGCCTACTCCCTTATAGTGCACAGTAATTTTGTAGAGTACATCACTAGTTAAGTGGACATGATAGAAGAGCTCTAGTTTTCCTCAGCACAGAGAATAAGAGCCAGTTCTGCTCGGTAAAGCTTTCCTCCATCAGACAAGGCCATGATGCTTTTCTTGTATGTTGCAAGGTTGGTAATGTCTAATTCCTATTTAAAGAACAGATAATGCTTTATAATCCTGTTTAGTTATAAGGATGAACGAGTTTACTTTCAATGGCAGGAAATGAGAGAAAATCCCAGGTATACTCAGCCTATCCAACAGTAACATACTAAAATATTTTTATATATTTGTATGTTATCCATTATATGATAGCCATATGTTAGCTTGCTGCTAGCTGGTGTCTAAGAGACAAGCAAGCTCTTGACTGTGTGACTGTGTAATCACAACTCCCCTAGTTCAGGATTTACACTGCTATTATTTCCAACACAATTTTTAGTTGTACTTTGACTTCAGGAATTATGACTTAGAAGCTCTATATTTATCTTATTAGGGTGGATTAAAGTGTCCTTAAAATCCAAATTAAATCTAATCTCTAAGGGGAAAGAAGTCCTCTAGGATTACCTTTTTGTTCTTTTCACAGAGATCCTTCAGTAGGGCATCAAGTTCATTTTCATCTATATAGCCATTGCCATCCTGAAAAATTCCATTAAAGACAAGTTTAAACATTTATTTTTAGTTCCATACATCATGGGTAATTCTCCACAAATTCAGAAAATAAGTGCCAATAATCTACACCATTAATAAAAACATTTTTAAAAACTTACTTGGTCATACATCTCAAAGGCATTATTGAATTCTTTTGCACACATTTTGACACCCTAAAGGCCAAAAGGAAAACAAATCTATTAATGACACCTGTTACGTGTGATGGTAACAGACTACTTGAAGAATGTAAATATTCATACCTGAAATTTAATAAGAAAATTTTCCTGTACAGGGAGCAGTCTTTGGAGAGAAAAAAACAAAGGTCAAAATATTTAACTGTTCCCATTACAGCACTTGGTATATGATATTTCTTGTGAAAAGAAACAGAAGACATACCTGGCCAGTTCAGTAAGCTCCAACTTTCCATCATTGTTTGCATCAAACATCCTGAGCTGAAAGAATATATAAATTTACATTGCTAATCAAAAATAATCAACCTAATTAAGAAAACACTTATTTGGAAAACTTAAATCCAATTAACTTTGTCCTGAAATGATGTCCCCAGGTCACATTTGCTGTGTAATACATTTAAATACTGACATAGTAATTTATAATAATTAATTCTACTGCAAAATCTTGATAAGAAACCAGATGAGCAATGCTGATTAACCTGTGGCAAGTTAGGTCTTAGCCTGCCTACACTGCTGAATTAATGTCCTGTATGAGAATTGCGCATGTTATTATTTATAAATGAGAGGATGTTGATGTGATAATACTTTTGACTTCATGTCATGATTGGGTAATAGAATCATTATTCTCTATTCATAAAGATGAAAAACTGTTGGGTTAAGTACAATAGAATCCAAGGCATTCATTTCCCAAGACACGAAAACAATAGATATTTCATTCAATTGAACAGGTCTACCTATTTAAGTAAAGACAGTATGTTTTTACTGTGATATATTAAAAAAAAAAAGAAGTGGCCAGATATTGCAGATGATCCTATTTTCTTGATGGTATGAAAACGGGAAAATAAATGTCTCCAAAGAAGCATAATTAAATTATACTAATAACTATGTTAATATAATTTCACAAAATAAGTGATTGTTATTTATAATAATTATTAATAACTCTAGTATTAAAGGGTTTTCCTTTGAAGCCTTGAAAGGATGAATTCCTGCCACTTGAAAAGCACAAAGAGCTTATAATAGCTGCTAGAAGTAGATGAAGATATTGATCCTGCATAGGACTTTCTCTTCCAGTCTTTATGTCTGTATAGTTTCATTTTTCTACTTTCAAGCATTATATTGCACTTTCTGTATAAAAGAGTCACAAAAGCAGCAGACTACAAAGCAAGTATTGAAAGCACCACCACCCACACTCCATCCCATCACCTGCAATCCCAGTAATTTTAGATGTAATTTATAGATAAGAGGAAAAGAAACATCCTGTACTGACGTATATACATAACATTTATCCTTTTAAAGAGGGAGCTAATGTAATGCAATGAGAAAAGGCCTAATTTCACTTTGTTAATACAAAATAAATGACAAAGGATACCAGAAAAAAGCAACCAATTCTATGAACATTTATTTCTACACAACACCATGGCTCCTTTTAACACTTCCTTCCTTTGTATAAAAGCATCTGCCTTGTGTGCATTTCCCAGGAAAATAGATTTGCATTTGAGGGAGGTAAGCAATGGCATCTGTGAAGTGAACTTATTTTGTATTTTGATGAGTTAATGGCTGGCTCTGCCTGCCAGCAGCTGCTCAGGACTGTGTGTTTATTATCCTTCTGTTTTCTGTGGAGATGATTGGAGAGCTGGGCATATTTTTTGATTTTAACTAAATTCTTTGTCAATGTGTGTCTCTGCAGAGGCCAGAACTTATAGCACGCTTTAGGATGGAGGTCAAAAAGCTCCTTGAATGAAAATGTTATCTTCAGCAGCAAATGAACAGTGACATTTCTATGTAAATGATTTATACTGGTACAATGAACCAGCAGACTTTTTCCAGAAGAAACACAAGTTTTGTTCAGCCAGTTTTAAGCCAATTTGAGGCCAAGTGCATCTACCTAGCACATTTTCAATTGTTAGAAGTATTTTAGGATGAAAACAAGCTGGTTAAAAAATGTAGATTTATACATTTCCTGAAGACCAGAATTCTGTCTTTTTTTTCTTGAAAAGTCCATGCAGAAGCCAGTACTGGTCCCATGGAGTGACATAACAGTGGGATGGATAGATTCAAAGGATGGGCTGACCAAGGAAGCAACAGTTTTGCTATAGTGTTTATCTAAAGTATCAATTTTTTTCCTTGAAGCAAGGGGAGAAGGAAAGTGTGGCATATTTGTAAATCTAAGGAAGCCACCATGCAGTGATGTCTTTTAAGACAAGAGATAGACACTACAGCACTAAAAGAAGGCAAAATATAGGAAGTAACACCAAATTAATTTGATCTAAACAAAATAATTATGACAAGAACAATATTGCTCCTATGAAATGTGCAGACTTTAGTTTTACAGGTAGCAGCACAAAAGAGCAAAACAGGTAAAATACAATGACATGGCATGATATTATATAAATAACAAGAATGTTAAAAATTACTGGACTTTTCTTTTTGAACAGTACTGAAAACTGCCCATTAACCCATTATGCCTCTAAATAAACTTACCATTATTTCTGTGTATTCTGTTAGCTTTGAGTCTTCAATCTGCTTATTTGCTTTCTGTAATAAATCTTTCAAGAAGCTCTGTTAAAATAAATAGAGCAATAGGTGAATTTTTATCTACAGTATAATTTGATGTCACAAGACTTGAAACACCAGCCATGTTTACTTTAAAAAATAAGATTTTTCCACCCATTCTGTGTTTTAAATTTCTGGACTAGATCTGTGACAGCAAAAAAAAGGAAGATACCAAATTGTAAAGCAAGGCCATTGCAAGAGCTGATGAAGGACCTTATTTCTGTCATCACAGAAAATGGGAGAGCTTATAAGAAAATATGCTTGCATTCCTGGACCTAATGCAGCCATGTCAATAGTGGTGTGACTAACACTCCCTAACATGACTAGCAGCCTGGCCCCCTCCAGGCTGGAGGCCCTTCCTGGTAGTTTGTATAATGAAGAACATGACTGGAATGTTGTGAATGGATGCTTCAGAAACATGTTTAATCTTGTGTGCTTCAATGGAAAATAGAACTGGAAGGGAAATTAAAAGGCTGTTCAGTCCATGTCTCAAGAAAGGATTCTATCTATCTAAACTTCCTGAATTAGTCTCTGATCCGAGCTATTGCCAAACAGTTCCTAAATACAGGCAGTGATGAAGAGTCTGCCTCCCCCTTAGAGGGGACATATTCTACTGCCATTACTATTGTTAGAAAATTTTCTTTATTTCCAGCTTAAATTTCACTTACAAAGTTGTAAGTGGGTGTACTCGTTCCATAGCAAATACTTAAAAATGTTTGGGCTTGCCAAGAAATACTGATCTAAAAATAAAACTGGGCATTTATGTCTTATTTTCAGTGTTAAAATTACCTCTTTCTCTGAGGCAAGTGAAACCTCACAGCAGAAGAGAGATGAACCATTAGAGATTCAGTTAAAATCTCTTCATTCTTCAGTTGGCCCTCAAACAACCCTGCCTTTTAAAATCTATTTTAAAATATAGCAGTCAGCAGGCATCATCTAACAGCTGGAGAGTTCTCAAGTGCTACCTTTTCCTGATTCTGCAACTTTAAAAACACTGGCCTGGTGCAACCAGTCAGCAGAAGAATGGGCTTGTGTGCCTGAGGGTTACCCTAAGCTTTGATCCTCAGCAAATGCTACACAGATATCAAACTCAAAAGAGAAAGGGAAAAGGAAAAAATATGTGAATTTTCTGCCATGGATTTCTTTTCTGAGCAGAAGAACAGGAACGATTTTGAACAGTTTGATCTCCTGGTGCTTTATTAAAAACCTACATCACTCTTCTTTATACCACATATGGACAAAATAGTCCAAATAAGATGGACAAACACAGATAGTTCTCTTGCTATGAATTGCTTTGATTCCTTTGAATGTAAAGCTGCAATAATGAATCAAATGCAGTTGAATTGTAGAAAATGGCGCCTTTCTACTCAGAAATATGTTGTATATGAGCATCTCTGCTATGAAGAAAGGTAGAGAGAATTGGGACACTTAAGCTTGGAGAAGAGGAGCTTCAGGAGAACATCACCAAAGTATATAAATACTTCAAGGGAGGGTGATAAGTGGATGGAGCTAGGCTACTGACAGCACCAGAGACAATGGTGACAAAGTGAAACACTAAATGTTCCCTCTGAGCATCAGGAAACACATTTCACTGCAAGGATGACATTGCACTGGCACAGGTTGCCCACGGAGGCTGTAGAGTCTCCATTCTTGGCGATGTGCGAAGGCCATCTGAACAAGGTCCTGGGCAACTGGCTCTGGGTGGTATTGCTTGAGCAGAGAGTTTGGACCAGGTGACCTCCAGAGGTTCCTAACAACCTGTGATTCCACGACACTAATTCAGCATCGACAAATTGATGTTGGTTGATGACTAGGGAAATAAAATCACTCTTGTTTCAAAATTTCTTAACTGTGCAAGGCTGAGATGCCTAATGGGGTAACCTTGATTCTGCTCTTATTTGTGTATATTAAAGCTGGTACCAAAATCGTACTAGGTTAACCACGCAGAGGCAGCACAATTCCATTTTGTGAGTCTAACTCTAATAGAGTTAGGAAATTGTAGGGTTACATGATACTTGGGACAACATCAACTGTCCAGCAGCATAGTGATTAATAGTAAAAACAAAGCAGCTCTTTTCCCTAAGAGACCAAAAAAAAAATTACTAACATAGCTGTTAGAGACTCATCTTGCTTTCTTAATCTTTATTACTTCTAAGCTGCCTGGTACCCTAAGTCATTTGATGCCAACACTTATCTGAATTAAAACATGGCGTAAAAAACATTGATCAGATTAGAGTTTCACTTTAAATAATTTACTGGTATAAAAACATCAGCTAATTGTATTGCATTTTTTATCATGTTTGAAATGCAAAAACATGCATGAGTGGGATGTATCTGAGGAAAAAGATAGCAGCACAAGGCTGTAACCCGACACCTGCTCTCACATTGTGCATGCTCATAGATACTTACCTTAAGTTCCTCAGAATCAATGAAGCCACTGTGGTCGCTGTCATATTTCCTCCATGTCTGCAATCAGAATGTGAATGCTTTAATCATATGTTTATGGCAAGCAGGTCTTCTATGGCTTTAGAACAGATAACTTTTCATATTGTACCTGCATGAAATCTTCACTTGACTTTAGCTGCTGGCATCTGAAGAACAACAGGAAATTCTCTTCCGTTGGCAATACCTGAGCAAGCTGCAACAGAGTTTAAGAAAGATTAAGTTTTGGCTCTTCATCGGACCAGCTGAGCCTGTAACTGAGCATGAAGATTTTTTTAAAGTGTATGGAATTCTTTGTGCTTGTACTGCTGCTGCCATATTGTGGCCTGCTTGGAAGCTTCCTCCTGCTAGCTGAAGTGTTTGGAAGATGCCTCTGAAAGGCTTCTGGCCTGCAGCTTTGTCATAGTTATCAAGGTCAAACAGAACTTGAGGTCTGAGAGAAGGGCGTGAGGTAGCATTTTACTAAAAGGGTAGCTGGGGAAAGGGGAAAAAAATCACTCATGATATAGAATTAGACTCTATATCAAAATCCATGGAGTCAGCATGAAGGGAAAGCATAGCACAAGGATTCACAGAGGATAAATGTGAAGGACCATGAATTAGAAAACAGAAATATAGAGTACTCAGATATCAGGAAAGGTATACCAAGAAAGAAAGGAACACTGACATGAAGAACATGTGTGTAATGTAAATGGTTAAATATAAGGAAAAGCCAGGAGAAAAAAAAAAACAGAAAATAGGGAGAGCAAGGGTTGGCAGTTCTCATTTGTCAGTCACAGAGATGTGTTCAAAAAGAGCTATAAATACCAGAAAGAAATCAAGAGGGCTTTTAGCCCTGCAAAACCCAGGGATGGTTCTTCCAATGCCTCTTCTCTACAAAGGGCTTTTTTAAAATCAGACATTATTGTACTGATTATTGAAAATCTTCATTTACTATAACTCAATTTTGGCAAGTGACAAATGTAGAAGATGGAAAGTACGCTGTATAATTTAATGTAAAATTATGATTTGTTTTTAACAAAAGCTCTTTTTTTTCCTGTCCTCAAAATGTTTGAAATACATTTTGATTAAAAAAACTTTTTACTTGAAGAATAGACCAGCTGTGCTTACTATGGAGAAAACGGAGAAAGACAGATTTCTTAGTTGCATTCTTTTATGTAAAATGACATCTGCAGACTTTCTGGAGTCCCATCTTAAAATTTTGATTCAAATTTTTGTTTTTCTGCCTTCGTTTCACACCCTCAAATCTTTTGTTCTGCCTATTTCAGTGCTATTGCCTAATTGCTGAAGCTTTTTTATTGGGAACCAGCAGAGCCATAAGTGACTTCAGCTCTCACCTCACAGACACAACAAAGTTATGGAGACATATCTCTTGTTTCTCTAATATAATATATGCAAGGAATCAGTTAAATTCTTTTAGTGTTAGTACAGCTGAAAAGACATACCAGAGCACTCTCCTTACAGAAATGGTGCAGCTGATGACAGGCTGTCAGACCCATCAGAGCCTTCTCAGTGCTTTTGCTAAGTGGCTGAACATGAAATCAAAATCAACCCAAGAAATGCGTTTTTGGCAGCAGCTTTCAAAACCGACTCCATTATAAGTAGCATATACTCTTATGGGTAAGTATATATTTATGTGTACACAATAGCTAAATGTGTGTAACTTAGTCCTGATTTATGAAAAAATGTCTTTATTTCTTTAGTTACAGAAAAGCTTTGATTTTTAGAGTATGCTCCTGTTTAACAAATTCAGCAAATGCTGAATGGAAGAAATATTCAGAATAAAAAAGATAGTTTGGGTGAAGTGACTGATTATAACAATGGTAAAGATTTGCTTGTGTCAAAAATATAAATAAGATGTCATTCAATGACATAGGTAACTCCTGTGAATTTTGCAAGGGCACCATAAAATAGTAACTGTCCAAAGGATTATTAACAGCCTATTAGCAGTACCAAACTGTAATTTAGGCACAGAATATATTACCTCTGAAAGAAAATTACCTTATTTTAAGCTATACCTCTCGCCCTTTGTAAGTCTCAGGGGAAAGCATTAAATTGCTTTTTGTGGAAAAAACTCTGCAGTATTAAAGGGATGAGTAGATGGTCTGGAAACTGGTTCAGCTTCTCAGTCCCAGTTTTATACCACTATCAAGAAGAAAGATGGAAACCTGGTGCTATTTTAAATGACGACTTCTTTGTCAGGATAAGCATATGGGGACTTTGTGAGTATCTTTCAGTAAGAGTGCAGACCATTGCAAGTCTGTATGGCAGCAATAGAAATTTAGTGAGCCTTGAGCTTTGCTGCTTTTATGGAGAAGGTTGGTTGTCTCTGGATCGCAAATAATAGAGGACAGCTACAAAGCCTGAGACTGGTTTGACTTCTCTATGGTCAGCTGCAGGCTGAGGTGTGTCTTTGTAGGCAACCTAGCAGGAAAAATACTCTCAGTACCTAAAACAATATCAGAACTATTTTCTAGACATTGTTCTCTAAGTAAATTTCGTTGATATTTAAGGTTGTTTAAAATTACTTTTGCCTGATATAGAGTGAATTTGCTTTTTAAAATCCCATTATAGAGCATGGGAGTACAAAGAATATTTTAGGCTAATAAGTAGTCGAATTTTTGGCAGCAGTAATCTTCAAATAACTTGAATGTGAAATTGCTGCAGTTCTGAGTTTTGAAACCTTGAGTTTCAAAACAGCATTTTAGTAAAAGCATTGGTCTCAATGAGTACAAAAGGTGAATTAAAGGTCTCTTACACAATGGAAAGAAAGTGGGCAGGTCAGGCTCTGCCTTTAGCTGGAGGACACTGGATAATAGCCAGCAAACTCACTGCAGTGTGCTTGCAAAGACAGAATCAACACTTAATCTGAGCTGAAAATCCACTTCTTCCTCTGTGAAGCCACCCAGGCCTCCTCTTTATCTCAGTCAACAGACCTTTCCTGAAAACTCATTATTGGCTGGCACATTCTTTGTCAAATGCTGGGTGTCCATTTTGAGGGCTGGGAGTCTGAATGGCTTTACATAAGTTTTCTTAAACAGCGTTCACACAATTTTCAGAAAAACTATTTGATGTACTATGTAAATGGGAACAATCTGGAATTACTGGTTAATTTTTTTAATATAAGGAAGGAGAGTCAAGTCCAAGTACCAACTTTAATATCGTACTGCTCTGCACGTACCACACATTTCATGCGTCCCATCAGCAGTTTCCAAATCAAGCTTCATGCTGATTTAAGGGAAACAAAATACAGCTATTGGGTTTGGAAACTGCTATATTAAGGGAGAAAGTCCCTTCAGTCACTGAACTCCATACTATCACTATTCAGTTGCTTCCGTGAATGCTGAGCATGCTTGGCCCTTCACTGGGGGTGGTGAGCCATATCAGACCCTATTGGATTTGCTCATCTTCCCTCATTAACTTAATATCAGAATCAGAAATAGAATTTGAAAGGTAAAACTTCTAGTTATCTTTCCTAAGTGAAGAAGCACATTCTTTTTCAGGCACTGTTCACACATTCTTCTTGCATCAGTGCTGGCTCCACAGATATTCAAAAAGACTAATTTAAATAAAATTCTTCAATAAGAAATAAATTAGCATTTTTTGGTCCAAAACAAAAAGAATTATTGTACCAAATAAACACTACTTCTTTCTAGATGCAAAGCTATTTGATCATTGCTAAGTATTGTTAAAAGATGCACCTTTAAAAATCAATTGTGGCTGCAAGTGAAACAAATTGTTCATATTTCTGTGGTAGTTTAGTCATAATTACATATGCCTTTAAAGCAGTATATAAAATTCAGACATACAACAGAGGAGAAAAGATATCTTGAAATGATCTATTGTATCAGCAGTGATACTTTCTATTGACTTCTACAGATTCTATTCAGTTCTCAGTTTTAAAATTAAATACTGACCCAAAGCTGGTCACTGCAGAAATTTTGCAGGCCTGGCTTGTTTCCAGCTGTTTCTTAATGAGCTCTAGGTCAGATTTCTCATTATTAGGAAAAAACCCTACAATATCATTTGATAATAAAACCGCAGTCTCACTGTACTCAGAGTGACATAAATGAGTCGTTGATTTAAGCTCGGAGAAGTGACTTCTCAAACTGTAACCCTATAACCCCACAAACTTTCCTTTTTGAATTGCAGTGCTGAAGAGCGAAATGCAGAGAAAACACAATGGTTCCCCCCTTCCTATTAAGTTGTCTAAGTTATACAATTGTTGAGCAGCTGGAGGAGGAGAAGCTGGTTATCTTCAGCCTCTTCAGAAAATGGGAATAAGGAATGTGAGAATTTTCTGCCTGCAGTTCTGTTAAAATTAAAGCAAGGAAATCCTAAGAAATTAATTCTTAGCCATTATTAACATGCTGACTTACTTGGGTTACATATTTGGGGTTTTTTAGAATAGACTACATGCAGTGGCTGCCCAATCAACTTCACTCAGATGTTATCATCGCATTTAATTAGAATGGTGACAGAGCATGAGTTCAAAATCACAGGTAACACTACATCACATTACTTCTCATCAAATTGCCTTTTTAATTTAAATTTCTGAAATACAATTTTATTCTGATTTGTAGAAAACTTAAATTTCTGTTGATACTTATTTGTATCGAATAAAGAGAGAAAAGTTAAATGACTTGTGAAATGTCTGGAATGGGGTAAGGAATACATTACTTGTTAGTGAAAAAGGTTCATTAGTAAAAAGAAAAAAAAAAAAAGACCTTAAAAGTGAGGAAGAAATAGTCTGTGTATCTAAAAATACAAAGTATTGGCATATTATGCTCACATTGTTCTGTGTTAAATGTATTTTCTTCTAATAAAGTTACAAAGTAACAGTCTTACCTCAACTATACCTATTTTTCCATCAGTAGATTTTCCATATTGGTCCACAAAAGCTTTCATTTCAGGTGTTAAATCCTACAAAGTTACAATGATATAATCATTAGTTTAAAATGCAAGAAACATACGCAAACATACTTGAACAATCTATTATTTGCCAAATAATATGCCACATCTAATGAAGTACTCACACATTGCAGCTACATTTGTCAAGTTTAAATGAATTTTTTTTTTCATTTTACTTCCTAGGGAATTACATTTTAGCCGGTGTGAATGATTGGCATCTAAATGCTTGGAACACTATTTTAGTTTACAGAATGAAAAAATTATAAAGACAGATGTGTTGGAAGATGTGTCTAATAGTTCCTTTGTTTAAGATGGTGACAGTGAAGTTCATAGGCATTTATTACTACATTTTCTCAGTTTTCATTTTTAAATTAGTAACTTGAAGGTAGGGCAGAATCTTTCAAAATAAGGAACAAATTTCAGTATAATACATTTGAAAACCAAAATAGTCTTTCCACATCTTTGAGTGGATTTTTCCTGAACAATGGATGCTATTTTAGTCTTAAAGAATCTCATCACAATATCATATTTTTCACTGTTTAGTGTTTGGTTATCATGGAAACAGAGTCAAAATGTCACTGCTTAAATGTAGAAAGGGAGACAGTACCTTAAAAAGGAGATTTAGTACCTTAAATCTGACAGAAGAAAGCCATCATTGTTGTCCATAAAAATTATGGTCCCTGCTATACATCTGTTCTCTAAAGACTATTCTCATTGGCTATGGCAAAAAGTGCCAGACTTGGGGCAAATATCTGAATATTTGATTTCACACTTCAACTTGACCTGCCTTTCTTTGATATGATATGTCATCAACCTTCAATACTGATTAAACTTTTAATTTTGATCATATTTCTTAGAGGTGGAAGCTAGTAAAACCATTCAGCAAGAATAGGGTTACAGTTATATTAAAACAACAGACAATTCTACAGTTATAGATGAAGTTATGTCAGACTTTGGAAATAAAACCTTTAGTTGATATAATAGATCTGATTAAATAGGACATAAGTGATTTTCTCACTGGAGACACAAGGACCCTCAGCTGTACAAAGTCTGTTGTAGCTTGTCCCAAATTTCACCTGCCAAAGCTAACTAAAATGTCAGTTCCTTGTAGCTGATACAGGCACGGCCTAGTATCCTATTTCTGTCAAAGTCATCCATAGCAAGTTAGTAATTTGCCGTGGCTTTAATTAGAGATGTGGTTATTAATACAATGGACTTCAAAGTCACCTTTCATCTAATGATCCCAAAGTGGGGACAAGTTTGCTTAGCGGATGGAATGGAGAATTAGACACTTGGATTTTAATTAGTCCTGGTTAAATATTTTACTAATCTTTCTAATAGCACTCCGCAGTGCCGGACAGGGTCCAGCCATTGAAGAAGGCACAGTTGATTACAGGTTAAACAAACCAGGAGACTTATCCTCTAGTTCATTATGCAGAAATTTTGGTGAGTTTTTTGGTGTTCACTTAACCTGCTCATGAGCTGCTTGAAGAGTTATTCAAGTTATGTTATTCAAATATATATTTTGGTCAAAAAAATTGCCTCAATTTAACCAAGTCTAGTCCTAAACCTGATACAGATGCAGTGCCCAATTTTTGAAATGAAGAAATTAACCCTTCATGCCCTAGTCAGATACCTCAGAAAGGATACTTTTCTGACAAGTGAAAAAAATCAGCTTTTTCTGATATGATTTGAAAATGAAAGGATAACTAGCACTACAGAAATCCTCACATAATTGTACTCATAAATAACATACTTCTGCGGAGAAATATTGTCATTATCTATACAGCCAGGGAAAGTGAGAAACGGATGTGGAATAGCTTAGACAAGATCCACCTATTGGCACTTTATCAACCTCTGTGCTGGTCACTTATACCCCAGGGTTTCTTTTGGCAATTGGCAGTCCCAAGTAGAGAATGCATTGCAGAAATGCGGGTCACGATAAATGTTAATACACTTTTGTAGCTTTTATCTTTAAAAAAGAGCTCTTCTAACATGGCTGAACCATGATCAATTATACCAGATCAATTCAGTGCCTATCATAACGCATGAAGCAAAAAGGCCTAATGTTACCAAAGCCCAAGCACTAAACCTTTTGAGTAGACATTCCCCCTTTCAGGGGGGCTAGCCTGAATCAAGCTGCATGCTACCTCTCTGTCTGAGAAAAAGCAGCTGTGAAAGTACAGGCTTGCTGAGTGGATTAATGCAAGGATTAACATCAGAACATAATTAGAACACTTCTGTAGTTGGGAAGAATATTGGGAAATATTAAACCATCCTATTCAATGACAGCAACAATGTGATTCTTTAATGCATATGTCATGACTGATGTAAAATCCAGCTATGAAGAATGCATAATTGAATATTTCAAAAATAGTGAGCAGAAGCACGACCTGAAATGCAGAAGTTAATGATGATAAAGAAGCTTTGGGGTGTTAAAAGAAGGACAGACAGGGAAATGACATATAACCTACACTAGTTTCTCAATGTGTCCCTTCTGGAAAAAGAATAGATATTCAAAGATACTGAATTAGTATCCCGTGAGACAAGAAATGAACTAATGAGATGCTTGTTTAGCAAATGAGCCTTCAACTGCAAGAATCAGGTTAGATTTGAAACCTAAGATGACATATAGCTGTACTCCAGAGCCCACAGACAAGGTGCTGAATTTGGTTTTGCTACTGTAGATTGCTCTTTTCAGCAGAACACTCCAAAGCTAGGTTTGAATCAGAGATATGGGACAGAAAAACATAAGCATCTGAGGATTTTTAGAATACAGTGTCAGATACTGGCAGAAGTTATTTGAAAAAACCCGCATACATTATAACATTTGTAGCAGATAAGAATAATCCTGTGTTGCTTTGAGTAGGTTATGTTTTTAAGAGATGTACACTTGCTTTGACAGAGAAAAGATCCCGGCCTTAAAATTATAAATATTTTTTACCTTGAGCATCTGATCAATATTTAACTACTCAGAAATATATTAGCATTTTTACTAACAATACAATTAATACTAAGTATAAAAAGGCTTTAATATCTTTCTACCAAGCAAATTTAAGTTTCCTGCCCTTTGGCATAGAAGAGATTTGTTCTGTTGCAGTACCTGAAAAGTATTGAACTTCTTTAACTTTTCTGAAAAGAAAAAAATTGACTTTTTCCTTCTAAAATAGCCACATTGATTTTCTAATCTCCTGTTTTCTTTTGGGTTTTTTTAACTTCAGTTTTGCTTTATTTTATTTTTAATTTTAGTTTGAACTTACTCTCAGGAAAATTAGATCCTACACCAACATTTCTTATGAGAATTAACTGCTACCTAGACTGCAGTAACATTAGAGGCATTGCTGAGAGAGATTTTCATATGTATAAAGGTTGTACTCTTACAATTTATATGATACAATTTTCCACAAAACACAATTAAGGTTCATATTAATTATTTTTTTCTGCATCTAGGTCTAAAATATATAGGAACTTTCAAAGCACAGCTAATTATTGAAAAGTGATTTCTCAGTTTGGAGGCATTCCTATTAGGAAGTGTTAATCAATTTTCTCTGTGCACACATGATCCACTTAAATTATATTTTTTCTGTTTCTTCAGAATTCTTTTAGCATAGATTCATTTAGACTGATTCCATTAAGTTATATATTGGGCTTTGATGCTAAAAGTGGCTGTATTTTTACATGGAATCTTTAACTTCTTTCTTTATTTCTCCCTTATCTTTTCTCCCCCTGCATTGGTATAATTTGGAGGAAGTTAATAATTAATTTTTCGATAACTCATACACATACATGTTTTGACAACACTGTCAAAAACTTCGCTGTCTCTCTGAGCCATTTAAACAGCCAGGATTTGGTACTCATACTCCTGGAGAAGAGCAGTAAGTGTTTAGGAGTAATCTGCAGATCTATTTAGTGACCACCAAGGGGCAGAAATGCATTTCAGCCCGTGCTGCCCATTAGGTGTGAAATTAGGAGTCCAACTACACTGAAGAGTTAGGGTTTTTGGGTTTTTTTTTTTTTCGGTCCTCCCTCCCGCCACCTCCTCCCTGCCGGTTTTAATGAGTACATATCTGGATCAGATAAGATTAATTGCAATGGATTAAGGTCCCATCCAAGAGAAAATGACTGCATCCGTACATTTCTTGACTTTTCTTTTTGAGCACTGTCAGAAGTGTCAGCTTGCAGCCTTGCAAGGTACGAGCGGGAGCCGCTCGTCAGTGAGGTGGACCCTGGTTTCACCTTTCCAAAGTAGATGATTTATCAGATTTGCAACTTGCTCGTTTCTAACCAAGCTTTGCCCGGTGCGGCAGGTGCATGAACCGTGGGATGACAAGAGAGAACAGAAGGAAGCACGGCACAGGAGTTTGCTCAAGAAAACTCTTCTTTCTCTTAGAAGATGAAAAAGTGGGGCGAAACATTAACCTACCAAGCCTGCCTTCTTCCGTGCCTGCTGCAGCTCCTGGATGAAGTTTTGTAGCTCCTTCCCGTCCATGAACCCATTGCCTGAATGAACAACAGAAAGAGTTACGGCTGCCGTCACCGCTCCCTCCAAACTCTCTCTCCGTTCTCCAGCGCCGGCAGGGGCATCTCGGACCCGGCTGCTCGCTGCCGGCGCGCCGCTCCCGGCCCCGGCCCGGCCCCCGCGGCTCCGGGGCGGCGGGCGGGACCGGCCGGCGCCGGGCGGGCAGCGGTGCTGTCCCCCAGCCTCCCGCGGGCTCGCCCCCCTCGCCCCCCGCGCCCCCGCCGTCCCGGAGGGAAAGGAGTCACCGTCGGAGTCGTAGTGGTGCCAGATCTCGAAGAACTGGGCGGCCGAGATCTCCACGCCCTGCAGGTGGGTCTCCGCCGTCATGGTGGGCGCGGGGCGGCGCGGGCGGGGGGCGCTGTCCGCGGTCCTGACTCGCTCTGGCCGCGGCCGGCGCGGAACGGCAGCGGCGGCTCCGACGGCTCCTCCCGCCGCCGCCCCGCCGAGGGCTTTTTATGGGGCCGCCCGGCCGGGCCACTCCCCCCGGCGCTGCCCTCCCTCGCCCGGGCCCCGGCGCGCCCTCCCCGCCCTGCGCGGGGGGGCCGGGGTCTCCCGACGGCGGCACCGCGGCCGGGGCCAGCCCGGCGGCGGAGCCCTGGGAACCGACACCCCCCGACGTGGGAGGGGTGTGCGGGTGCCGAGCGAGGAGCCCCGAGCAGGGAGAGCGGCGCTGAGCGATCCACTCAGGAGTTCCTGCGCATCCCTTGCTGTGGAGAGCATGACCATGAGACGTGGGGACAGAGGGTGGGCACAGACTCCGAGTTTAGCTGTGGGGTTTCCATGTGGAAGAGGGTCCTGAATTTTAGAGCGTGGCTTGCAGCATCTCAGGATGTCCGGGTACAAGAAAAACAAAACAAAACAAAATAAAAAACAACCACTTGGGGCACCATGTGGGCTGCGAGGAACCCGTTTTTCACTGCTCCATCTCCAATCCAGATCTGCAGACAGCTTTGCACAGAGATGATCTCTGAAGAGCTGCAACCCTTTACCTGATATTCCTTCTGAGATATAATGGGATCTTGAGATATCCCTATTGAGACAGCGTAGAAACAGTGCAGAAGCATGAGGGACACTACCACAGTCTGCTCTGACTGAGCAAGAGCTTTATTTTTTTGGTAGACCAGCTTTGGAGGCTTGCTCTCTTATAAGCAGTGAGTTGGAGGAAGGAAACAGAGCAGCTTACAAAAATCTCACTCTTGCAGTGGGGAAACATGGTGCTGTGCTGATAATGCTAAGTCCCTTTTGGGATGATTAATTTTAGTCATTAGGGCTGCCTGGATACCCTGAAGCACTGAAACTGCCTTTCTCCTTCCAGCAGTATCCTTCAGATACTACACTGTGTTCCAATGGTTTGTTAGTCAAGACGCCTGGCTGACAGGACGCTCGCAAATGCAGTAGGTAGTACAGTAAAGATGGGAGATGCAAACAGCTGGGAAACCCAGAAATCTCCACGTGTTAAGAGATCAGCATGACTAACAGTAAGGCAATAGTATGTTAAGACTCACAAATAGCATGAGCATAAAGAAATAACAGGATAATGCAGAAGACAGCAAAATGCCAATGGGAACGGATAACCCATCAGGATGAGAGGGGGATGCTTAGTTAAAGGCTGACATGTTGTGAGAGGGATTTCAGTAGATTGGGTGGCTGAAATCTTGTATGCATTATGGAACAAGATGTGGACATAGTGATTAAGTAATCATGAGACCTTATACTTGATTCCTTCCATCTTTCCATTCTCCTGTTTCCCCACCTGTTATGTGCAGCCCTCTCTCCTTCTGAAGCTGCCGTTTGGCTGTGAGTTGTACAAGAGATGCACCAGTCTGGTCTGTGATCTTTTAGCTACTGAAAAAAGCAGCATGCAAGAGAAAAGACACAAGAAACTGATTTAATTAATAATTAGAGGTTAATCTATTAATCTCTTCAGCTCAGAATATTTGTATTAGTGAAAAATGTTTAGTCTAGCTTTACCATCACAAATACCCATTATACTTACAAAAGGGCTGAAGAAATTTTAATATTTTCTTACAATCAGGCTCTGCGTTTCACCACGTAAAAAAGAAATGAAAAATCATGACTGGACCAGTTTCCCATCTAGGAACTACTTTTCAGACATGGCTTTCTCAGAAAAGGAGACTTCAGTGGGACCAATATAATGAAACTTGTAATCTGCCTACATATTTTCTTGAAAATTAAAATCTGAACATAACACATTTCCTTCCATAAAGTGGCAATAATGACTGGAAAAGAGACGATTCATGAGGCTTATTTTTACAATGAGCAAAGACATGGCAGAGCTCTGGCCTCAACAAATGGAAGCACAGTGAATCAAGCCTGGGATTATCCTTTGTACTTGGAAAAGACAAGGGGGTGCCAGTGACGCAAGGACACTGGAAGGAGACAAAGGTGGAACTAGCATTTCCTTCATTTTTAGATAGAAGATGTCTGTGCTAGTGAAGCAACTTCTTATACGCCAAACATATTGAATTACCCTGTCCAGTGCAGAATTTCAGCTTCCAGCAAGCCTGCAGGAAAATAAACCAAGTACTGAACCTGTTTCAAAAAACTTCTGACTTGCATCTGATGTTGATTTACTCCTTGATGCTTACCATTTTCTAATGGCACATCACATTTTGTTCTTATCCCTTTTCCTTGACCCAAAAGACTGTAGCTGAATGGGAGAGAAGAATTTAGCATTGTCTGGGGCCAGCTCAACCTTGTTAATCTGACTGTTCAGACTTTTAAACGAACAGGAGCTGCAATGTTTACATTTTTAAATGTTCTCAGAATGAAATATTTTACATAGATCATCTGTGGCCAAGAGGATTTAAAAGAAGTCTCACATGAACTTGTGCTGCTTCTCCCCGTAACCATACAATTGAATGCAGATGCTTGGACACGTTGACCTCTCATTATGCTAACATCTACAAAGTCAGTATTGGCTCCAGAGCATTTTTGCATCTTTGTGTGTTCTTTATAAAACAGTATATCGAGGTGAATGGATTTTTAAGTTCTCTGCTGCAGCTGACATGATCCTTCTGCACAGGCACAAAAGTAGCAGACATTTCCATGCCAAAATAATCACTTACATAACTAACTGTACACCATATTTTTATGATTAATGAATAACCAAGCCAACATTCATATTTAATCCCACTGGACTCTGCTTATGCAAAACTAAATTGGAAACTGGTGATTTCAATTCAAGAAGCTATTAATTTCCATTGAAAGAGGAAGCACTGGAAAAGATTTAAAAATGTAGATATATACAGGATGTGATCCATAACCCAATGAAGTCCATGCAAATTTTCCCAGTGATTCTAGAGGGCTTTATGCAAGGGCAAAATTCTTCTCATTTTCAGAAATTATATTTATGGTGATAAGCATACATTGATTAATGAATTACTTTACTGAGAAGCCCAAGCCTTGTCGTTCATTTTGACATGAACAACATGAGCCATGAACGACATTTGAGTTACATGAGCCAGATCCATATCCAGCAGAAATCAGAACTACACTGAAGCCAGCTGGGAATTTGACCCAGTATCCAAGTGATGCTGATTTTCTTTGAAAACATTTGTTGTTCAAATGCTTTTCATTGATATCTTATTTTATATGTGGCTTTTCTGAGACTTCTTAACTCTGCCTACCAGACTTCTCTCTTCACTCTCAGGAAAGAACTGAATGATAATAGCTCAAGGGTTCTGAAGATGTGTGGAAATCAAACATAGCAATTATAACATAGAATATCCCCCAAATAAATAACAGGGCAAGTAATTCTCAGACAGAAAACACAAAAATTTAAGCATCATGTGAAGAATCACAAACTTGATTTTGTTGAGCAGAGATCAAAAGAGATGCAAATGTGAGAACTTCTAAATGAACGTCTGACATAGATGACACAAAAGCTCCACAAGGACCGCAGAAGTTGTTTACTTAGCTAGTCTCAGTCCTTCATTAGAAGTTATATCAAAGGCAGGGACTGTTTTGTCACCTCTCTTTTGAAAGGCCACATTCTTGTGTGAGCCTGAGTTGCTGGATTTGCCTTATGAATTTCTTCTTTCCTATTAGATCCTTAGTGACTATTAGCAGCACAGTCATTCCTGAAAGATGCGGAAGGAAGTCCCGGTCTTTGGCTGAAGTTGCCAGTTTTTCCGTATGGAACCATAACAGTAAGAAGCATTTTGAAGCAAGTGATATCAGAGATTTTAATTATAACCTTTTCGTGATACAGAGAAGGTCTCTCTTGCTTTTCTACCCTCTTATATTAAAATACATATCTGAAAAAGATCATAACTGGAAGTCTTTCATAAGAGAAAAAGTAAGAAGATGATGTTAATTCTCAAAAAGGGAAAACACTTGTACCTATACAGAGTATAACATAATAAATACTGCTATTGTCAGTCTTTGTGGTGACAGATGTACAAGCCAGATGATAAATAAGCTTTATGAAGTGATCCTTGGAACCCAAACCTTGGAAGAATGTTTTCTTTTAAGTCTTTGATTCACGTACTCAAATAAGATCCCCAGGCTTACCCCTGACACATAAACCACGCAGAGAAGCTGGAACACTGTTGGTACCTGGTTTGGACTGTGTCAGAATTTGTTGGGCTCTAGAATGCATGCAATGAATGTGTGCAACTACCACCAAGTATGGCTGCCTGTGGCTGGGGAAATGTGTCTTTTCAGAATATTTGGCTAATACTACAGAATAGTTTATTGCTTTCTTTTTCTTTATCTACATTTAATCAGTATTTTTATTCTTTAAAAATGCAAAAGAAAACGCAGCATTGAAATGCACTCTCTGTGTTAAGCTGCCCTTGGATTATACAGTCATTATGGTAAACCACTATTGGCACAGGAAATATATTATGTAAATAGTACACAAGCCTTTGCTGGCTTTTGCAGACAGTATTATATAGAGACAGAAATATATTTCTCATGCACAAGACAGAATTGTCCAAAATAATTTTGAGGACTTAAAATATATTTTAATATAAAGTGCAAATTGATGAGTCATTTGTGAATTCAGATTGCAGCATAATCCAAGACTTAACCTTCTGACAGGTAAAGCTAGGGCCTAATTCATCCCTTTCTAATCTACTTTATATCTTTACAGTCTCATCTGTGGCTTTCCAAGAAGCAGCATAATGACAAGGCAATTCTCAACAACAGTTTTGAGAACATTAATATACATACAACAGTTTTGTTAGCATTAGAAGGCAAATAGTCTATGCAACCATGCTTTGCCATATCTCCCCATCCTGTAAGATCCTCAGAGACATCAGAACATTTCATTCTGTACTTTGCAGCTCCTTTCCTTCAAAAACTAAGTGGATGCCCAGCACAGACCTCATAGGTGGCACTGACCTGACTCCAACCCAGCCATTCCCAAGAGCAGGGAACATGATTGCCTGTGGCTCCAGACATGG